ATACCTTCTTGGCCAGGAGGCCAGTTTGTCATGCAGGGGGCTAGAAAGGATGCCCCGCTGCGAAATAGCAGACCGGACTTCGCCTTCAATGCTTATCGCAGGAGCCTGCGGGCCGCCGCGGGCGACAGTAGTTGTCCGCGGCCCTTACCTATGCGCACGAAAACTAGCAGCGTCGACTGACATCCCACCCGGCCGCGGCCATGTTCTGGAAGCGACACATGTGGACCCTGGTCCACGTGTTGAAGTGGGCCGCGACCGCAAACTGCGGCCCGCGGCTCAAGAAGAAGAAGTGGGATTCTAATTAAAAGAAATGGTGGTGGCAGCCGCGCGGCGTCGCCGCGCGGCTGGTTTGGCTTTCGCGCTGGTTAGATTTTCGCGCACGCATTTGGTTACCAATATCGCCCTCCGGGCGCGATCTTCATAGATGCAAGAGGGCGAATGTTTCATTTGGAAAGGTTTGCATTATGCAAATGCTCCCAAGTCCGGGGGCGGGGGCATTTTTCATGGTAATACGGTCCGGGCGCCCTTCTGTGTGGGTCCGCGGGACCACCCGGGCTACGACTTTGTGGTCGAGCCGCACGAGTATTCCAATGAAAAATGCCCCCTCCCCATATCAAAACGGAAATCTGTGATGCAGATTTGTGGTCACAAATCAGCTCTGTGATGCTAGAAGGCAAAAGATGCGGACTGTAGTGCTGTCTAGCGTGGGAAAGCCTTGCAGCTCCAGGATGACAGGAGGCAACTGGAAGTGGGAAACAGCATGACAGATTACCTGCACTTTAGGCCGCAGCTTCGTCTCTTGGCCTTCTTGCAATACAAGTCGATTTGTGTACTCAAATACAGCATCACAAATTCGCGCATCTTCCGTTTCTGATATGGGGTGGGGGCTTTTTTCACTTTGATAACGAGTGCTGGCGCTTCACCGGGTTTTTTCACCCGCGTACGAACGCGACCGCCGACTTGTCCCCCTGGTGGCCCTACCTCTCGTGGCACAAGTCGGCCATCCCGACCGTGTGGGAGCCCGTGGACCTGGACATCGAGTTGAAATTTTCGGAGCGCAGGGAAGAGAGCAAGCAGTACGCCGCGGCTTTGCGGTCCAACTGCGTCGCAGAAAAAGACGCGCTCTACGAGGCGCATGACCTCCTGCCCGAGGTGTTCGTGCCCACCGTGCGGACCTTGCTCGGCTGCGCGCGGTGGTGCGCGCACCGCGACGACTGCGAGGGCTTCACCTTCTTTCGCCACGAAGCGCAAAACGCCCGCTGCCTGCCCAAGCGGCGGATGCGCGGCTCCGCGAAAACCGAAAACGACTGTTGCGACTCCGTGGTCATGTCATCTGAATGCCGGGCGGCGGGCAAGCGGCACGTGGCGGCGCCCTCCCCACCCTCGTATCCCCTGAAGCTGGTGACCGCAAGAACCTTGAACCCGGTGGCCTACCGCCAGGCGGTGCTTCAGGGCCAGGTGGAAGACCCGACGAAAGTGTACACCCGCGAGAACTACGCGGCGCGGGTGCTCAAGGACCAAGACCTGCACGAGGCCACGGACCGCGAAGTGGACCCTTTCTACGCGGCCCGCGAGTACGTGGTCCTCCCGCAGATGGGCCGCGAGGACGCCTACGTCCAGGTCGCGGTATTGCAAGGGAAAATCCCCCCTCCCCGTATTGAAATCGTATGCTGCTTCTGAGGTTTTGCGATGCGGATTTGTGACCACAAAGTCTGTCTGTCTTGCAGAAAGGCAAACGCAGACAGCTCGCCGTGTCATGCCGGCGATTTGTCAATGCATGTAAGGCCTACAGGGCAGACGTCTGCCATTCTTGACCATTCTAGACGCCTACACCAAAAGGACCACGCCTAGGCTTGCAATCTGCGTGCAGTCCTCTACTGCAAGACAGATTTGTACACAAATCCCGCGGCACAGATTTCCGCTTTGATATGGAGAGGGGGGATTTCTCCTTTTGATACGCAGAGTGCTGTCACCACATCGGGCAGTTCATGTGGGACTGGAACTACCGACACGTGCACAGCGGGTACAGCCGCGTCCCGATCTTTGAGCGGCACCCCGTCTATCACACGGAAAGAGAAATAGAGCTACCACATTTGTAAGATTTGTGATGCAAAAAGAACATAGTACTCAAGTCCAATTGCGCATGCTGTTGCTGGTATGCAAGACAACTTCTTGTACTACGCGTGATTGTAGTTTTTGCATGTAAAAGTGTGGTAGCTTCTTTTCGGGCATAGCCTCCAGTCCTGTGTGGTGTTCTCCGAGGATATGACCCTACCGGGCGCGACCCGAGTCAAGTAGGAGAGTGCAAAAGATCTACTGCTCCTCATATCTTTGTCATGCGGCATACCGAGGAAATATAAATCCACGCTTTGCTTCTTGGTGGTGCTTTTTGCATCACAGACTCCGGCAGCGGAAGCAGTAAGCCAAGAATCCCTTTTCGTGAGAGATTTTGTCATGCCCAGAAGCTGCACCTCTAAATGGTACGTACTGCCGCCGCTCCTGTGGTGCTCCTTGTTGTGGATGTCATGCCGACTACCTTTATAGGAGGGGGAGAGATAGGGCTTGCGCACCTTCATACCACGATCCGCGACGACATGGCCGCCGCACCGGGAGACGACATTGGGCGAGACCGGCGCTGGTGGCATGAAGAAACGGAGCCGCAGGTCCAGCAATCGTGGCCTATGCCTTGTGAAGATCACTGCTGTCAAAGTCAAGGAAAATGTCATTGATATCATTGCTGTCATTGTGCAATAGGGGGATGTTCTCACTTTGCATGTGCTGGCGCCTACTGCCTTGTCCGTCTCTCAATTAATTTCTGGATTCGTGTTTGCGGGAAAAATCAATGTCGCTAGATGAACCCGATGCTTGTTCGTCTTGACGACCCGTTTCGCATTCTTGAATGACACCCGCTTTTCCTGACTCTGGCATCATAACAGTTTTGCAAGGCATACGGTACCCACTGCAGATGGCTCCCTAGAATTGCTTTTCGACGCGATGAAGTTCGTTATATGGCGAGAGGTGGAAACAAAAACAAATAAGTAACTTGACAAAATGACGCACAAAGTACTCACTTCGTATCTACACCTACAGCGACGCATAGATACGCACTTGCTACAGCGACGCGTCGTGCTGTACTCTTCAAGGCGTGAAGTTGCGTAGGACGGTCGGTGCTCTTCTTTTATTTACCGTAGCTTGTTCTGTCTGGAACTGGTACCGGATTCGTTTCTCGAGTGTAATGGATTTTTTGAGCGACTGGCCGAGAATTGGAGAGAGAAAAATTGCTTCGAGGGACGAGGAGGATGCGCTGTCAAGTTTGAAAAATAAGTACTAGACTCGGAAATCTTCTGGAAGCCGAAACGAGAACGACCAAAGTTTCACTTTCTCTTCGACCGGAAATCGACTGTACAAACATCGTCCTGTCCCCAGGAATCTTTTCCATTGTCGCAAATCGGCAGGCTGCCACTTATTGAAAAGTCAAAGTCAATATCGCTCCTACAGTACCCCATCGTGGTTCATCTAGAGTGCAAAGTAAAACCTGTCAAGCTGCACCCTCCTGGTCGGAGCGTGCAATTCGAGGTGGTGGTGGGAGAGAACAAAGAAAGACAGACAAGACATACTCGACGGAGAGAATTCTATACCACTACTTTTGTTTTACAAATACGGCCACTGCATCACGAGGATCGATCTGCGTACTAGGCTCAGTTCTTGGGCTGGAAAAATTCGTAGCTGGTTTTAGCTTGACCGTTTCTACTCAGCATCCACAGATCTCATGACGGATATCGCAAGAAAAAACTGTCTCAGTCTCAATTTGTACAGCGACTTTATTCGCTTTTTACTATATTACAGTGCTTCTCCACCTTTGTCATGCTGGACGCGCAAGAAAAGCAAGAAAGTCGCCCTTTGATGCGATTGGTTTGTCTTGATGTTGAGACTCAGACAGTGTTTGCATGCGATAAGCGACACCGTCGGGTGGGGCCCGAAAAACATCTTTACGCCGACTACACTCTGCGGCAATTGGAGCGAGGACCGGTACTAGTGTTTATATGTTGGTTTTATCACATCTGGATCTGATTTCATCTGTTCGATTGCGTATTCTGCATCACAAGTAGAACTTGCAAGAAGGTCATTGGCGTATGCATTTAGACGAATAAACTCCACTATCTGTATCACCAAAATTTAGGTGGGACAAGGAATTCCAGGAGAAGCAGCGGTATGCGAAGGTCTATGCGTTACCAGGCCGAGGGTCGACCGGTTGGACAAAGACCTCAGACGCGATCGGGGAGAACATGAAAGAAGAAATGATCAAAAAGTATACACCCTTATTACTAGTTTGTCATGCAGTTTTCTAGTATGGTTATGGTAAACATAATGCGAACGTACGAAAAATCCACCCTCCTTGTCTGAAACATTCAAAACGTACCAAACTATTCAGGGTTACCGTGGTCCGGGAGATTGACGTGCTGAAGTATGCACAGCTGCTATCGAACAGAAGAAGTAAAGTTCTTTTCTTTTCTCGCTTCAAAACAGCATGTGAAAAAATAAACGCCGTGTATCTCTATCTGTATATGTTGATGCATGACAAACAGCTCTCGTTCTGTCCCGTGTTACTTACACGATCGACTGCAGGAGGCAGCTAATATACTGCTCAACATTACTTAGAAGTGCGGCTACGACGAGAGGACTCTTACACTCACGACTTACGGTTGCAGTAGCGTCTAGCTCTTGTATAATTTTTCCTTTCTTGATGTTGATGATGCTGCTGTTTGCCCCGTGGTTGCTTCGTTCGGCTTTTTTGCTATCTTGAGCTGTGAAGAGGACTTTTTTCTTTTCCGCTCCATAGCCTCCCCCAGAGGATATTGAGAGAAAAAATCCCCCCTCCCCATATTGAAAAGGTATGTTTCCAGAAATTTGTGTTGCGGATTTGAGGTCACAAATCACATCTGTCTTGCAAGAAAACAAGGGCAGAAGTTTCCGCCCCATTATGGAAGCGATTTGTCATGCTGTTAGCCCTAAAAGCGACCCGCTTGCCATGCTGAACAACTAGACCCATACGCCCCTACCTAGCCTGGGGATCTCGCCGCGATGCCTCTGCGCAATACAAACCTGATTTGTGTACACAAATCCAGCATCAGAAATTCCGTTTTGATATGGGGAGGGGGGCTTTTTCCTTTCGATAGAGGAGATGTACAGCACACACAACCGGCGCGACTTCAACGACCCGAACGAATATCCAGTATTAAAAGTGCCACTCCCGAGTGGAGCAGGTGGGATGAAAAATAACCGACTAAAGCTTTACTGTGTGTTAAGTATCATGATCTACTCACAGGTTTTCATTGAGTAATTCACATAGACGGGTGCTATGACGATCTGCAGTTGTTGACACGACGACGAATTACGTTGTTCACGCTCTCTCAAAAGCAGTATTATCATAGCTGATTGATTCAATGACACCTGCTCGACTGAGAAGTATTAAAAGTTTGGCTTCTATATCTTTCGCTACGTCCCGCCGGAGCGCGCGCGCGAGGACGCCTTCGACCCGGAGTGGCTCGCGGAGTACCGAAAAACCTGGTACAAAGTTCAATGTTGATTCTTCATTGTATGTCCTCTTCTCATCATGCATGGTGCTAGAGACGCAGACGGGCTTTCTGACTGGATCGGGCGGGCATTGCAAAGTGTCGTAAAGCTACATGAGAAATCGCGATGCTACTTGTCATGCAGTAGTACTTGTAATTGAATTTCAATTTGAAAAATCATCAGGACCCACGCCGATGGTTGGCTGTACACGCGAAAGGAACAGTATGCAAAACTGAAACTGTGGTGTGAGTTAGCGCGGCTTCTCAATAATTTGTGATGCGTGCTGTGTAGTGGAAAAAGAAAATTAGCATACAGCGGATGATTAATAAAACTCTCAACATCATGGTTCTTACTGCCGGAGTCATGCATGTTAACATTGGTATACGAACCGTCTACATGATTCGCATGGCAAATTGATGACCCATAAAGGTAAGCAGCCGTTCACTCGATGCTTTGGTTCCATACAATCTTCAAAGGCCGTGCGTAAACCGACGAGGATCATTTTTGTACGCATGCTGTTGCAGTGGAGCTACAGCTACCAGTCGAACAAACTTAAGTAGGGCACAGAAACCTCCAGGCTGCACCAAACTGACGTAGATAATATGTCTTTCCCTCGATAATTGATGTCTTCCCCTCGAGTTCTATTAACGATGGCCACAACTACCCAAAATTGATGATGAATAGTAAAGGATAACTTTTCTTTCCGTTTTTCGAGCTTCCTGTTTGACAGCTAAGAAATCTCCGCAGCCTCGGCGCAAGAACGTATGAACTTCGAATGTAGCTGTGAATGTGAACTAAAATTGATGAAATGAATACAACATAATTTTTATCTCCGAAATAGGTGCAAGTGCAACTACTACAAGTCGACTTTTCATCCCGGATCGAGCAGAATCAAGAACTTTTCTGAACTCGTTTATGTAGAAGGCAATTTGATGCAGTACAGAAATTTAAAGAATATCGAGAGCAGTTTATTGCTGAAAATGACAGGTGGATTGATGGAGCCATCGATTGCAACGCATTTCTCACCACGGAAGATGTTCTTCACACTTGTAAATCAGGCAGTTCGTGAGCAGTTTCTGGCTCGCCTTCGTAGCTAATACAGTGCCGAAGAAGCTAGCTTGCGCTACAACATTGCATTTCTGGTTTCATTCAAGACCTTTTTCTTTTTTTTAGATTTCGGTCGGCCCACCTCATCATGACAGCGACGATCTCCTTTGTTGTAGAAAGTTCGCCAGCTGCTCTTAGCAGATCACAGCATCTTCGATCGAGCTCATGCCGATCCCCGTCCCCTTGATCTCTTTCTGTTTCTTAGCCTTTTCCGCAACGGTAGTTCTTTTGTAAAGCAAATAAAATATTTGGATCTACATCACCGCCTCATGACAGCAGTCGTTTTCGAGTTGATAGGATAGCACTTTGAATTATTTTTCGAAGCATTTACTTACAAAGCAATCATGTTTGCTACCGCTGCTTCATCCTCCAGCAGTAGCAGTAGTTCTGTCTTTCCAGGCACGGGCTCTTGCGCGCAATCTTCCTGCGATCATGCTGGGCAAAACACGGCAGTGTCTTGCGGCGGTGGTGCACCTGCTTCTCCGTCCGGTGGCACAACCGCGCAACAGACCCTGTTCCACTCCCCCTACACGAAGTATTTTCTGAAGCGAAGTAGGCACAGAAGCAACGGTAGTTCGAACAATTCAAGCGGCGCACAACAAGAGCTACAGTTCGACCACCGGCGTCGAGAGCAGGTGCCTAACCAGGAAATTTGGGAGATTTTTCTGTCGGAGAAGTACCAGCAGCTAAATTTCTCGCCGCAGCAGCTCCAACCGCCGCTGGCCAGCTTCCAGTTGATCGACCCGACGCGCATCGGCGAGGGCTGTTTCTTCCGCGCTGTCGGTGCCGGCGTGATGGGCTACGGGCTGGGCATCCTGTTGGGCGGCTTCTTCCACAGCATGCAGCCCGTGGACCTGTCCTACGGGCATCTCTCCACTGCGGAGCAGATCCGCATGAGCTACAAGGGTATCAAATGCAAAAAGGTCTGGGTCTGGAATGTTGCCAGGTTTGTCATGCATATTTTGCATGACCACCGGAATGTCTGTAATACACGACCTAGCATCACAGATTTTTAGAGGGCTTCCTGATGCCTACTCCGCATGACAAATGCCCTCCCGGCGTAGCACAAACTAGACTCCTCTTGCTGGTCATGCAATACAAATTTGTTTAGAGTCCAAAAACAGCTTGACAAGTTGCAATCTTCCAGACCCAGACACTTTTGCATTTGATAAAGGGCTTCGGCGCCAGCTGCAAGCGCATGGGCCGGAACTTTGCGAAGGTGGGCATGGTGTACTCAACCACAGAATGTTATGGATGTGTCAGGATCGAAATCGACAAAATCGAAAAATTTGTAATGCGTAAAATGTAGCGTAGGGCAAGTAAGGCCTGTGTTGGGGAGTAGGCAAATGAGACCGATTGCAAGCCTGATTAGGGGAAGGCGATGCGCTGCCGGAGCAGCACGCCAGGAGCAGTCTTCTTTGCCCAAACAGCATGACAGACTGGATTTTGGTGCTCCCGAAATTTGTCATGCGCCACTTAGAAACTGAGGCTCCAAGTGGTATCGATTTTATGGATCACAAATTATTTCGATTTTGTTGATTTCGATTCTGACACTCCCATAAATGCCTCATCGAAAAGGAGCGCGGCTGCAAGGAGCTGATCAATGCCGTTTACGCGGGCTGCGCCACCGGTGGCTTCCTCGCGTTCCAGTCCGGGCCCGCGGGCATGGCGACGGGGTGTCTCGGGTTCGCGGCTTTCTCGCTCGCCATCGAACAGTTGATGGGCAACCATGCTTGAGTAAAACGAGAGACGATTATAGGTGGAGAATTGATGCACTCTAACATGAAATGATGGACGCGCCATAAAACTCTTGTCTAAATCCAAGATCTTCCAAGCGACACAATCAGAATCACGACGAGGCGACACAATCACAAATCTTCGGACCAAGCAAAGAACGATAATGACTGGCTTGAAAATTATGTCGACAAGCAGCTTGTAGCCGTGTTGATCCGATGTGTTAAGTTTAGAATTGTCTCTCTATCGATGTAAAAAGCTGCCTGAAGTCAGCACTTTCTCTTTCGTGTCCGGTGTCGTGGAGTAAAAAGTAGAAGTACTTGGCAATACATGAAAAATCGGTATGCCGCATTTTTGCGTTTCCTTCGATTCTGTGTGGTCCGTTTGGAGGTCGGCTGCTTCGCAACCTTTACGCACTGTGTCTATGCAACTCGTCACACCGCCTTCCGTTCACATTGGTGGCAGGATCGGATTCCTTACTGTGAAGATCATCGTTTCATCAGTAAAACCAAGACTGGTCGTCCAACATATCCTTCCAAATCCATGATGGCCTGTAATGCCGCACTAGACACCCGAAAAAGCAGAGGCAAACAAGGTCGTCCACACGGCGCGTGACGTGGGTGATCTTCAGAGGACCGAAAGTGTTCTTCTGCTGTAGACTTGGAGTTTCTGCTCGAGCAGATTCGCAACAACAAATTAACTAGCACCATTCCTATGCATCGATATCTCCCGACGCAAAAATGGACCAACAGACTCTTTCCCAGATGACCACCGCGCCCGCCGAACGGATTCCGGTCTTTCTCGTGACCGGGGCGACGGGGGCGGGGAAGTCAACCCTGATCGCCCACCTAATCCAAGCGCTGCCGTCCAACCGGCGCGCGATTTTGATTCGCCACCGGCACGCCAAGGCGGCGATGCTAGAGACCTTTCCGCCCCCGCGGCTAGTGGTGGATGGAAAAAGTAGAAGTAGTGCTGTTTTTCACCCAGCGCACAGAAGCCTGAAAGCGCACCAGCCCTACGAAGCAGGAGCAGTTACACGGGACGACGAAGGTGTAGCTACTGATGTTATACCTGCACAAAGTTCTTTTTACGCTGTGCGCCACTTCAGTGAGGTTTTTGATTTCGGGTCCGGCTGCGTCTGTTGCGCCCCGGACGGCGATCTGATGCGGCAGCTTGTGGAGTTGCAGGCGGAGCTGAAAAGGGATCATGTTGAGACTGGAAGTGCAACAACCGTACGCGACGTCGAGGACGGTCGTCATCAACATGCAGGACCAACAACAGCTTCATCATCTTCGCATTTTTACTACGCCCTATTTGTCGAGACGACCGGTTTAGCCGACCCACGGCCCTTTCTCCGCGTGTTTCAAACGGAGCCCACAGTCTGCGCGCACTACGAGCTGCACGCAATTCTGTGCGTCGTGGATTCGCTGCGGTGGGAAGCGACGCTGCAGGGAACTGGTGGTGAAGAGCCGAATTATCGTGGCGAAGGAGCTAGTGCTGTAGCTGGTTCTACTTTTCCTGGAAAAATTGCGGACGTTGACGGCGAGAGGACGACCTCCACAGAGAGCCTCCACTCGCGGGGTCGGGAACAGCTGCGCGTCGCAGACTTGGTGGTCGTGAACAACTTTCATTCTTCGTCAAGTGGTTCTTCTGCAGGCACAAAAAGCTACTCAGCTAGTACGAAAAGTAAAAGCAGTACTCCTGCGGCTTCAAGTCGTGTTTCTAAATCCGAAGTAAAAACATCGGAAGGTGAGGTGGAACTGCGAGTATTAGACTCGTCGCGCCAGCACCAGGAGCTGCAGCCACATCGTGTTCCCAAAAAGTTGCAGCGACTGGTGATGGAATGTTTTGTCGGGCGGAATGAGACCTCCACCGCGGGGGTGTGCGGGCGTCAAGCAGACCTGTCAGGCAGTACAGGTGGGGTTCTTGCTGCGTCGACTGAAGATCATGACAATCGTGTGGTGGCCTGGGCACCTCCTGTACTTAATACCACTGTGACGTCGAGCTCGAGAGGACGACCAGATGAAGATGCAGTGCTCGCGCCAAACAAAATTGTTTTCGAGCAATTTTCATCTGCACAGACTTCTACAGATGTTGAAGTATTCGAGGGCACGACCGAGCAGGTGGATGAAGACCGTCAAGAAGGGATGCCGAAATCTAGCTCCGCAGCGCGAGCGCCTGGGCTGAAGAACATGACTTCTCCAAATTTACTGCGGATTCGGAATTTCTATGAGAGAAGACAAGAAAGAGCACCTTCTGGTGTGCTGAACAAACAGGCACGGAATAAAGGCGCGTCTGCCTCGGACGACACGGCTGGTAGGGCTGATTTGATGCCCGGTTGCGGCGATGCTTGCACCAGTGCAATGGGAACTACTGCTACTTGTATGTACGAGGATTCGGCTATCGTTAACAAGCCCGCCGGAACTGCGTCCGAAAAAGAAGAGCAAGGTCATCAAGAATCTTCCAGTAGAAAAGATGGAGAGCAGACGCAGACACCTGCTGTGCCGCCAGGCAGCGGACACGTGATGTCTTCCGTTGTACCGCAGTTTTTCAGTTTGAACGCAGATCCGCTGGAACACGATCGGTCTTTTCAAACGGCCTGCGTATTCGGCGACGATTGCACTTTGCTCGACTTTGACCGCCACTGCACCCTGATGCTGACCATGATGACCGAGGGCGCTCTGCTTCGCGTGCAAGGCTGGCTGTCGTTCAATGTAGTGCATCAACTAGAACCTGCGACGCTATTTTCTACTTCTCGTCCCGCGGCGAGGAAAGCAAGCGAGCAGGGAGCTGCCGCACCTGCGAATGAGTCCTCTTCTGCTGCGTCTTCTACCTTAAAAGATGAATCAACGAGAACTTCTCCCAACTCCTTCCCACTACTTCCCAACCTCCTCTCCCCAACCGTGCTGATCGACGCCGTTGGGCCTTACCCGGTGACCATGAAGTTCCGTCCGCTCACGAGGTTGTTTGTCGCGCAGGCAGAACATGAGGGCGAGAGACATATTGACCGAAGAACTTCGATGACGATCGCCCCCTCCTGGGGCCTGCACGCGGGGGTGCACGAAGCCGTAAGTGAAAGTGGATTCGTGTGTATGGAAAGATGCACAGAGTAGAAAGGCCAAGACTTAGTATTTGCAAGGGGATGTTGACGTATGCCTCTGCAGAAGCAGATGTTATACATTTACCAATGAGAAAGTTTAGTCTACTGAAATTCATCTGAGCTGCAATTTGCTCAACATTTCTACCGAGTTTATTTTCATTCTGCCACAGCACGACAAGCTAAGCTTCGCCCTATTCTTCTGTCTCCGTGTATATTCTGTTCCAGTTCGAAACTTTTCTTCTGTGGAAAACGGGGCAAAACGAACAGGGACCACTTGTCTTCCTCTCGCAATAAAAAGAAGTCCAGCGAGATGAACTCCACACGGACCGACTTTTTGGACTACGACTCGGAGATGCGGCAGGCTTTTCGCGCGGCGCCGCGGGGTCGGGGTTGGCGGTTCTACGACCTGAAGTTGGTGATGCAGGACGTGGTTGCCGAACTGAGGCACACAGTCGAGCGCTTTTTGATACTGCGAGAAACAAGCGGGGAAGGAGACCCAAACAAGCTGCAGAAAAATCCCGCTGGTCGGTCTTCAGGAGGACCACAAGCACGCCTTGAGGAGCTACGCGATGAACTCCCTGCTCCCGCCGCCACCGAGGACATTTTTCTCGCGAAGAGAAGGGCGACCGGGTGGGCGAAAGAATTAGTCGACGGTGTGCGGGAGGAATTTCGTGAACGAGTGTTGAAAACAAGAAGAGCGGACGCTTTTGATGTTTCGCCGGGAGTAGATTTCGTGGACGAGGACCAGTTTTTACCGGCTGAAAACAGTAGGCGTGGTGGTGTGGTCGATGAAAAGGGAAACCAACAGGTGGAACAAGACAGAATAAAACGACAAATACTACTTCTGCGCTACGAGCTGATTGGTGCGAACGCGGTGCTGGCCTACGATCCGCGGGAAGATAGGCTTTTTCTGGCCGCGCACGACAAACGCCCCCTCGAGTGGACGGTTCGAGGGTCCGGCTTGTGGCTGCGCGAGGTGGGGGAGGAAAGGTGACTGGCGTCCATCTCTGCGACGACCCTCCAAGACGCAGCCGGCCGGGGGTGGGTGTGTCACCATCAGAAGTGTGCACTGCGAGCAGGATCGAGGGGTGCGCCATCTGCAAATCAAAAAATCGCACTGCGCAAGAAGTGAACACCGGGAAAGGTTTTTAGTCAGCACAGCAGACACTGCTATCTATCACTGCGAAAATTTAAATAAAGATGAACTACAGTGTTCCTAGGTGGGCTAGAGCAGCGAAAGAATCGGTTTGATCAACAACACTGGATCTAAGTCAGCATTTGGCCCTGATCCTGCTTCTTCACCATAGCAGCGACTTATCTTTATATCTTGATCTGGTGTAGCTCTTCTTCAAAACCGGGATAGTAACAGGAGGGCTCAAACACAAAAAGCAGGCATTCGCATTTTTGAGAGCAAGGGTCTGTCATCAACCCGTTCTCTTTTCGTTTGACCCTGCTTCGTAGTTGATCGCGCAGCCGTTTTATTTAAGGCTGAGATGCAGGAATTCGTTCATCTTTCTATAAGATTTTACGAATGAATCCCTCGCGCCCCGTGACACTTAGCAGGGTGAACGCTCCTTAATTTTTTTTTTCAGATGCGAGCACAAGATGCGAAAATGAAAAGGAGAATCATTCAACATTGAGCCTGCAGGTCCAAAACTAGTGAAGCATCTCCTAGATTTGATCTCCCGTGGCCCATTCGTGTAATTCTTTTTACCCCCCCTTATTTCGACATGATAGCACTCCTTCTTCTTGGTGAGTAGTTTTTGGCTGTGATTGGTACAGACGCGGCGTTTGGTCACACACAAATTCCTGCGGCTAAACATTATTCTTCTTGTCTGTTTTTTGGTCGGCTCCGTCTCCCTGTCTGTTTTTTAAGATTTCCTCCCGTTGGTATTGGTTTACTTTTGTTTTCATCTCTACAACTACGCTACGAGTTTTCAGTGACGAATGTATGAAGGCGCATACTTTTCATTTTTCCATCGTATTTCAAGACTCTCTGTAATAGACCTGCAGAAGATTATAACCCGTGAAAGATTCATCTCTGCTTTATTTCCAAGAAGAAAAGAAGAGACATGAAAAAGGCGACGGAGCAGGTCACTTTCTTCACTAGGCGTCGACAGTGAAAAGCAAAAAATGCAAGAACAGTTGCCCCTCCTTGTCCCAGCTAATTTTGCAGCGCTCGGTTATCTTCGCGAGGAGCCGCGCCGCGCCCGGGAAAAAAAATATGTTCCGGTGGGTCGCGGTCTTCCCGATCTGGATCAGGAGCAGAATAGCAAGAACCGAGGAGTTGGCTCATTCCCGTAAAGAAGACAAGAATCCGGCGCGGATTTAAAGACATGTAACAACTTCTACATTATTTACCGAAGCGGGCTCTGGCTTCTGCGGATTTGTTTCTAAGTAAAGCGAGAAGAAGAAGAACAACAAAATCCGCAGCGAGAACGGGAAGGGATGTTGAAGCGTCCTGACGTTACAACGCCCCACATGTCGCGTCGACCCGTGCGGAGTTCAAGTCTCGCGAGGCGGGGGAAAGCCCGGGCGTACTTTGACCAATCGTCTACGACGTGCCGGGATGTAGCTGGCCTGGCGCGCCTTGTCCACCGACTACAACCCACGAAGAGAGCTGTAGTTTATTTCCCGCTACCTCTCTACGCGCCACTACTATTCCTACTACTTCTACATTTGGGCGGGTTGACGACACTAACGCAGATATTTTTCCCTGTCAGCGATGACGACGACCGGCCTGGGTCGACGTCGTCGACGACGGCGTCAGGAATTTTTAATCTGCCCCTCGCCCATGCGGCGCTGTCCGTGCCATCCGGCTACGAGTCCCTCATGTTCGACATCCGAGACCGTGTGCTGGTGTCGGAAAGAGACCTGGAGAAACCGAAAGCCGACCGGGTCTGCTACGCACTGGGGACAAATAGAGCTGTTGTTCATCTAGTTCTCTACGATCATCATAAGAAAGTGGTAAGTAGTTCTTTTGTACGCAGCCTGGTGGTCCTGTAAAAACCGCTCCTGGATAGAGTACCAACATGCGGCCTAATCGTAGTAGCATCCATCTTGTAAAGACCCTCTACGTGGTAGTCCATCACTTTTTGCTCTCGTGTGGTCTTCCAGTAAATAAGTGCATGAAATAAAACTACCCCCCTTTCGAAGATGAGTGCGGGCTTCATCCTCGAAAACGGTTCTACACGTGCAACGGACGGCAAGCCTTGAGTGCAGCAAGTGCACAGGCAGAAAATTTCGAAGGAACTGCAAGAGCATCATGCATTTTTTCTGTATCGATATCGAACTGAACAACAATCGTTCTGGAATGTCTCAGTTGCATAAGATCTCATCAACGGAGGGACCCTATTGTCTTCCGAACACCCAGCACTTTCTCGGGGATACGGTATTGCGTACTAGGGTTGTTTGTAGTTTCTTTTTGTTACGATTACCCAACAACCATGCAATGGATGTCCAATGCCGTTTGCCAATCCTAGGCCTATCTTCACCACCATGGCACTCTATGTGAAGCGGACATGGAGACAGTATTAATCTGTATCAACCTCCCAGGTGCTCTCCCGGCGTCTATTCGGTCCGGAAGCGGTGGCCGACGCGTTAAAGACTCTGAACGAGTACTTGCAAAAGCATTCCGACGAGCTGTTTCAGAAGTATCGGCAGAAAATGAAGAAGGCCGCCGCGAGTAGCGCCGCGCTGCCGAACGGGAATGCTGGCAGCAGTGCCACGAAGTCTGGGGCCGCCAAAGACCAGGGCGCTCTTGCTTCTGGCTCGGGCTCCTCTTCGAGTAGAAATCAGGTCACAAAACTCTCCAGTGAAGGGAGCGGAATATCAAATGCGAACAAGGGCAAGGATCTATCCCAAGCTGAAGCTCCTGCAACCTCGCAAGTGGAGCTGGACTCTTCGGGGGGCGGTCGGTTCGATGACATGATGAAGACCATTTTTCCGGAGGGACTCGAAGCCACAAACGTTACTGTGGAGGACCTCGGTATCCAGAGTGAGCTTATTTCTGCCATTGTTCACGATGAACTTGAACATGAAATGCACAAACTACACTCTTGCATTTAGATTAAAAATTGCGTAAATTTACTATAAGCAGCATGACAATTGGTGTCGGCTTCTGAGGGGCTACTTCTAGTAGATGAAGTTTGTTGTGGTTTTTGTACCGTATGTAGTCCAACGGCGGGAATAAGTTTGTACTCCTGCACACTCGACGCCGCGATGCAATTGATGCAGTTGATGGAGGGTGCGTTTCCGGAATCCGATTGGCCGGCGATGCGGGAGCAGCTGGAAGGGGTCAAGGAGAAGCTGCGCTTGAGAGAACAAGCGAAGCAAGCGTCTTCTGCAACGTCCAAAACTACAACCGGCACGACCGCAAGTGACCACAGCGGAGATCAGACAGCCGGCGCCTCAAACGACCAAGGGACGAACAATGCGAGTGGTTCGTCTGCCAGTAGTTCCACAGAGAGCAAGAGAGAAAGGGTGAAGACGGAAGACGTGGTGGATGGCGACGAAGAGGGCCTGTTCGGCAACAAAACTGCGGAAGAAGAAATCGACGCGCCAAACGGGAACAATAGACCTACACAGTCCTCCTCGTCCACACAGGAAGGCGACAACGCAAATGCCGCCGGAGCGGCTGACGAGCAGGGACGAGAAGAACCGACGGAGCAGGGTCATACTGCTACGCAAACTCCTAATGCTGGTGCAGGTTCGGATAGTGGTCGTGCAGATACCAGCGAGTATGATAGTGGTACAGGATCTGGTTCTGGTGCGCATCAAGAAACAGAACCACCTACGGGCTCTTCCAGTCCGCAGGACCAAGGAACGTCGGCCCCAGGAGGCGTCCCCCCGCCGGGAGAACAAGAGGCTGGCAGTGGCGGAGGCAGCGGCGCCCCTACGTCAGGAGGTTCTTCTCCTGCCACGACGGCCTCTGAGCAAGAAGACCAGCCCCCACCTGCAGGAACTACGGGAACACCACCGGGTGAAAACAGTCCGACGGAAGCAAGTACGACTGCTACTGCTACTACTCCACCAGCAGCGGAGAGCAATGGCGCTGTTGTTGCCACCACGACCAGTAGTAACATAGAGGAGAGTTGGCGAACCTCCGAAGACATGCAACTGCTCCGCGAGCAGGCATACTTACTGACGGACAACCAGAAGCGGAAGCACAACGATTACGAGCACCGGCGGACGAACGAGACGCTGACTGATTGGCGCTCGGAAAAGCGCGCAGAGTTGTTCAAGTACGAACATGAAGGGCACTACGACAATAACCACTTTCAGCAGCAGGAAAAACGCGCTGTTTTTACGGACGAGTTTACACACACCAACCCGACGGCGTTCATGCGGTTTATGGAACTCTCACACGTTTTATTTACATTGATCACTGGTGCAGGATTTGTGTAGTTTGTCATGCAAAATCACTACGACCAGCCACAGGCACAGCCACCACACGATTACTTCGCATGGAAAATTTTTCCTCTTGCGCCAAATCAATACCCGGGAAATCCTTGCAGAAGCTGTAATGCAAGACCTACGAGCACAAGCGAAGCTGAGCTCCCCCATTTAGTAACTTTTGCTCTACTTTTTGCACCTTCGCAAAATCACGTTGTTTATGGATTGCCGCGTTTGTGGTTTCATCGGTCGCTTTAGCATGATGACAACATCATGTAGTTAACAGCGATCAGTGCTGTCAGCACGTTTGAGAACGGCATACGTTTTACCGCACAGAAGTTCCCGGGAAACGCGTTTGATGCGCAACTGAAGAAGAGCAGCGACATGTACAGCCGCATGAAAACCAGGAACACGTTTGGCAGCAGTTTGTGGAAGAGGGCCACGCACGAGCACCCGCTCCTGGAGGAGGGCCACATGCCCGTCTTAAACAATATGCTGACCATGTTGAGCGAGGCCTCCCGGAAGAGTTCTGGTAAGATTCTCGGTGGTGGAGACACCGGCTTCGACTCCGCAGAAAACGTAAATGTCCGACTGCTCGAGGAACCCGAAGACCGCGCGGACGTGCGGCTGTTGGCGCGTTATCTCTGGCCCCAGTACCGATCCCTGAACAACATTTTCGAGCGCGCCGGCTACAACTACCTGAGCAGCGTACCACTTTCTTGCGACTTGACACCCGTTTTTTTTTTTTCGTAAAGGTGCTGTCTACTAATACTTCTGCTTTTCAGTGCGTTGTGCTAAATCTATATGAGCTCCAGGTACGATAGATATGAGAATTAAAAATCACTCAACTACTTAAATTTAAATACTTCAGGATCGCGAGGACGTGAAGCCGACCCAGCAATCCCGCGAGTCCGTGTTCGCGATTGAGAGCAAATATAGCCGGAAGGAGGACTTCCCTCCCACCAGCAACCAGGTGCAGCACCCCTTCTGCTACGATAACTCCTGTTTGGAGCGGGACCTGGTCGGGATCCCGGAGAACGAAGTCTTTCTGGACGAAATCCAGGGCAAGCTGTACGAAACCGAATACCGGTATTCGCGACCAGAGTTCCGCGCGAAGCAGTTGACTCCGACGACGAAGTTTTTCGGCGCGCAAAAGTACTACATCCGCTTCGGCCCGCGTAACCACTTCCGGAAGGGGCTTAGGCACAAACACTTGCAACGGCATTGGCAGTACAGCGGTATTACTGCATCCGCCGCGGCACCGCGGGTGGAGGACCAGCAGTCTTCAGTTGTAGATACTGCAGGCGGGGGTGATGCTGCTGCTGCACGGGACATAAATGTGCAAGATGAAACACAAACTGCATCATCCCCGGCCGCGTCAACAACTTCTAGTCCCTCTACTTCAACTTCCGTAAAACCAAAGCACCTGGATATTACACTGAAAAATGCCCCCACCCCAGGACTTCTTGCGAGCATTTGTATTGCAAACCTTTGCAATGGGAACAACCATCCCCGTCTTACTATAGTATCAGCATCACAAATTTGCCATGCTGAAAGGCTCAAATTTGTGCTGCAAAGGAGCCCACCGGCCGGCGGATCTGTTATGCAAAAGATACCTTGCGCGTCTAGATTCTATCTGCATCAGGAGGGCTCGTGCTTAGTCCTTTCATGCAAGACAAAAAGACTTTCATTTGAAAACCTTATGCATGAGAAACTTTTGCAAATTCCAGGGTGTGCGCATTTTTCATCGTAGTACTGGACCCTCAATTGTCGACTTTTTACCTGGCGAACCTACAGGAGGACCTGTCCTATTGAAAGGAAAAACTCCCCCTCCCCACATCAAAACGGAATTTCTGATGCTGGATTTGTGTACACAAATCAGCTATGTATTGCAGAGAGACATTGCGGCCAGATCCCCTGGCTAGGTAGGGGCGTATTGGTCTAGTTGTTCAGCACGGCAAACGGCTCCCCTTTAGGCTGAACAGCATGAGAAGTCGACTCCATAATAGGGCGGAAGCTTCTGCCCTTGTCTTCTTGCAAGACAAATCTGATTTGTGACCCCAAATCAGCAACACAAATTTTCGAAAACATACCCTTTCAATATGGGGAGGGGGGATTTTTCTTCACAATATGTCCACGCAGATGCTTTACCACCGCGGGTACGTGCACGGGATGACCTTCGAGGAAAAACTCAGCCGCTTTTCCGTCGACCGCACGTTTTTGCGGTGGAAACCCAAAGAGCCGACGGAGCATTCGATGCTGGACCGCGACAATGCTGAGCAGTGGCAGGGGAAGGAGTACTCGAAGGAGCTACCAAACCAGAACGCGGTCCTGTCGCTCTTCTCCACGAAGACGGCAACCGTGACGGAAACGGTTCGACTTCCGACGAAACCTGCGGTTGACCAATTGCGAGACAGCAAAAAGCTCGAGCGCCGTCTGCTCGACGAGTTTTCGCAAGTGCTTTTGCGCAAGCGGGCGGACATCGTGGAGATGCAGAAGAAGGTCCAGGCGTTTGGACCGACCGACTTGCTGGAGAACGCGGGGGCTGGCATGCTGCAACGGCTGCAGACACTGGAACGAGACCTGGCGGACCAAGAGCAAAAGTACGCCGCGTTTGCACTGGGGTATGTGGCAGAAGCCGGACCTACTGCATCTTTTTCGCAGCCGACTTCGCTCGACAGCTTGATCGCTTTGAAGCAGTTGCAGCAGAGTAGCAGTTCTAGTACTTCCTCCGCTGGTGGAAGTAGTAGTACTACGACAGCAACAAGTGCATCATCCTCCTACTCTCCGACCGCTTTGTCCTCGAACATCACAATCGTGAACAGGTTGAGAGAGGCGAGCTACTACGAGAACATCGCGGCGTTTCCGACTCTGAGGGCGCTCGTGGAGAAGAGCAAAACGGCCGAGTCGACGAAGTTCGTGGCGGAAGCGGAAAAGATGGGTGGATCAATTCAACCAAAGAACGGAGATGGCGCGCCAGAGCGCCTGGTGGTGGATGACCAAGTCTTTGTCTCGAACAAGGCAGAGCGCATCGCGGAACTGCGACGGGCGGAAACCGGATTTTTGCTCGGACGCGGCGTGATTGGTGCGGCCCTCAACCGAAGGCACAGTGCGACAGTGGAAAATATAAAATCTTCCGATAGTTGTTTTACACAGCACACGACCTCCCCCGACAAGTCGTTGAGTCCTCTGGCAGCATCTGTTACTAGTTCTTCAAAAAGAACATCACCAAGCAGGAGCTCGGTGCACCATTATCCCTACAGCATGCAGCCAAAAAGGAACCAAAAGAAGCGGCTGAAGGTGAAGTTCCAACCCGAAAAAACCTGGGTCCTGGCGGCGCACGGCTTCGTCCCGAAGAGTGAGCAGAGTTGGATCACTTTGGAGCAGCCGGCCGTGGTTCGCGAGTTGAAGGTGTTTTTTGACAACAAGAAGCCATTGAACTTCGGCAAACTGGAAATTTCCGGCATGAAGCAGGGGGTGGAAATCTGGCGGCGGCACGTTCTGCAGCCTTCTGACCAGGCGGACTCCGCCTGTCCGGTCGGGTCCCGCGTGTTTTACCAGAAGGAGTCGCAGAAGAAGGTGCGCCAGGGGCGGGTGGTGCGCCATTTCCCAATGCTGGGGATGATGCAAATCGAGCCCTTCAAGGGGGGCAAGAACGGGAAGGTCCTTGGTTCGCGGTTCTCTGCCTCGGCCGCGAGGTCGTCCCGGGGGCAGTACCCCTACCGGTTTCCGGTTCTGTTCCGGAAGCAGTCCGAGGTGGCCAACGACAAAGGGATCAACTGTGCCAAGTACGCCGTCACGAGGCACTTCACGAAAAAGCTGCAGGACGAAGGCATGGCTTCCACCGGGGCCGGGTTTGTGCGTCGTGATCTTCATCTCGGGGGGGAACGAGAGGCGGAGACCACGCTGACACCACCCACGTCGGTGGACGAAACTACAAGCAACAGTTCTAGAAGCAGCGCGGCTGCAGCAGGAACGCAGGCTAGTAAAAGTCAGCAAATAAGGCCGACGTCCGGAGGGTCCTCTGAGGACTTAGTTTTCAAAAAGAAGTCACCAATGTCCCGCCGCCGGCGCGTTGTGAAGATCACGGACGGAGCATTGGAAACGGTCGACACGATCTTTTTCCGTTGGCAGTTGCGCAAACCCAGTCTCGCTGCGGATCAGGTAGAAGATCAAGATAGCGATAGCGCATCTTCAAGAAGTAGTGGAGCAAATGCCCCTAGTACAACCTCATCTTCTTCAAGCCAAGATCCTTTTTGGGGCGTGGATTCTTTCACGCTCGCCTACGTCCAAGACCCGATTGCGCTCTGGGACGCCCACAACCTGCGGGAAATGTGGTACCAGGAGCAAATGCGGCGAGCGGAGGAGATCATTTGGACCAACGTGCGCGACGCTTTTGAGTTCCCAAACAGCCCGCGAGACCGAAACCCGCAAGACGATTATCCTCGAGAAAAGTTCGTAGTACACCAAGCTGCACACCTTAAAGTAATCAAAATCTGGTGCTTTTTATTTTTTCTCACGAGAATAAAGCGACTGAGCTACAATAAAGGCAATGCTATACCATCATATGCAAAAGGAGAATCAGTATCAGAATGTTGTATCATGCGGAGAAGTAGAATGTTGAGATACTTGGAAAGTCATGCTGAACATCCACCAGCGGTGGACCACTGCCACTTGCTGTGACACGACAAATGAATGCGGCATGGCGAAGAATATTTTGGCTTCCGGTTATTTCAAGTGCAGGTGTGCAGCTTTTCCGCTTGATAGCTCGGCGGCCGCGGGGGGAAACACATCTTTCGAGCCTTCGGAGAGCTTCGCGCAAGAGACCACTTCGTCCCTCCTGGAGGTGTCTACCCGGCAGCGCACCCACGAAATAGTTCGGACGGGCAACGTGACGAATGGGCACACATACGACACCAGCGCAGTGAAGTCCTGGTCCGGAACCGGGTCGTACAACGACTGGTGGGCGAAGAATGCGATGTTCCGGGAGGAAGAGGAGGCGGGCTACCGAATCGTTTCCATGAACGTCACCGCCTGGGACTTTACTGCCGAGTGGAAAGCGCGGTCGGACTACAGGAAGGAGAAAGCGGCGCTAGAAGCGAAATATGAGTCGGAATTAAGTGCTTGGAAAAACCGAACGGGGACAGCAACAAGCGAGGGAGGAGCTGCGGCAGAGGCAGCAGCAGGGGTCCCGGATCCGGTTGCAAGTGCAACGTCTCCGCCGGCAGAAGATGGTCCACCTCAGCACGTCGAGACAGAACCCGTGAAACCGACGCTCCCCGTTCTGACCGACCAAGATTTGAACCGCGCGGCGCACTCGACGGGCGGAAATGTCTACACGAAGCGGCGGTTTTGGTCCAAACACGCCGAATGGACGACGTATGGGCATGCGAGGCCGGGGGGCTGGTTCTACCATAACGTATCCAGGAAAAAAACTGTGTAAGTGTAACTTTCTTTGAGGAACAGCATCACAAATTTGCCCTACATGACAGAGAAAACCTGTCATGCATGGTTTGTAAGGGAAAACACACATGAAAAGAGGACTTCATGGCTGTCTGGCATGACAGGCGTAACTCTGTTGCATCTTCTGCAACACAAATTTACACTTACACAGTTTTTCTTTTTTTCTTGCATACAACGATCTGAAGTACCAGTACGACGCTTTTCTCCGCTATGCAAGAAAAAAACTGTGTAAGTGTAAATCTGTGATGCAGAAAATGTACAACAGTTACACTTGTCATGCGCGACATGCATGACCGGCTCGGTTCCTATATGTTTTCCCTTCCTATCTGCGCATAACAAGTTTTTCCTGTCATTGCAGACAAACTTGTGATGCTGTTTTCCCAAAAGACTTACACTAACACAGTTTTTTTCTTGGATATCCGCACGGTGTTCCCCGTCGTGACCGCCGGAAGTGGGGAGAAACAGACCATCTACCGGATAAAGTCCACCGACATGGAGTACAATTCCAACGTCGACGCGTTGACGGAGCAAGAAATAGAAAACCCTAAGTGGCTGCAGGTGATCAAGGAAAAACTGCTCTCCCTGCCCTTCCACGCGTGGAAGCTCCAAACGGACCAGTTTGACTTGCACAAACTGCTCCCGGGCTTCCCCCAGGGCTTCCCGCCGGCCGAGTACGCAGCCGTGCAGGAAAAACGAGAACTGGCGCGATTTTTTATCTGGCAGCAGTACGGGTTGTGGCTACGACGCCAGTCCGCGTATTGTGAGCGGTCCGGGACCGTGTACTGGAGCAAGTTGAAGCGGCCGTGTTTCAACGAGGGGCTGTTTGAGCACAGCAGTTACGACGTTTCGGACATTTTGAAGACCAGCAGCGTCTGGATCCCGGAGCAATTTTTGCAAACACCGACTATGACCGGCTCGGGCATGACAAACACCGGGTCCTCCTCCTTCGCGGTGGCGAAAAAGAACGTGTACGACACGTACTCGGGTGGGGATAAAAGGTTCTACAACCGCGTCGGCACGGAGAAGGACGGCGCGGTGAAACTAGTGCACGACTCGAAGCGCGACGGCTTTTACGGAGAGGGACACAACCCGGAGCGGTTGTCGAAGCTGATCGAGAGCAAAAAGCTCTTCAAGGAGCGCAAATACGACGACGTGCCCGCGGTGGCCTTCGACACGAGCCATTTACGGACCGCGGCCGACTGCATCCGCCTCAAGGCGGACTACGAGGCCGGGCGGGACGTGACGGGAAGGCAGCGGCGTGGTCTGCTGGAGGAGTCTGGTACTAGGAGCGAGGTGGAAGTACAACGACCCATCCCATTTACGAACAACAACGTAGTTGTTGAAGATTTTTATCCGACGGAGGTGTCGAGGACGAGAGAAATAACGCGACAGGAAGATAAAAATTCACACCGCTTTCGGTCGTGGCAGGCCATCGGGAATTTGCAACTGCATCACCGGATGTACTGCGGATCCAACGACGCCATCTTTTTCGACGAAGCGGGTGGCGTCGGCCGCCACGTCAGCTTGAAAAAGTACCGAAACGCGTGGGACTTTTATCTCAGTCGGAATCGGGACGACCAATCAAACTCTTTTGAGGATACAGAGCCGAAAAGGGTAAAGCTCGACCCGTATTACAGTGTGGTGCAGGTGTTGCGGCAGGGGGACACGAAGATCAACGAGATCTCCGGGGCAGCGGTCATGTGGAGCAGCAACGAGTTGCTGACGTCCGATTTGCAGGTCATCAAGCGGTATCAAATGTAAAAATGTCTGGGTCTGGAAGGTTGGAACTTGTCATGCGAAATCTGAATCAGGCAAAAAACTGTGTTGCATGATTGCCAAAAGTTGTGCACTTTTGACCTAATCGAGAGGCAGTTTCTCATGCAGGATAGGCATGAGAATGAGAAAGGTCTCGCAGAATCTGTCATGCTATGTCCTACATACCACACCTCATGGGTCATGGAAAACCTGCATGCCAAATCTCGTAATCTTCCAGACCCAGACATTTTTACAATCCATAAGCGGTCCGAGCTGGAAAAGGCCCGGGTGCGGGAGTACAAACGGAAGTACGAGGGAAAACGGAATTCGGATGAGAACAAAGACGAAGCGAAAGACTTGCTCGGATTGATCTCTTCCATGGTCGGCTCGCTGTTCGGCTCTGGGGACAGCAGTAAAGAAGAAGCTTCATCCTCCGCCGATTCCGCGGCGAGTTTGGCAAAAGGCCCCGCAGGGTTTCTTATCGCGCCCACCGCGGTGTACACGAGCAACAGGCTGCTGCAGATTTTGGAAGACATCCTACAATACCCGGACTACTTCCTCTCGGGAATCGCGTTACCAAGGGACGTGGAGTCGCTGCAGTTGACGGATACTACTGGAATAAGGGACCGCGCCGGGGGGTCTTACTTCGCAGCGGATAATTTAAAAAATGCCTTTCCCTCCTCTAGAAATAGCCACAGCAAGAGCAGAAAGAAATCTCGTAGAAATTCCCGAAAAACTGCATCCAAGTCCACCTCTTCTGCGATCGTTGGCGCTGCGAAGCTGCAGTGGAACATGGTTTCCGTGGACGGGGAAACCGGCGAGCTGTGGCAGAACGGCACGAGACGGGTTTCGAAGCTCGATGGGGGGCCCAGTTTGCTCGTAGAGCTCGAGGAGGAACAAAATCATCTTCAACACAAAGAAGCGGCGCCAGCTTCCTCTACGATCCCGGGAGCGGAAGTAGATGCTACGACTAGCGGCGCAAGCGTCGCTTCGACCGTCGTAGCTGCGGGCGGGGAAGAACAAGGGGAAGCAGGAGTAGTACATGACGAGGCAAGATCTTCAGATTCACGACAAGGGGTGAACAAAACTCCCACCACGGTAGCCTCGACCGAAAATGATGCTCAGGTAGAAGAATCTTCCCAAGTGATTGTGCCGAAGAAATTCAGCAGAGCAGGATCAAAAAGTCACTCTGGTGAACCAACAAGCCCCAAAAATTCGTTGCTCGAAACCAACAGTCTGAACGACTTTCTGATCCAAACGGCCTACCTGCTCGGGTTCCTGGGCGAGGCGGCTTCGTACGACGACCAGGGCCAGCATCTCTCGGATTACAAGAACTTCGAACGGTTCTTCCAAACGGTGCTCGAGCAGCGGTCCATCGCGTTGTCGGAAGTGCTACGCGCCATGCGGGAGTACAAAGTTTTTGGGTACTATTCCCGCGAGTTGCTGGCAGAACATAGGAAAAGACAGAAAATGATGCTGGAACAAGACCGCGGGAAGCAGGATAGTACTTCTAAGTGGGATCTTCATCATACACGAGTTGTAGAGGGAAGTAGAACATCAATATCGACACCAAGAAGAACTACTACTGCGTCTTCTAGTTCCTCTGCAGAAGGGGGAGAAGAAGACGGTGCAAGCGGGTCGGGATCGGACTACTCTTCAACGACAGGAGATGAATCTACGGGGTCTGCTGGATCAGGGTCGTCCTCCGGCGTCGAGGGCAGTAGTAATTCAAGACATTCCGACTCCGTAGACACGGATCTTGGGGCGGATCTTCAAGCTGCCGCACCACCAGTCGCTCGCGAACAAGAAGAGAACGAGGCTGCTGGTGATGAAAGCAGGAACCCTACTAGAAGCGGCCCGGTGCTGTCCGTGCTCACGCCAGAGGATCTGGAAAAGTGCAAGCAGGAATCTTCGAACCGGCCCGATGGGAAGTGTACGATGACAGGTGAAGATTCCAGAACTACGCCCACTTCACCTCAGCTCGCTGAAAATGGTAATAAAGCTCCTTCGGGATCGGGTCGTGCAGCTGTAGTATTAGAAGAGGAACATCACAGCCAGAACCCCTCTCACTCGACCTACGAAGGAGCAGAAGAGGACGAGCGGATCAAAGTCATCGTAAAGCTTCTCGAAGAAAAGGCCGACCACTTGGGCCCGGCCGAGTGGGTGAAAACGGGCCAGCACTTTCAGGGCGCGTATTTCTGCGCGCAGGGGGAGACCCGGATGAAAGTGAGGTTCGAAAAGGTGACGCCAAAAACTGGAGTGGCAAGCATTTACACGGAGGACCAAGACGCACCCTTGACAGAGTTGGAGGTACTGGCTATATCTTCAATGATTATATATAGATAATCGTCCTGGTCGTACTTTATTTTCAATACTAGATCGTGACGAGTACAACTCACAGTGTAGTTTGATTCAGCCCGAGCGTTCCTTTTGCAACCTGTTTGGTGTCTTCTTCCTCTTCACACGGTGAAGGTGAATCTCTATCATCTATTCATGATCTTATCGTGGTCCTACCAGTATTCCTTACGTTTCTCATTTTTATCACAGATCACCGCCCTTCTCTCTTTCGAGACGGGTACTGGAATCAAAGGCAGTTTCACCCTGACCGGAACCGTTTTCCTGGACACGGGTATCATTCACCTGGACGGGAAGGAGTGGATCGAGCAGCCTGAGGGCTACAGCATGGTCGGGATCGTTGGCACGTTATCCTGAGTAAAAGCGTCCCCATCCCATAGTCAAGATGGGAAATCTGCTAGACAAAGCAGCCAGCTTAGGTTGTTACGCATGACACACTTGGCCTCGTAGTGTGAAAATCGTGTTTAGCTTGTTCAGCAGCATCACAGATCTAGCCTAGTATGCTGATCGGCGCATGACAAATTCCAAAACGCGACTAGAAAACGCAGGTCATGGGGCTCCGCATGAGAAACATTTTGAGCATGCAGAATTGCATGACAGCTTCTATGGGGTTGGGACGTGTTTACACAGGATACACGTTCTCCAGAAAACACATTGCGGGGAGGGACACCTTCATCAACTACATCGCCGCCACCGTGACCGCGGATTTCTGCGACTACGCACGGGCGACCGACGAGTTTATCCCGTTAGAACTGGCGGTATGAAATGCAAAAGCATCGTACTAGTATAAATCGCATGACAAATTTCCTCAGCATGGGAAATGGAATCTGTGATGCTGATTGACCTTAGGAAAAAGATTTGTAATGCATAACTGCAATTGCTACGAGTACGATGCTTTTGCACTGGATAGGCGGAAAAAATCACCCCGGATAACGCCGACGAGGAACTCGACGACACCCGTATCACAGTGAAAAACGCCCCCACCCCCGAACTTGGGAGCATTTGTATTGCAAACCTTTCCAAATGAAACACTCGCCCTCTTGCATCTATCAGCATCACAGATTTCCGATCGTGAATAGCAAACATTTGTATTGCAAAATATCCCAGCAAGAGCGACGCTCGTCATGCAAGCGATGCGACACACGCCTAGCCTCTGCATCAGAAAGGTTCATCTTCATACTCCTTTCATGCATGACAAAAAATTTTCATTTGGAAACTTCGCATCACAAATTTTTGCAACTTTGGGGGTGGGGGGCACTTTTCACTGTAATAACCCGGCGGATTGTGCGCGCCATGCACTGGGAGCTGACCCGCCTGCGGCGTCGCTGGGGCAGCAAGCTTTCAACCATGTTCTCGGATATGCGGGCGGCGAAACAAGAGAAAAGCTCCGCCAAAGTCCTGTTTATGGACAGCGACGGTGGATCCTCGAAGGGGGGGAGCGCCGACGCGGCGAGTAACCTTTTTTCCCTCGTGAGCGACCTGCTGCGGTGATACTTATCTGAGAATTATATCAGCGACAAGGCTTGTTCCACATAGTAGCTCTGGAATGGTTGAAAGTTTGGTAAAAGTATCCGTATATGACCGTGTTTTACTTACTTATTTTGGTTTGATGACTTCTTTGTTTTGTGCTTGTCATATAAATGCGCGTATCAATCAGTTTCAGTACTTGAAATTAGATTTAGAAATGAAAAAGTAGTAGTCCGATATTGGCAGTTGGAGAAATACACGAAATGCAGCCTCTGTCGACATGGACATGTGCGGTGGGTGCCTAATTTCGCACGTAGTGCATCGATTTTTTGCAGTCGATGAAAACACAACCCGACGACAGATGGAAAGAATGGAAATGACTTGCTTGTTGTCGAGCTCGAGTCTCATGGTCAACACGCGATGATCATAAAATATTGACAGGAAGTTCATCTCCCACTAGTAGTAGGCGAAATCGAAATGTTGATGGTTCAAAAGCTCCGGTACGAAAAAAATTACCCTGGCAGTACCGAAAATCATTTGAAAATTTTTGGATCCTATGATCCCGCTCTCTCTCTTGCGAACGAAATATGTTCGGAAACAAGATGTTACCTCATTAAAGCATCACGAAATGCTTGGCCTCGTCGATGCATGCAAATCATTGCTGTGAGAAGTGCTGCACTCGGTGCTGTTTTTACGGCCCTGAAGGAGCAGACGAAACTCATTTATTATTTCACGTACAGATCCAGTTCCAGGCTCCTTTCGATAGTGACACATAGCAAGTCGGTGTCGGTCAAATTATAGTAATGTCAAGACAGAAAAGCTACATCCGAATCGCAGCTTTCGGTTCTGCATCTGCATTGTCGTGGACACGCATGGATGGATTGCGATTGCTGAAATTGCCGATGATTTGAAATGGTTGTCGGTTTGAGAAAACGTAAATGGATTATGTCGGTCGTGGTTTTTTTTCTGGATCGCCATAGGAAGATCTCAATTTGTTTCTGCAGTATGAAAATGAAAATGTAAGAGGAATTTTTGAGCTTGCAGCACGAAGATTTAGACGCTATGTCAATCCGTTTCTCTCTCGTTTCCATACCCACAGGACCCTACCATCGAGTTTTTATTCATCTTTCCCAGTAGTGTGGAAAAACAATCAGTAATTTTTTCTAGCCTCTCTCTGTATAATAGTTTGATTTTGTTTTAAAGAGACTTGTAGTCGCAAGTAGGTTTTCAAGCCTCTATCTTCAGTGGTTGAGTACATGATCGTTCTATAGTCGGTGTGTTATCTTCTGAACGCCAACACATTTCACTAAACGACGACACAATTAAGTAAAGCTACGACCTGAGTCCACACAAATGCAAAAATCTTCTCGTGTATCTACTTCTTACAGGTGCAGTATTTTGTAAAAAAGTAGATTGCGCAAGTGCGATACTTCACTAAAAAAAAATTAGAATAACTCATAAAAAAGTAATATGAATCCCACTGCCTCATCTGAAACCGCCGACAAGAACGCCCGGACCTACCTGCAGACAGCTGGCTCAACGAATTATGGGGCGGGAAACAAGTCGGCAGGGCCAATATCAGCAGAGGCTACTTCAGCTTCTAGGCTCCTCCCGACGCAAAGCAGTGTGAGTGCCGCCTCAGCGATCCCGGCCCCGATAGAGCGCGCGGCTTCACACCTGCGGCCGACTTTATCCGTTTCCCACAAAAATACGAACCTGCAACAACAGAACAACCATGGGACGCAGAGCTGGGCGTGGTCTTGGGCACGGGGGTCGACGACGACGGCGGGGGGCAATCATGCTGGTGCAGGAGCTGCGGCACATCTTGCTCACGAAACAGGCATAGGTCACACGGCGGACGGAGCGGCAACACAGAACGGAGTGGTCGGTGGAGCGCATGGACCACATCATGCTCTTCCGCCGGCGCATGGTGGACAGCAGCACCAAGAGTTGCACCCGCCGCAAGTACAGGAGCAGCAGCAGCAAAATGGTACAAGTACAGGGCAGTTTCAGAATCAGAAGGGCAAAGGAAAGCAAGGCAGCTTTTCATCTGGTGGAGCAGCTACTTCTTCCAAGAATTATACGGCATCGGTCCAGCGGGCCGACACGTTCAACAGTGAGAGCCACGATCATCAAACTGGCGGCCACAGCGACGACGACGCGGTGTGGGTGCAGAACATTTACGAGTTCATGCTGGCGCTGCAGGAAGACGCAGACTTCCGGAAGCAGGTCGACCTCCCCCCGCTTTCCTCTTTATCCCGACTTTCCTCCCAGCAGCCCCAGGACCCCCCGCAGAAGACCAAACGCGGGCGGCACAAGGTCGAGGCGAGTGCGTTTTTCCGGTATCTGCGGACGAAGGGAATACTCGATGACGACAACCGCGTGTTCCCGGTGCGGGTGCGCGCGAAGCAGGTTTTGGACTGTCAGAAGCGCGGCGGAAAGTGGTTCGAGCTGTACGCCGCGGAGGAGCGGCACCAGCTGCAGAGGGCCGCGAGCTCCCTCGGCAGTCGGTCACCGGCATTGTCTTTCCGCAGTAAAAACAGCGCGGAAAATTTCGGCAGGGACAGTCAGTTGAGCTACGCCAGCGGCAGTTTATTTGGGAACAAGTATGGGAGTAAGGACGGGCAGTTCACTGGAGACACGAGCAATCTGGAGGACGGAGAGGCGACATTTGTCTTGCAGGGGTTCCCGAGCGTCTCCACCGCGGGGGGCGGGACAATCTCTATTGCACATCAACAGCCCTCGAGTACATCAAAACTGCTACAGGACGATCATGACAACAACTATTTCAGTGCCGCCACGCTGGAACTACGACCTGAACCACAGGCGCAAGCAGTAGACTACCCGAATTTATTGCAGCAAACGGAGGAAGATGTTGTCGAGGGGGAGCAACACTTACTCCTGAAAGACGACAACAAAACCTTCTTCGCGGAAATGACGGATGACGACCGGACGCCCCTGACATTAGCGGAGGAGAAGGATTTGCTGTTATCCCAAACCGAGTTCATCTTCATTGTCCGCGGTTCGCCGGAGATCATCGCGCGGGCCTGCGCGAACGATTTCGTGATGAAAGACTTCGACGACTTCCAGACCGATTGCTTCCAGATCTACCAGGATCTGAAGGACCACTGCAAGGGGGCGAAGGCCTCCTACATTCCGCAACTGCAGTCCCAGAACGAAAACTGGTGGGCGGTGGCCGCCTGCACGGTGGACGGACAGCGGCTGGCGATCGGAGATTTTGCGATCGAATTCTGCCTGCAATCCTGCTCCAAAACCATCACGTATGGGGCGGTGTTGGAGGGGGTGGGTGTGGAGCAAACCCACCGGCACGTCGGGTGCGAACCGAGCGGGATGATTTTCAACGCACTCGCGTTAGACCGGAACGGGTTGCCGCACAACCCGCTGATCAACTCCGGGGCGATCATGTGCGCGGGGATCTACTTCGCGGCGGCCATCGAGCGGAAGATGGAGTCGGCGAAAAAGATGGAGGAGCAACAGCAGCTAGAGATCGAGCGGAGCTTGAAGGGAAGCTTCGACGAAGAGATGAGTCAAGATTTAGTACTAGAAAATGATCAGAAGCAAGAAGATGACACGACACTAGAAGATGAAGAGGACAACAGTAGATCCGAGACGTCTTTCCCCGCCTTTAATACGCTGCCGCCGAGAAGCAAATCCTGCCCGGAGCATGTGATGCTGGAGGGGAAGGCGAACAGCTGTTCCTCCGTGCTGGAGGAAGGCGTGCATCTTGGAAAGGAGCATAATGGAGCTGCAATCAACATCAAAAACGGTATCGTGGACGTCGGCCCTTCATTAGGTACGATGACCGGAGGTGCTGGGTTAACGAATACGACCGCAGCTCCTGCTCTATCGACCGACGGCTCCTCCGACCACGGTTTGAAATTGGAGAGCAAAGCGTTTACGTTTGCCTCTACGTCCCAGGAGTGGACGGTGACCAATCCACCTCCCGGGGCAGCAGGAGCTTCTGTTGAGGAATCATCTTCAATGGGATCTTCGAGTACAGCTCGTCCTCGTGCTGGAACTACAAATGATGTCAACAAAGCGAGCGTTGAAGGTTTTTACACCAACAAGCCCCTAGTACTTCCCACCCTCCCCTACGGTGGGGGTTTCGGCCTAGATTCGGAGATCACGACAGACATGGACCAGCAACCACCCCCGCCACTCAGAAAAAGGCACACGACGCACGCAGATGGCGTTCTTTTGTCAGCAGGAACGTCAACTATGACGTCCAGAGGAAATAAGAGAACAGAAACGGAAAGAAATAAAGGGCAAAATGGCGCGAGCAGTGCGGAGGAACCACCGCCCACAGGTCGTGACAATATTAACATGAAGATTGCGAACAGCAAAACCAACACTGGTTACCAGCAACCGCACCAACCTTCCGGAACAGAAATGCGAAATAGAATACAGATGAATCCCGAGATAAATAACGTTGCCAACGGGAGTACTACTACCGGTCCCACCACTGTCGTTCATCCGGGGGAACAAAACAACAATAATAGAGACAATAACAACGAAGACGACGATGATGGTTTGCTGACGGACATTCCGAAAATCATGATCGAGTTCATCCAAAACTTGTCAAAGGACGAAAACATGAATTGCTCGTCTCTCGCCGAGGCCTCAGGCCTGTCCATCGAGCAGGTTTGGAAGATTCTGAAGCGCGGGAATGTGGTATCACAGTGAAAAATGCCCCCCACCCCTGAAATTGCAAGAATTTGTGATGCGAAGTTTCCAAATGAAAGCTTTTTGTCATGCATGAAAGGTGTACGAATCTTTCTGATGCAGATTCTAGTCGTGTTTTGCATCGCTTGCATGACAAGCACCGCTCTTGCTGGGATCTTTTGCAATGCAAATTTCTGCTATTCACGATCGGAAATCTGTGATGCTGATACACACAAGAGGGCGAGTGTTTCATTTGGAAAGATTTGCAATACAAATGCTTTCAGGTTCGGGGGTGGGGGCATTTTTCATTGTAATACGTGGACTACCTGAACACCCCGGGCACGAACGTGTACCACGAAACCCCGGTATCAAAAGGAAAAATCCCCCCTCCCCATATCAAAGCGGAAATCTGTGATGCAGATTTGTTGTCACAAATCAGCTTTGTCATGCTACACGGGAAAAGATGCGGACTGTAGTGCTGGGTGGCGTGGGGGAGCCTTGCATCTTCAGCATGATAGGAGGCAGCTGAGAGTGGGCAACAGCATGACAAATTGCCTGCAAACGAGACCACGACTGCGGCTCTTGGCCTTCTAGCATGGCAAGTCGATTTGGTACCTCAAATCCTGCGTCACAGATTTCCATTTCGATATGGGGAGGGGGGATGTTTCCGTTTGATACCCGGGTGGGGTGCCGGGAAGGGTGTTTGAGCCCTGGAACGAGGCGGAGATGCTGGAGTACGAGGAAAAGGAGCTGGAAATGCAAAGGTTGCTCGGTCTGGAAACCGACACGCACAATAATTTTGACGACGTTTACGATCATAATTTTTACGGCGACGAAAATAATCCTTCGACGAACAACAAGTCAGTCCCAGCGTCGACGCATGCGTTGCGGAGGCGGCACTCGAAAGAGAGGATGGGGCGGAGAGCAAACCGGAGGGACTCCTTCACGGCAGCAGGAGGGGGGAACAATGAACTGAGTGTGAGCCCCCCGGCGAGGGGTGGAGCGTCGAATCTCCAAATAAATGCGCGGAACAAGAAAAGCCAGAACGCAGCGCGGGCGAGGAACATCCAGCTTGCAGTGACAAAATCGAAGGAAACGAAAGACGGTTCATCTGCCGCTCTGAAGCAGGAGCAAACGATGAAAAGTAAGAACTCGACAGCCAAATCGAACAATTCTAGGTACAACAATAGTAACGAGCGCGCCGCCAGTCCGGAACAAGACTCTTCAGCTACCGGAAAAATGTCAAATGCTGCGCTCGTGCACCACCCGAACAATTATTCGGAAGCAGACAACTACGAGAGCAACAGTAACCGGCCTTCTACAGCCCTGTCGCAGTCCGGCTCCGAGCAAGTCGTGTTTTCGCCGGAATCGCGGACCGCAAGTGCAACGTTCGATACGGAAGTACTAGACGTTGGTAGTTCATCTTCGCAACAACTGTTGTGCCAAAACGCGGTATCAACCGCCGTTCCAACGCGTAAGCCGAAAATCGCGTCGGCGAGCAGTCCGCAACTGAGTCCAATCCGTGGCAGGTCGCCGGAGAAGAGGGGAGCAGGAGCAGGTGCTGTTGTTCCGACGGTGAAACTAGCTAACGGCGAAAATGTTGATCATGATCAGAAAATAAACACAAAGGACCACAATCCGAATCTGCTGCTTTTAACCACCACCGCAGCGGACGACCACATGGGCCACCAGCAGCACAGCGGAGATGTTGTTGTTCAACATGATCACTCTGTTGGCAACAACTTCCATTTGAGCAGTGGGGATAAAGAAGTATTAAAGCCTACTTCAACGTCTCAGACGAACAAAGGAACAGAAACCTGCAAGAAGCAGCTTCCCGTTGTCCCGCAACATGATCTTCACAACGGGACTACCACCAGCACGACAAAGACAGACGACAGCACCTCCAGTGACAACAACAATAATGGTTCCCCAGACCGCAACTACAGCACAAGAACCCAGAACCTGTCTGCTCGCAACGAGGATCACAGCTCGGCGTCTTCCTCCGTCGGAGTGCTCGATAATCAGATTATTAACAATGACGATGATGTAGCATTAAATCCCCCACAGGTCCTCGTGGACCAGAACCCCATGAACACGCTCGGCGACTACGTGGACCAGTGCCTCCGCGAGATCCAGCAAATGTGGTCCCGCCTGGGCGGTCGGCGGAAGGTCGGGTACGACGAGGACGTGTTTTTGTCGGAGGCGAAAACCGCGGACCGGAACTTCGCGCTGGCGTATTACTTGAAGGAGAACCGAGCCTACCCGGATTTAGTGAACGGTTCCCACTGCGGACGCGACTCGCTGGTCAATGAGGTGCTGGACTTCTACTTCAAGCTCTGCGCGCTCACCGTCGACTGCGAGACCCTCGCGATCGCCGCCGCGACGCTGGCGAACGGGGGGGTGTGTCCGACCACCGGGGAACGGGTTTTGAAGACGGAAACCGTGAAGCACATTCTCAGCATGATGTACAGCTGCGGCATGTACGACTACTCGGGCGAGTTCGCGTTCCGCATCGGCCTCCCGGCGAAATCCGGCGTGGCGGGGGGTATCATGGTGGTCGTGCCGAATTTGCTCGGCTTCGCGACCTTCTCCCCCCCGCTGGATAAGTACGGCAACAGCGAGCGGGGCCGCGAGTTTTTCTCTCGCCTGATCAACGTGCGCAGGTTCCACAATTTCGATATCACCGAGTCCGGGGGCGGCTTTGGAGGAGGAGGTGCCGGAACAACGAGTACGGGAGGTGGCGGTGCTAATATTTCTGCCGCAATAGGTGGACCTGGACCGGCCGGCGGCGGCGGTGGACCGCAGCAACGAACCTCGCCAACCACCACCGCCACAGATCAGCCGCCGCGAACGAGTTTGATTGGATCCGACCGGGGGGACACCCTGCCGGCGTGGCTGTTCGACCCGAAAATGCACCTGATCCAGCTAGCGGCGGTGGGTGACCTCGTCAGCTTCAACCGCATGCGGCTGTCGGGGACCACCGACTTCTACGGCCAGGACTACGACCAGCGCACGCCCCTGCACCTCGCCGCGTCCAACGGGCACTTGTCCGTCGTTCGCTTCTTGCTCGACAATGGCCACCCTCTGGACATGAAGGACCGGTGGGGCGGCACGCCGCTCGACGACGCGTTGCGGGAAAACCACGAAACCGTGGCAAACTTTCTCATGCTGCACTACCAGCGGTTGCAGGGATAATTTGATCATGATGTTGAGATAAACTAACCAGTAGTACAACGGATTTTTTTCAAGAGTCAGCTTCATGATGGGCCACGACTACGTACTGGCAAGATTGAACTGGTGACAGGAAGCTGTTCTGGAGCTTTTCTTGTGTGCTGACGGGTTCAGCTTGGACAGTGATATTGACACGAGACCGAAAAAGACGTGGAACAAAACTTCTGCCCGTCTATGTAAGTATAAAACTTCGGTTCCGGTCGATCAGCATGTGTGCGTCGATACGACTTTTCCTCTTGTCAGAAAGGACATGATGTGGTGACTTGGGTTGAACATGTTCGTAGTTATCTTTTCGTTCTTCATAGCACGCGCAGCGGAGGACAAGCACAAGAACTACAGTAGGCCGCCCCGGCTGCTATTTGGTATCATTGTTCATGGTCGTGATGGAAAAGGAAAACAAACACAAAGTGTGTGCATCGTTAAGCTGCATCACAAATCACATTGTGCCAGGTTAGAAATGAAGTAGTCGAAAAGTGAAGAGAGAAAGATGAGTGAGACATGTCGTGAGTGTTTCGTACACATATCGGCTTCACGTTTACAAGGCCGAGGCGAGCACGGGGACCTCGTATGATCATGTCAGTGGAATTTAGTTTTTTCGTGCGTCAATCATTCATTGATCCTGATTCGTGAAGCAGATGCAGAAGCATTTCGTTTCTGTAGTTGTGCTGACAAGTAGGGGAGAGTAAATGATGAAAATATGATCCACTGAAATTTAGTAAATTCGTTTTCGTTTCTTACCTGTAGTTACATCGCAGAGAAGAGGGGAAATGCAAATACTTAGTATGACACAGAAATATCATGAATCCGGTGAGCCAATAAACCATAAGCATAATCATGTTGAAGTGCGCCCGCCGCAGTGGAAGGAAGTAGAGGAAATCATCCTCTCACGACGCGACGTCAACCTCCTGCAACAGAACGACTGCGGCGTGCTTATGTAGTTGGTGCAGCCATTATTTCTGGTCGTGGCACGGCGGGCGGTAGTAGGAAGACATCTCTACTACAACTACCGCTGCTGCTGTTCCATTTATCACTGAGGATGGTGCTCTCCGCGAGGACGTCGACGTTTTCGGCCGGCGCTGCCGGGGCGAGCACCAGCACCGCAGTCGTTGTTACACGACACTTCTGTTCTTCTTGGCTCCTTCTTTTCTTGTTCTTCGGTGCGCAGAAGATGCTACCATTTGGTGCCAGAGCGACTGTTCGGGACGAAAGAAGAAGTAGCCAAAGCGCCGACGTCGACGTGCGGCCCGGCGGGGAAACCACCACGAGTTCGAACGAGGAAGAGGAAGAGCAGAAGCTGCCAAGAATTGGTCACGAGCGGACTACAACAGGAGCCCCAGCCGCGGCCGATGACTCCTTTGACGATGATGTTGTTCGTCGTGGTGCAGGCGAACAAAAAAGACGGAATAAACCTGCCCGCGGCGCGAGTTCCTACAAAACTCCTCTGCAGCCCGAGGAAAATGCGCTCTTCGACGTGGTTCTTGAAGGGAGTGCACCAACTACTTCTAGAAGAGCCACGGCCAATCAGGCCGCCGCGCCAGCGTCCGGCGGTCGCGCAGCTCTTGAAGTTGGGGCCGCAGGCACTGGAGCAGCCATACCTCCTCCAAGAACAACGGAAGTTGTGGACTTGCTTCTCGAACAAGGGCCTGTGGAACAAGATGAAGACCAGGCCGAGGACGTCGCGTCTGAGCAGCCGGAACACGAACAGCAAGAAGTTAACAAGCCAGAACAACACCAAGACCGGCCTCTTGAAAAGCATCTTCGCGATCATCTAGTTCATGTTGTTAAAAATAACGACCCGCATCACTGTCCGAACCTACGGGGCGGTAGAACCTCTACAAGTGATAGCAGTTTAGCAACGTCTTCAAGTAGTAGGGCAGCTGCAGCTGCTTCAAGTTTCTCTACTACTACTGTGGTACAAGTGGAAGAAGTAGTGCAGGAACAGGTCGATGAAGAAAATAAACCATCGTGGTTCCTCAATTCAACGGGGTCATCACCAATATCATCGGCAGAAGATGAAAATAAAAGCGGAGAATCAGAATCTCTTACGTCCTCGACGTCGGACTTTGTACAAAAGACTGCTGGAAGATCCGTTGTGAGGACCACCTCCGACGAGTTCCAGAAGAAGGAAGGAGAAGAAAAACAACAACACCAAGAAAAAGAACAGCAGCGCACAAGGGTGCAAGTCGGAGACCTGCTAGGATGTGCGTGCAGTGCTGGAGAACCTGCGTTCTCTCTTTCCGAGGATTTTCTCGACCGGCGGTTTGCGTGGGCTCGTCTCGAGCCTATTTGCAAACCACCGGCCTTCTGCCCCGTATTTGGGCGACCCTACTACGTCCCGTGGAACGCCCCGCTCTCTCTAGTGGACCAGCTTGGCAAAAGCCCACGCTATTTAAAAGCCAACAAGCGCTTGGTGGGGTCCACGCGGCACAACTTGGTAGAGCTGCGATATCAACATGATCAAGAAACAGAACCCCCGGGGAGGAGGACGGGCGGCCGCTCGCCTGGTGGTGCTGAAACCGCCACAATCTCGTCACCTCCGGGAAATAAAGCAGCCACCTTGTTGGGCCGATGCGCAGGCGCTGGCCGCAGCCGCTTATTCTCGAATCTTCTCTACTCCTACAGTCGACCGAGACGTGGAGCTGTTATCTAAAGAGCTTGACGCCCAGTTCGATGCGGAAGAGCTCGCGAACGCGTACGAGGAGGATGGAATCGACGTTGGCCTGGCCCTGAGGCAGCTAGAGAACAACCCGCCACCGGGAGCTTTCGTCAGGCCGGTCACCGCGCTCTTTGACTTGGACGAGGTGGAGTCCGACGGAAGAAGGACGGGGCTGCTTGGCCGCTGGAACTCGCAGACCAATGCGGACCCGTTTTATTGAAAGAAAAAACTGTGTTAGTCTTAGTGTAGGTATTTCAGAAAGTGCGATATTTTTTAATAGCGAAAGTTCAAGACTTTTTAAAAAGCAGGCATGTCCGGTTTTCTTAATACTGCCTGTGTTGTGGTGCTTGGAATGCAAGTAGCTAGCGGCTGCTTCGGTAATAATTGTCTTGAGCTAGTTAAGGATGCAGGACTCATGTTTCTGCTTCGAAACCCGCTGGGCATCGTCGTAGTACTCCTCCATTCCGGCACTTGTTGCGTTTTCATTTTGAGAAGAGAAAAGTCCGAAGAGTTGAAGGCGGAAAAGATAACTTTATGAGTGTAAGCGCAAAGCTAAGTCTTTAGGTCGCGTTGAAATCGAGGCACTTTCTCGACCCCCCCTGACCACCCCCCCAGCGCGAAAATGAAAATGGTGCACTCGCAATTTTCTCTTTCCTAATCCCGACCTATAAAAACAAAAAAGAATGATCAGTGTAAATGGCCATCTTGGGAAAGAGATCCGAATGAGTGTAGTGCAATTTCTGGAGGTCCTTTTGACCCCCCCAAGGAGAAGAGTTTCTCTGCTACACTCGTCGTTTTCCCTTTTCCGGGATGTGGCCTACACTTTCACTGTTCTGTTTTCCCTGCCCGAATTGCAGTCAACGCCATTCGCGCGCGGGTTCTGGAACTTTCGGCCTCCTTATACTTTCAGCGTTCGGGCTTCTGGAGTCCTGCCTCCTTAACTATTCACATATACCGAAGCAGCCGTAGCTAGTTTTGACTACATAAATTCGCCTTATAAACGTCAACACATGATACCAGGTCGGGCATTGCGCCACAGCTTGAGAGTTTTTTAGTTTTGCACATCAAAAAAAGTAGTGATTTTTGCAACACCTACACTAACGCAGTTTTTTCTTTCAATATGTTTCTCCTCCGCTTCACTCCAGACCTCGACGTCCCGCACGCGCGGTACAACATGTCCAGTTAGGGCGGAAAAATCGGCAAATATCATCATTTTTGCAAGCGCACTTGTTTGGGGGGTAAAAAAAGGTTTTTTGTCGGGGGCGGAACATCTTGGAAGCCGACACGCCTCGCGTGTCACTTCATCTTTTCCACAGGAAACATGATAGCTGAGCTTCGGAGATGCCGCAACACCAAGACCAGAAGCAGGCCACAGTGCCTTCGCTCTGTGCGTTGTCGCTCAGATGGCCGGACGCTGTGTCGTGGGCCCGCTCTTCGAACAGTGGCCGGGCCGCCTCCCTGACCGGGGCTCGACGAGGCCCTTCGCCCGGAGAAGGAGGCCCGGCCAGGGGAGGTGGTCAGGGGGGTGCATTTTTGCCCCTCCCGGACACCCCTTCCGGGCACCCCCTTCAGGCAGCTTTGGGGTAGCCTATGCCGACCCCCTCATCCCCATTGGAAACTGCCGATTTTGCGTGCCCAAAAAAGGTAGCCCAGAGGCAGCCCAAGCCGACCCCCCTACTCCCCCCCCTTCGGCACCCCCCCGGAAGCACTCGACTGCTGGCGCGTCCGCCTTCTCCATATCCGGTCGGAGAGGGAGGATGAGAAGATATGTGGGCGCGTCCGGAATTGAATGCAGGACATTGGGTGCGGCATCCCGCGCCAGAGGGCCGCAGGCGGGTGGAGCTTCAACAAAGTCCGGCGGTTTTATTGGAAAAAGGGGAGGGCCGGATGGCGGACCGTAACACCGAAGTGCGGCGCCAACATCTAAATGGCCAACAGGAAAAAAAGCAGTACCTACACCCCCAACAGCCAGAATCTTTTTACCCCCCCAAAAAGTGCGCTTGCAAAAATGATGACATTTGCCGATTTTTCCGCCCTAATCCAGAGTCACGCACTATTGAGAGGAAAAGTCATTCCCCCTCCCCATATCAAACCGGAAATCTGTGATGCGGGAGCGGGATTTGAGTACACAAATTCACATCAGATTTGTCTTGCAGTAGAGGACGGCACGCAGATCGTGAGCCTAGGTAGGGGCCTTTTGCTGGTGTAGGCGCCTCGCATGGTAGACGTCTGCACTGTAGGCCTTACAGCATTACAAAGCGCCTGCATAACGTGGCGGACTCTCTGAATTTGCCTGCTTGCAAGACAGGCAGCAGGATTTGCGACCTCAAATCTGCATCCCAGATTTTCAGCGGGATATGTTTTCAATATGGGGAGGGGAGATTTTTCCTTGCAATAACAACATGTCCAGAGTCATGCACGCCTCGGAGTTGTTCTTGATGAACCCGCACGGCACAAAATCTACAACACCTGCTCCCGCAGCGGAAGCGGCGCACTCTGGAATTTCATACGTGTTTGATTCAGCACGTGATTTTTTCTCTTGGGGGTCGAAGGCCGAATTTGATGAATTGCTATGCTTGAGGTGATTTCTCTAAAGAGTTCACTACTCAGAGTATTGGACTTTGCGACTGCTGCAGATCGAGCTGTCTTCGAAGCACCGCCACGGCTCCGGTGGCTTTGTCTTCTCTCGTGTGAAGGGTACATGTATGGATTGCAGATACTTTGTCTGGGTCTGGAAGTATGGGCGAGTTTGTCGTGCGTCTCGCGGACCAGGACGGCGCATATGGTCTGGAATGCACACAGAAGCATCATAGATTCTGCGAGACCTTCTTGCTGTCTAATATCCTGCATGAGAAATTCGTCCTTAGCAATTTTTGGCGGCGTTCATGAGCACAGGGTTTTTGTTTATCGTTGACACTTGTTCTCATACCAAGCTGCATGATCCTTTCAGACATCCAGAGACTTTTCCACTTGATAATGTGTACGACTACGTGAACGGGCAGGTCGCCCCCGCGTAATTCGCGAACCCGAACGGTGACGTTGTCATATGCATTGCAAATATGCCTGGGTCTGGATTTGTGATACGAAAGTTGCGCCGTGGCGCCACGATCTGTATTGCATGAAGGGAACAAGTGGCCAGTTTTTTTGTTGTGCAGGAAGGTGGTAGTTTGTAATGCCAAATACGAATGAACTCGCATTAAGACCCGAAAAACTTCTTGCGGCGCGTTTATGCCGTGCAAAAGGCTGCGTTGATGTAATGCCAGACTCAGCATGTGCATGACAATGACTTTGACTTACTTTCAAATTCAAATTTATATCCAAGCAGACCGAGACCCTGGCGTCCTTGCAATGCATACGCTCTTGATTCCTTTCACCGAATGCTTTTCCGGGTACGTTTATCCAAGGAAAAAGATTTTTGATAGTGTGACTGTAGTGAGTCTGTGATGCCTGCGCACCATAGAAGATATTTGCGTCTGTAATCCATCTCCATCTGCATGCAAATGCGTTTTATTCACATAACAAGTACAACTTACTATCTGCGCATGACAGGAGGCTTTTGCTGTCATAAAAAAAAACAAATTTCTTTCTGTTCACTGTTAGTTTTACTTTTCCCCAAAAAGAGAAAATACTAAGAGACACACTTTCTTTCTGGCATAACAGGCCGCGCTCGTGCGGTACGCCGAAGATCCTGACTCTCCCGGCGCCGTCTCCTATGGCCAGGCCAGGTGTTACAATCTCAATTGTTTATATATGAATAAAGATGTGGATTATTTTTATTTCGGTTTTATATTGCGTGAACCACACGAGGAAGTGCGAAAAGCGCGACGCTTTCCATCTTACTGGAAGATAGGAAGCGACGCGTTTTTCGCAATACTTACAACAAATTGTGTCAGATAAAAAGTCTAGTGCGCTTGTAAGCTGCGAAGCTTGCCATGCGCAACATTATTCCTGCGGTGATAGGCCAGATTAATCAGCAGCACCAGCATTTGCATCACCATCACGAATTTTCGCTTTACTCATGGCAACGTTTTCTGATATTGTAAGCGGGGTACATCTCCAAAGTTGGCTTTTTTGGCGACCCAGACGCGGTGGCGGAAGTCCTACACACTCGGCCACCCGAAAGTGCTACACGCTCGGCTACCCCCTGAGGATTGATTTCATATCTGCCAAGTCTGCATGGAGTTTGCACGAAATAAAGGGCGTCTTGAGTGACAACATGATAGATGTGTTTTGCGTAGCATGAAGCTGGAGGTGGAGCTGCTGCTTCAAGAATCGATGAACAACTACAATCCAGCACTTATCGAAACTTCTCTAGAAGTAGTCGTGGATGAATGTTTTTCGATTTCAACAGTACCGATCATGAAGTTTGCATTCTTGGAGCTGGAGCGCAGTTTTTGAGAGAGTGAAGATTCGCTGCGTCGACTGGCAAAGTTGACATGTTGAGCAGAGGCCATCGTGCCGGAGGGAGTTGAGAAGGGGAAGAATGAGAATCAAGAGTCGAGAAATATTTATACGAAATGCCGTCCTTCCGCGTCGATTGATCTCGTCGATTTTCCAGCGTCTGTGTCGTGGCAGATATGTCCGAAAAAGTGCTGCTGCTACCTACTTTGATTATAGCCAAGGAATTTAGAAGAAGGTCGATTTAATTTGGATTACAAGGTCGTGTAGTGGTTGTGGTGTTGAAAAGACGAGACAGATGCAGATCAGGAGTAAAAGCCGCTAATATCCGAGTGCGAGCGATAAAAGTTAACCTTTCATCACTTTCTCCTACTTGAATTTGAAGAAATTCAGCCTTCATCCAACCATTATCCACTGCAAAAGCATCGCATAATTGGTAAAGTGTTGCCGGAAAAATGAAAATACATGCACAGATGAGAGACGTCTTTTCTTACCTGCACCTGCTGAATGAATTTGGCATGCAATTGATACCAGTGTGATGCAGCTTTTGCAATGCATAAGCGTGGACGGGTTTCTAGATGTCACGGAGCTCGAAGACTACGTTCTCGGAACATATCGACTGCAAATATCGAAGATCTGGCTCCTGCTTTGGAATCAAGTCGTCATGCTAGTAGTATAGTACTACGAGTGACACTGACAGACAAACTGCATTACTTAAGCGGCCGAGCATGACAAATGAAAAACTATTGAGCGTAGAAATGCCTTAGAATGCGGATGAGAAGTGTCGTTTTTGCATCACAAAGAAGCAGCGCTTCGATTTTTGGACGTCCGCGGTCTGCATCATTTTTACACGAAGTTCATCTACTTGTACTTTCGGACTTCTTGTTCTGCATTCGAAATCGAATTCAGTGCCGCATCACGACGAGTTTTGCGAAAACCATCGTGTTTCACACAAGGAGTCAGATGAAGAATATTATTTGCAGTGTTGATACTAGAGCAGTTTCTACAGCCACGAGAACGTCTACTCCGTCGAGTACGACTACAGTAGGGGCTTCTTGTGAAGAGAGCAGCAGCAGGACGGTGTCGCGCAGTGCGGGCACTACTCCTACATCTTCTGCCGGTGGCTCCAGCTCCACGACCAGTGCTGCTTCGCGAGCAATTCGGACGTTGTCGTCAAGTTATGCACCTTCCGTCTCCCTTGGTTCGTCAACTTCCAACATGACTGTGCCCGTTGTGACCTACACCAGTCGCCGGCTGCCGCTGTTCGACCTGTGGCGCAGTGTCGGGATTTTCTTCCTTGTCATCCTCTGTGGAGTCACAATCACGGTATTAAGCCTAGGCTGTGCCATATATTTGTTTCTGCTTTCACCATTCATTGTTTGCTTACTATGTGCTGGTAGGGCTGCCGTTTATTTGATGATGGCATAAGGAATTCTTTCTACTCTAGACTTTCGCTTGTTTCAGTTTCTTTTTCCGAACAAATTTGTTACGTATGTACTGAGTCTTAGTAGTAGTAGTTCCACGGAAGATCTTCTGTTCGGCTACCAAGAATTCTTTGTGTTGTCTCGTCCAGTAAGAAAGACAAAGAACACAATGATCAAACTCTACAAAAATCGCACAGTGGCAGCATCTGACCTCCTCTCTGCTACCTGCGTCGCCAAAATCGTCCCCCGATCAAACAAATCCGCTGGACGAGGTTCGTGGGAACAAACTGACCACGACATTATCCTACAGCAAAACGTTCCTGCCCTAGTAGAGTCAAGATGGAGACTTTGCAACGCAAACCATGAGGCTTTGGCTGTTGCGCATGACAAGTTCTTTGGGCTCGTAGTGTAATAATCCTGTTTCGCTAGTGCAGCCGCGGCGTGAGCAATCTGCGATCTCATTCTGATGCTAGCATCACAAACTTCCAGCTACCATAATAGTAAGAATTGCGTGTCACGTTGGCTGCGCACGAGAAACTTTCTAGGCCTGCAGATTTGCATTACAATTGTGGGGTGGGAGCGTTTTTCCGCAGAATACACACCGCCCCGGAGTCTCGCGTTCGACGACGACTGGCTGCAGTTAAAGGGGGAAAACACGTTTTTGCAACTGAAGGAACTGCAGCAAGAGCAACTGGGACAAGGGATGACCAAGATGGACAAGAAGCACACGGTCGTGATGAAAACGGGAGAAGATAAATCGCACCAGAACAAGAAATATCAAATGCAAAAATGTCTGGGTCTGGAAGAGAGTAAACTTGTCATGCGGTTTTTCATGACCCAGGAGGTCTGGAATGCGGGACCTAGCATGACAGAGTCTGAGAGGTTTCTGCCATGCCTATCCTGCATGAGAAACTTCCTCCAAACTTGGTCGAAGTTGGACAGCTTTTGGCACTCATGCAACACAGATTTCTGCGTGATTCGATTTTAGCATGACAAGTTCCAACCTTCCAGACCCAGACATTTTTACATTTGATAAGAAAGTGGAACAAGGAGCAAGCGCAGCAAAGAAATCATCCACAACCTTCACCCAGGAACAGCAGGTGGCCGCACCCAAGCACGCCGCCAAGGGAAAACCGAAGGGGAAAGCGAAGGAGCCTCACCCGGAACCAGAAGAATCGGAGGAGGAAGGATCGCCCGAGGATGGCGAGAAGGAATATGAAAAGTGTAAATCCAAATTCTTGTTATTTGTCTTGGTCGCTGCAAAATAAGTAGACGGAGTGTTGCAAAAATGCTTGATGACTGTCATGAAACATCAAGTGAAACGTCGCTACACGACTTTGTAAGCAGGCATGTCGCACTACGAGGACGAGGACGAACTATCGCTGTGTCTATGTTCAGGTACTACAGCTTTTTTTCCCAGTACCATGATTATACATGTTGATCCGTCTACACACGGCACCATACGACCCTGACACAAATTGGAATTTTTGTGAGCGACACATAGGAGAAGGAGAAACACGACGAAGATGAAGAGAAGGAGGATGGTGAGGGGCCAACGACCGAGCCGCCGCTGGATGACGGCAAGATGACGCTGTACGTGATCATCGGCATTCTGCTTTTCTGCCTGCTGGTCACGCTCGGCTTGCTGGCGTACAAGTTTTCCCAGACCACCACCAGTGCGGGGTACGGGCGCGCGAGCAAGGGCGGCAAGAAAGGCGGCAAAGGCGGCAAGACGATGGGCGGCGGAGTATCAAGAAGAAAATTCCCCCCTCCCCATATCAAAACGGAAATCTGTAGTGATGCAGATTCGTGGGAAAGCCTTGCACCTTCAGCATGGCAGGAGGCAGCTGGAAGTGGGAAACTGCATGACAAGTTGCCTGCAACCAAGGCCACAACTGCGGCTCTTGGCCTTCTAGCATTACAAGCCGACTCGTGTACTCAAATACAACAGCATCACAAATTTCGTTTTCGATAGGTGGAGGAGGGATTTTTTCTTTCGATACGGAGGAAAGGGGAAGGGCAAAATGCCAGAAGAAGACCCGTTCGCCGACGACGACGAGAACGCCGGAATGATATCAAATGCAAATATGTCTGGGTCTGGAAGAATGCTGATGTTTGTCATGCTGTTTTTGCATGACAGAAAATGTCTGTCATGGAAGCCCTAGCATCACAGATTTGGATTTCGAGAAGCTTCCGCATTGCTTAATCCGCATGACAAATCCCCCATTTTGGTGACAGGAAATGGGCACCTTTTGCTGCCTATGCATGATAATTTTTTGGTGTTGTGAAATGCGCATCACAAGTTCGCATCCTTCCAGACCCAGACATATTTGCAATGCATAAATGATGGACGACTACAACGATGACGGCCCCGGTATGGGATAATTCTCAACTGTTACATTCTCAACCGTTCCATGAATTTGCGATGCGAGAATGTTGGCAAAACAAGGCAAGTAAGCAAGAGGGGGAAGATTGCGCGTTTTGCATAATACAGGTTTGGCGCAGATTTTAATGCTAAGCATCGAGCAGTTGCAGTTCGAGAACTTGCCATGCGAAGCAGCTTGATCATGCCCTAGGTACCGATGGCAATTTTGCATGACAGCTTTATATCGTAAGCAAATTGAGAGTGTAACGCTTGAGAATCCCTCCATAGCCGGGGGCTACAGCGCCGGCGCGGGGTACGGGGACGACCAAAACTACTACTAAAAAGGACCTGCGGGTAGAAGATAGTTCTTGCCGAACAAAGGCAAGAGGGATGAGCATTTTAATGTTCTGTCGGAGAACACAAAGACAAACCACTGCTTAGTACAGTGAAACAATAGAACAATACGACAGAGTAGAAGAAGTACTTATTTGCGCCAACTGTGCCGTCCAGCCTTGTTCAGACACAGAAGAGACGAACAAGAATTTTACACTAAACAAGAGAAGAACATCATCGAGTGCAACCAGCACACTCGAGCGAGAGACGCTATTCCGAGAACCATTTGTGAAATTGAAAAAATTAAGATGAATGTACAACAAAAGCAAAGTGAGATTGAGTCTTGTTTCTATTGTATGATTGAGTTTTTACTCATTTATTCAGGTAGTTTCTGTAGTGTACCAACCTAGTTCGAGAACGAGTTGAACCTATATCCATCTAAACGTCAGGTTGTTGCGTGTGTTTCACACTGTTTCACTGTACCTTAAAGTTTCTTCACGCAAAAAAGTGAAGTTAAATAAAGTTGAGAAACAAATCGACTATGCAGCTCCACGTACCTGCAAATGAAATTTGAATTTGTGCACAAAAAAGGAAAGTTGTACGATGAAAAAAAACAGAATACGCGAGTGAGTACACGTAACACGCTGCGTCTTTGGCCGCGTGCATCAGTTTGTTCCTCCGTAGAAACTGTTTTCCTGAGTCACTTGTGGGTCGTCCTCTCGAGGTCGTCATATTCTGTGTCGCAAATAAAGTTTTCCAAAGTTATTTTCCCTGCGGTCCACACCTCGCTCATGATAGATGATCCATAATTAGAAATAAGGCTTCGTGGATTTGTTTTCATCGTCAATCGTTGAATCATAGTCGTGAGTCGTATTTTCGTAAATCCTCGTATTCGGAGGAAAAAGGAGGGTCGTCGTCGTAAACTCGTAGTTCCACCGTCGACCCAAGAACTGTATTGACGAGGACAACGAACATGCAAGTGTTGATGCGTCTCATGTCTCCCAAAGCCTTCGGGAATTTCAACGTGTCTCTCGTGCGTTAATTACTGCCATAGAAACTACGCGAAGAAGGTCGTACAGTGCCAGGAGGTTTACTACGAGTGCGTTTTTTTGCAAATAAGTAACATAATAAATTTGTCGCGCTTCGCCTTCGTTCCACTTGCACAAGTACTTACTACGCACAAGAAAATGGACATTCCCTACGAGCGTTTCAATCTCCTCGAGACCCTCCCCGAGACGCAGGAGGCCGTCCCCTGATATCCTGTGCAAAAGTCCTATTGACGTCGTGTCTACTGGTCCTACAACAACTTGCGGCCATGCAAGACAGCTCTGTCTCTGTTGTTAGACCTGAACAAAAGCTGCATGACAAACTTGTTGAACAAAAGCTGCGTTGTTCTTGTTGAGAAATTTTGTCATGCGAGCGCGTGTGCGACACCGACACCGACACGAAACACTTTTGCAGCCCTGCATATCTGGATGCAGAAGTGGATTTCGCCCCACCAGCGGTTTAACTGGCACCACAAGAGGGACGCGGACAACTGGAACCCGCGCGACGCACCCCCACCCATGGAGTCGAACAGCGGAAAGTTGATCGCGTACAACGGCTCCAAGGCCTACAACCACCTGTTCCCTGAAAAGCAGTTGCAGCGGTCGGATTCCGCTCCTCAGTTTCCCGCGAGAAACAACTGGAAGGTGAACAAATACGGGCCAAAGGAGCCGGCAAGGCTCGGCGGGGGGATTTCCAGCTGGCAACCCAGTCACTCCGATGTACAATTTGGTCTTTGGTTTTCTATGTTCTTTGATGGTAGTGTGTCGTGCGTTTCGAAAATTTGATGTAAATTTCTTGTCATGCGAATATTAAGTAAGGAAGCATATTAAGCTGCACATGATGTTGTAGTTTCACGAATCGAACAATATATGGTATCAGGTTTTGTGGGGTTACCCCAAGGGTTTTGAGAAGTGGAACAAGGGCTCTGAGATGACCAGAATTCTGAACGTATGATAAGGAGAAAACCTTGCGGATTCGCATCTTTTGCACGTGCTGCGTAAATTTCTAAAAGCCATGTATGAATCATGGCGTTGTACTAGCAAGATTTTTATGGTAGAAGTTTCGTTGCTGGTCGAGATATTCGAAATAATGTGCACGGTCCTGTAATCATGCGGAAGCAGTAGCTAGCAATTAGCATCCTCAACTTCGAACGACCGAGCCATTTGTGCAGTGGTCGAATCCGCTTGATGAATCATTTTTCTCCATACTTCCCCGCGCCTACCACCGGTGTCCTGCAGTACCGCGGCGGACCGTAAGCCGAATCAGAATGCTGCTCACGACGGTGATGAAATCGGGAATTTTGATCTGTACGTACGCATTTTTGTTGAAGTAATAGTATGAGTTGCCTTGCAATTGAAATTACAACTATTGGTATGTTGTTACTGTATCGATGAAACGGAAGATCTAGTTAATTGTACAAAAATAATATTTATAGCAAGACCCTGCCTGCGATAGGATCGCTATTTTTATTGTACACCGACGAGGGAGTAGGAAGAGGAACTACAATATTAAAGCAAGACATCGCGTGCCGCAACTACTTTTGATCTGCAATAAAGCAAGGACACCGACGCTACAGAGATATCTCAAACACTTCCGAATTCATTGTACATGTAGATTCGAGATTTTGTACTATTTGTTGAACAAGACAAACCAAGTCTCCACGACTTTTACAGGGAAGAACAATAAAGCAAAGCGCAGGCCTGCATGCGAAGCTTTCCTGAACGACCCCGATTCAATGAAAATCATAGCAAGAAATAACAAATGGAAAGTTATCGTAGGAGGAGCGACAATATCATGGTCCGACGAGCCTTGCCAAATTTACTTTGGTTGCTCTTGTTCTCCCTCTTTTTTCCCCTTCAGCTTTCATGCTTGGCCGCAACGATCGTGAGATTTTTGTTTGCGAAAGAAGATCGAAATAAGTACCACGAGCCAGATCTGGATCTTTCAAGTATTTGATCCGCGCGTTTACTGTGATTCTATTTGATCAAAGCCATTGTAAGACCGGCTTTCTTGATGGGCTTTTTTGTGCCCGAGGACGAGAAAGTGAAAGTGAAAGAGAAAGAACTACTTACCGTGGTCGATTCTGATCTTGATGAAGTTTTTTAGAGGTGGTCTACTTTCTAACTCTAAGGAGGATCACCCTGATAATTGTCGCCCCAGCGGCGACCACAACTTTTTGAATTTTGATTTCACGCTCCCATTGCATTTTGATTCTCAGGTGTCACTGACAGAACATGTTGATGACGGAGAACTGCGCACTGTTGTAGTTTTTCTATCAAGTAGAATGAACTAATACATAGGCCTACTAAAGACGAACTTTGTTCGTGACAAAGGATCGCGAACGCGAAGTTGAAAAAAATTTTACAGGGTTTTAAAACGGTAGAGGTGACGAGAAAATGAAAAACAATCGAAGTCTACTACTTATTACGCCCAGAAATTATACTCGTTGTACTTGTACATGTACTGGTTCAGTGTTGTATTGATGTAAAGCATAAGTAATATAATTTTTATCTCAAGAACGGCCATAGCCCGCCGTCGGAGTTACAATCTATACTTGATTCACGTTGACCATTGTACAACTTCCTCCGGAGTCGATTTTTATACGATTACCCGAGCTCGCCGTATTGGTTTTGCCAGCGTGAAGAAAAAGTTTGCAGCCTGTCTGCACGACAAGTCAGCGAGAAGAAAGTAAAATTTATTGATTTTACAAGAACTGGAAATAGGGAGTCACGTTGCCCGCAGAGGAGACTCTCAAAGTAAGTATATAAATCGCGACATGTGACATCAAGATCTCCTTCTACCACCACAAGCGAAAGAGAAACGAAAACAAACCAATTTCGTGATTTAACCGAAGCAAAAGTTGCTTTTATAGATGTGACGTGGATCATAATCATGTGGTTTATCCACTACCTCTCGTCTTTCGAAATTATAACAACCTGCCTACGGCCAATATTGCGACAAAAATAAACCCGACACTCCACAATTTTCTACTAACCTTGCCGTTTGATTGAACCCGAATCTATTTCACGACTCGGCGTTCGATTTCAACACAGCAGGCGCAAGTTTATAAATACAATTTTATGATGTACTACACCAGCATCTCTGACGAGCACGAGCAGCTCTAGGGACCGCTACTACTACGCCAAAATAAACCGGACGAGTCGTTAAAGGACTTACTCTCGACCCGACCTCTGCCGTCGGACTCTCTTGATATACTTCGTACTAAAATTTACGCACACTCGTGTTATAGTTCACTCCTTTTGACCTCGTAGGTTTGCTTGTTTTGTAGTTTGTAACTTGGTCGCCTATTAGAGTGAGTGGCTCCGGTTCCTCGCTTTGTCATGTAGACAGATGCCGTCTTCCTAGTCCTCAGCGATTTAATCTATCTGATCGCCTTTGAAGACCACACTGTGTGTGCAGAGGAGCAGCACTTGTTGGTACTACCAATACAACAACCAAGACAGTACTCTCTCGCGACAGTCTTTCGACTAGTAGACCCTTCTTGAAATATAAATTTCTTGCGAAAGATTTGTTTGTCGAAGAGGTTCTGCGCGAAAAATCTATGAAATAAAAGCTACGACAAAGAAAAGAAATTTTAACAAGTAAAGAGATTGGCGATTTCTTGATGCCACTACACTAACTTTAGACTTCATTGCCGCGACCCGTTCCTGTCTCGCTTGTGAACTTGTTTTAAGTAAGACATCCTTCTTGGCTGGAGGACGAAGTTCTTTTACAAGGCGCGTACGAGGACCACCGAGGTAGAAGTAATTCCGCAGGCTCGAGCAGGAGCCGCTGTGGTATTGTATCATTCGCTAGCACGACAACCAAAGCGACACTTAGTCCCGTCCGTGCAAGATCGGAGGAGGACGATTGGCCACCAAGATGCCACGGAAGTGGACCGTCGCAGGAGCTTCACTCGAGAAACGCAAACCACAGGGACGAGTCAAGCGTTAGGAACGGAAGTTGCAGATCATGAACAGGTACTAGGGCAGCGCCAGCGGAGGATTTTTTTTATACTTAATACTATACCATGTTGGAGTTGTCCACTCCGTCTCTGGTGGGTCCTCGTTGGTGGAAGTGCCCGGCGTCTTCGCGAGGACCTCGACGCAAGCTGTGGGGCGACACAAGAAGAACAAAGGCATCCTTGAGCACGACTGGAACGAGGCGTTTGCTATGTATGACAAAAATGTCTTCGAAGCCTTTCTCTCTTTCTGGAGAGCAAACCCGCGCCGGCTCTGTCCTGACGAGGCTAGTGCTTTTACTCCTCACGACCTTTCACCTCGAGCATGTGTCCACAACTTCGGGTACGTACAATAAAGCAGTCGTGGCTGCGATGACTACAGCGCCGAATGGACAAACAAATAGTAGACCGAGCTGGTGGCGGACCATGCTGTTCGGGAGGACGTCGGGCAGTGGTGTAAGTACACCAGGTATCAAATGTAAAAATGTCTGGGTCTGGAAGAGTGCAAGATTTGTGATGCAGGTTTTCCATGACCCATGAGGTCTGGAATGCGAGACCCAGCATGCCAGATTCTTTGAGGTCTCTATCATGCCTCTCCTGCATGAGAAACTCCCTCTCAACTTGGTCAAAAGCGGACAGCTTTTGGCACTCACGCAACACAGACTTTTGCATCATTCAGGTTTAGCATGACAAGTTGCATTCTTCCAGACCCAGACATTTTTACAGTTGATACCAGGCTCATCAACTCGTCCAACTACCGGCGAAATAGGACCTTCTGGCGAAAGTGGCGTGGACGAGCGAGTCCGCGGACAACACCAGAGCGAAGAGATGATCCTTGCACAAGAACCAGGATCTTCATCGCCTGGTGAGCGTCGTGCTTCCCCCACACACCGCCACCAGGTCGGATACGCTAAAACATCAAATACGGCCGCGAGTGTTCTTCCTCCCGCCTCACATTCACCGGAGAGCATGCTTCGCGAGTTCTTTACTGGCCAAATCGATGCAGTTTCTGCCAACTCCGATTTTACTACTGCCGCGTCAACAACTGGTGTTGCAAAAACTTCAAAAACTAGTACCCCGGGTCAACATCTGGCGCTGGCCGCAGCACAGGTGCCGGTAGCTGCTGACAGAGACGTTTTTGGAAGGATGAAAAGGGAGGAGCAACGACCGGCAAAAACGTTGGACGTGTCTTCTAGAAGTGCTGCGCACCATTATGATAAAGCTTGTAAGCCGGCTTTCGCGTCAACCAAAAGCGGGTCGGTGTCCTCGCGGACTGGAGGACAACATCATTCTTCTCACTATAACCATATTAACCGGGAGACGAAAAGAGACAAAGGATCAGCTCTCAAGAAAAAGGAAAGTCAACGTAAGCCAGAAGAACACGAGAGAACCGGATTCCTGACTTCGGAAAACGAGAGACTACGACGGGAAAGGAGAGAAAAAGAAAAAGCCTCGCGGTCCAGTTATTCATCTTCCAGGAGTGGCGCGGCGGCTAGTACTGCTGCGGTGCACGACGAAGTACCACCTCGTGGAGGTGTTATTCCTCCGACCACGCTTCGCCGCGGACAGCTTTCGCCCGAGCAGTTGCGGCAGGAGCGCCTCAGGCAGAGTATGGCCGCGACCTCCGACGATGAGTACCTGCAAATGATGGGACTAGATCTGAAACACACGCCGCCGACAGCCGCGGGGTACATTCTCGGCTACCGCGGGCCGCAAGGGCGGCGTGGTGCTAGGCGTGGAGCAGGTGGTAGCAGCAGTAAAAAACCCAAAGGAAGTAGCAGGACTTCCTCTAGTGCAGCTAATGGACGAGTAGAGATGACAGCACCAAGAAGTAGACCAGGTCTAGATCTTGGGTACTATCAACAACCTTTTCCGCAGCATCACCTCCCAGTAACAGACAGTACGTCGGAAGAGCCAACATCTTCAGAGAGCTGCCACACCAGCAGCCAAAGCAGTAGTGCCGCCTCCTCGGCCTCTTCGTCGCCCGTTTCGTCCGCGTCTTTCGCGGCTTCTCTTGAAGACCGGGTGAGCTTGGAACGAGATTTCGGACACTTGCAGATTGGGGGCGGCGCTGGCGCAGAACGAGAAGTAGACCAAGGAACTGTAACTAGGCAACTACAGGGAGGACTAGGGCGAGATGACGAGGAGGACCAGTTATGTGGTTTCGATGTGGAGCAAGAATCGAATGACGACGTAGAACCTCTATTTGGGCGCAGACCGCACACCACGCAGTATCGAAGAAGAAGAAGCGATGCTGAGGGAGATAATAGTTCTAACTCAGCATCTTCCGCCGGCAGTGGAAGTTTGATAGTTGCATCAACAGCACCAGACTCAAAAACAGGACGAGCTGGTCTTTCTTCATCATCTGCGGTACCTGTTCTAGAACAGGACCTTCCCAGTACCCCCTTCGACAGCGCTATGCAGAAACGGGCCGCGTCGCTGCGAAGAAACAGCTCCGAAACTGCTGCAGAGGAAAGAAGCAGCGAAGAGTTATCTTTGTCTCCCGCAGGAGCTCCCCTCTCGCCAGGTGCAGCTACTACGCACCGGTCTCGCCCAAGAGTCCGGAGCCGAAGCTCTTTCTCCTCGGATTCCGCCGCGGCGTCCACCCGGGCGCCGAACAGCGACGACGATATGAAAACCACCCCGCGGAGCTTCCAGGGAGGAGGTCCTGCTCGTCCACACGGTACTACTAGAACCAACAAACTAGTCAAAGATCATGGACTGAAACCGAAAAGACGAAAGGGTGGGCCGGGAATATTAAGTTGCGGATCTTTATTCGGGACGCCGACTGCTCAACACGCGACAAAGGAGCATGATCAACATCTTGACACTCCTGCTGCGTTATTTCCTGCTCCGAGGACGTCGGAGGACTACACCGTGCGGGGTGGGCACAAACAAGAGCAGCCAGTGCAGCAACAACCGATCGTGGAGGCAGGTTCAACATCGTGGATGTTAAACGGTTGGACTAGAAGCGGCGGACAGGAACCGCAACAACAGGAGGCAAGACAACAGCAGGGCCGCACGACCAAACCAGCTAACGAGGACCACGGGGCTTCCATTCCCGTCATTACCTCCTCCGCGCCGATCCTTTCGCCGCAGCCTGTCCGCGTGCCTGCTGTGGTGGGTGGCACCGCAATGCTGACTAGAGGAGCGATTTCGCACCTTTTTTCGCAGCAGCTGCAGCCAGTCCCCGAGGTGGACACCAGTGCGTCGTGTAGTTCTGGGTCGTCGGGAACTTCGTGCGACGAGGGGCGGGGTAACAAGCGCGAGAAGATCCTCACGACTGATTCTACTGGAGGCGACATAGTTACCACTTCTTCTACTAGCGCTGCAAAAGTGAAAGAACAGGAACCTCCGCGCGTTGCTCAGGTTCCTGACGGCGTTCCATTTTACAAAACTGAATACGGTGGCAGTGCCGGCGTGGAAGTAAAAGAGGCAGCGGGCGGTAATTCATCTCACCATGGCACGACAATTCGAGAACACCAGCACAACAAAGTGCTTCGCACCGGCCAGACGGCATTGAAGCAGTCTTCTTCACCCGGGGGCACCAAAACAGCGACCGGCGGAGCTACTAATACCGAGGGAGGATTGAATAAACGAAGCGTACTACTGTCGTCTCATCATTCAAAGCGCAGTAGCAGAAAAAATGGTCCTCGTCTACCCCCTAATTCTCCGAAAAGCCAAGTTCTATTTCGGGACCCGCCCTACGTCGACACTACTTCCCAGGCACTCGTGGGCGGCATTTTCGATAGCTTAACGAGTCAGGGTCACGGTGCTTCTATGGTAGGACGATCTGCAGCAGGCAGTAGTGCTTCAGGAGCTTCTGGCTCTGCTGGCAGTAGTCCGCGGAGTTTCTATATGGCCGAGGGGATTGGCGGCTCGCCGATCACCTCAGCTGCTTCCTCTCCGCATACTTCTCCGGTGCTAGCCGCGGCGCCGAACCAGGGGGCGGGGTTTTTGAAATCGGGGCCGTCGTGCGGGGGCTATGACAACAAGCACGACAAGGGAGATCAGCACAGGAGCATCGTGGTAGAAGATGGACAACAGGATCCAAAGGACGTCGATGCCGAACAGGAACTACACCCGGCGGACTTTGACCTCGGACAAGCGGTCAGCGAGGTCGGCAGTCTGGTGCCGGAGCAGGTGGTAGCCGATTTACGCAAAGCGCAGCAAGTAGAAGTGCAACAGCTGCAAGAGGAACGGGATGATTTTGTCAGAAATATGGGCCGGCATATAATTCCGACCGATCTACCCTCTGTACAACTAGACGACAGGAGACAACTACAGCAAGACGACAGGACACAAGGACAACAGCAAGACCAGCGGCGCCTGTTCTCATTTCCGGGGCTTCGAAGTAGAAGACCTTCGGAAGACCAGGGGTCCTCACTTTACGTCAATGTGCGGCAGCGGATTGCCGATATCGAGAGAAAAATGTTCGGACGCAGTAGTAGAGCTTCTACAGAACAGGCACCAGGAGAAAATAATCTTCAACCAGAACAACTGCAATCGATTGCGGCGGTGGTAGCTGCGGAGCCAGTGCGCAACTACAAAGAGAGTTGTCAACCTGCATCCTCAGAAGCAGCCATCGCAGGTGGTGGAAAGAACAAAGACGCGGCTCTGAAAATGCAACAGGAAAGAACACAGCAGCAGGGGTGTTATAATGGGGGACCACATGCGGCACAGGAGAAGCAGGGATGCGAAGGGCTCGCGCTACAAAATAGTAGGAACGTCGACTCGGCAATAGTACAACCTGATGAATCTACAGGAGCCGCGGCGAATCTGCTCTACCCAGTACAACTTCCGATACGTAAGATCAGCAGTGTGAATTCTGTGGCTAGCACGCTCCCCGAACAAAACATGGTACCAGGAGGAGCCTCCAGCCTCAGCCAGGAGCTGGGTTGTTGTAGTTCCCTTCTCCCTTCGCCGGACATGTCGCCCGGGCCGGCCAGCCCGGTGGGCGGGTCCCCATCCCTCATGGAAGAGGAGGAAGAGGATACGCAGGAATTAATTCCCCGTGGCTTCCAAGGATCATCTTCTACGAAGCCGACCGGCCCGGGACAGTTTGAAAATCTACTTCCGCCATGCGAACCAGCAGAACGGCAACTGACGCAGGAACACACGCCGCTGTTTGTTATGCAGATCAACGACCAAGTCGCGCGGAATGAGATAGACGGAGGCCACGAGGAGGCAACTGTAAAGGAAAAACGCACGTCGAGTCTTCTATTTCCGAGCAGTAGAAGTAGACCCGCCGATCATGATCCGGCGGCAATTCCCCGACCTGCCTCGCCTTTTGGCGATTGTCATCAAGAAGAAGTGGACACTGTCATGGATGTAGACGATGGAGCTCTGACTGCAGCCGACATGGAGCTTATGGGCTTAGATTCCTTTCTCGTAAGAGCCCCCGCAACAAAAAATAAAGATGGCCGTCGCGAAGATGAAGAAGTGGATCCTGAGAAGTTTTTGCCTTGGAAGAGAATGGCAGCGCAGGGACAGGGACGTAGAGGCGTGTCGCCGGAGAACAAAATCACACGTCCCACGCCGAAACCACCTCGTCAAGAACAGCAAGGCTTCTTGCCTCTGGTGCGCACCGAGGCGGTACTTGTACCCGCGATTGATATAGAAAGCGACTCGCATATCGGTTCTCCCTCCTCGTCGCTGGTCGATGTGCATCTTCCGGGTAGTTTTGGGGCTGATGGTCAACAACAACAACCTCAGGAGCTTCATCAACAGAGCGCAGCGGCTGATATTACAACTTCTGCTGTTTTATCAGCATCAGCCTCCTCGGCTTCAGGCTCTGCATTCTGGGCGGGAGGGAGTGCCGCACCAATTGTGGTCGCCCAAGATACCGACCCGATTGTTCCTGCTTCTGCTTCCAGTGCCGCACCTACATCGCTCGCCGCGCCGGGGGTATTTTCTTCATCCGCTGGAGCCGCGACTGCAACGATCGGACGGCCTGCACCCGATTCTTTTTTTACTCCGAGCCCGGCCTTGATTGCGTCCTCCACCACCGCTGGCCTTTATCCCCAGGGAGGAGCCGGTGAGGAGCACACGACCCCTGGTCGTGATGATTGGGACCGCGACGAGGGGCTGAGCGACCGGTCGCGGTCTCGTTCGATCACCCCGCCCCCAAATTTTATGCACGGAACTGCCACCTCCACCTGGGGCGCCATTCCGGCGGGGCCGCTAGCGCAGACGCAGCACACCATGCGGCAAGCCGTCAACGGCTACCACGCTCGGGAGCAACAGGAGCGGGCGGCGGGAAGGCAGCAGCAGCAAGGGCAAGCCGCAGTTGTAGCTGCTCCCGCACAACAAGCAGATGAACTACCCCCTCGCGGCCAACTTCAGAGTACGGCTGTGCCAGACGCAGAAGGGGTGTCGAATGTAGTGCAAGAACCCACGACTGCAATTTCTGGTGCTGTCGCAGGGCGAGAAAATACGAGCATAGGAGGAGTCGTGCAACAAGAAGGAGCTGCCGCTCGTCCCTCTGCACAGCTGCCAGGTATTATACCTGGCGCACAGGAGCAAGAGCACGCAGAAGTTTCATTCAACAGAAGTGCTAGTGTACCGACTTCAACCCCAGCTAGCAGTGGCAGTGGTCCGCCAGGTCGTGGTACTAGTGGTAGCCATAATTCTAGTAACCCAATAAATCCTGCAACAGTAGTTCCTGCTGGTGTCCCTCCTCCTGCCACCGCGGCCGTTCTTAACCCAGCAGCATCTTCCCCAGCCGTTATCAACCCAGCAGGTGGTCAGCAGCCGAGGAGGAGGACGGTCTCGTTTGGGCAAGGACCTCGAGAAAACGTGGAAACTATTCAGATCGAGGCGGTGGGAGAGACAATGCGGGACTACGGCCGGTACCTGCAGCAGCGGCAGTCCACCTCGGGGCAGTAATAATAGTGGGAGCTCACCGAGGTGGCTTTCCTTCAGTTCGTTGTTGCTTTCCTTAGTTCGTTGTTGCTTTCCTTCATACAGCCTTTCTATCTCAGCTTTCTTTCAATTCACAACAAAAGACATTCAGTATCAGTTTCAAATTCAATTTCAACCATTTTCGTTATATCGCAAGTTTTCTCAACAGATTCCTATCAAAAGCAGATCGTTATACAAAAAAGTCACGCGGTATATTACCGTCAGGATTGCCCAAGAATGCCAATACTTTCAAAAAGAAAAAGTTATCACTTGAGTGCGCAAGCGCGAGCGCTATGACAAGATATTCATCCAAATAATGCAGTGCAGGTTCCGGTTTTATTTTTTTTTTTTACGCAGATATTTATCTTTTTATGGGATATGATTTTCATTTTACGCAGATACCGGAAGAACTACGGCTTTACTGAAATCCTCAAACGAACTAAGGCTGATAGCGTAGATGAGTGAGGTTGTCACACCGGAATAGCAAAGTTTTTTCTCTTTGTAGTCCAAGACTTCAAGAATGCGTTTCCCTTTTCACACTTCGTATGGTTTATTTGCTTTTCCTGGTTTAATGAATAAGAAGGCCACTACATCAATCTTCATCTGCCCCTGAAGAAAAATTCCGACTCCTCGTCGTATTTACTTTTTGTGTTTTTCTGCAAGAACCTTTAAACGCGAGTGGTTGAAGATACTGGCACCAGAAGCCGGGGAAGTGAAATACTGTAACTATGATGTGTTTGGTGTGCAGCCTCCATTCATTTCTAGTCCCAGCGACTATAATCACACAACTAAAATAAATTAGAGATGAAAGAGTATTAAGTAGTCTATTAGCTACACTAGATTTCAATTTCATGCTCGGCAAGCGGGGCTGTGGCTGACTCCCGATGGACCAGGCAAAGATTCTGGGCCGTCGTGATTTCAGCCAGGGAAGATAGGCAGTTTAAAATCCCCTCTGGGAAGATAATTTTTTTACAATGCAAAAATAGATCAGGAGTAGATGCAGTCAGTCCGACGTGCTGTCGTGGCCGAATCGAATCGCGCAGAGAGTATGCAATAAGGTGTGGACGATGAATGGATACTAGAGGTTAGGACTCTAGCAGCTGTTTGGTTTTTATGTTCTTCTGCTTTCTTTCACGACTGTATTGACTAGTAGCATTCCGCCGCATCTTGAAAGCATTGATAATTCCAGTTTCCGTTCGGCCACTAGTAACGTGGGCATGAATCACTCGACCAGATGATATATACGGGCCTTGTTTGTTTTTACTAGCAGTTTCTGGTTTATTTTTTTACCTCGCTTGTGCTATAGCTTTTGGTTGCCTTTAAGAATTATGCTCTACAATTAAAACGCAAAGAGATCATGCACAGCTTGCTGCTGCAGGGTCGTCCGCCTCCGAATTGCTGCTCGTTCCCCTACTTCTGTGGTAGTTGCATTGAAACTTTTTAAAGTTGCATGATCAAGACCATATAGAAATTTCAACTTAGCACCCAGAATTATGGCAGAACTTAAACTACTTCTACAGCATACTTACACAGGAAATGGAAAAGCAGTAGGATATGAAGCGAAGTGACTCTTACTGCGAATAAGCACAACAAAGTCACGGTCACTAGCAAGCAACTGTCTACACCTTAAGCTTGGCACCAAAAATAGTAGCACGAGCAATACCAATTAAATCAAAATGAGCCGCTTGTGATGCGATTACTCGGCATTCATCTACTAGTCTGCTGAGTGGTAATATGCGTCTTCACCAAACGGTATCACTATCATTCAAAACAAATGTAAGACTTCACGCCTCCGTCAGGCAAGCTCAAGGCTGTATGTTGTGTATGATTTGAAAAGTTTTTTTTTCATTTTTCGCGAGGAGCATACCAACAACTCACTTACTTCATCATTTCGAATGTTATTCATCCTCATCCACAGAAAGTTCTTTAAATACGAATATTTGAAAAGTTGATATATCGAATGGATGGGCATTAAAGAAAAGACAAAGCACAAGCAACGCAGCATCTGTGAAGACCAAAGTGGCTGGTTACTCTACTATGCTTAGAGGATCTTTGACTTTGAGACTGTCAATTCTCGTTCTCTATCTAGATCTTCTACAATATCAAAAGCACTCTCACTCTACTATTTTGCCTCCGTTAAATCGTGCCATTCTATGCGCTTTTACTAGAGTGCTTCGATGAGGAGGTTCAATTTCATAAGAAAACACACGACGGCATGACTAAGGACTTAAACCGAGGTGGTTACACCACAACCTTTCAGCGCCTAGCAACTTGTGGCTCTTGGAAGATTTTTTGCTTGTGGCAAAACCTTGCCCATTGAAAGCGGTAGCGTGATGCGTAATTTGATCATTTTTGCCAAGCAAATCTTTAGCCACGAGATGTGATCGAGGCACGCGAATGGTTGTCTCAACTACCACAACAAGTCACATCGGTCCTCGTCTGCTTACATATATAATTTGGGCAAAGTTTTTTAATATTTTTCAATAGCTTTATTTCGCTTTCTCATTTTGTTTCCTGTCCGACCGGACCACGGCGCATTTTCGCTGCAAGATGCAACTGGGGTATTGCAATCGCTCGATGCTATACTCCATTGGGTATTTGCAATTCAGTATTTTTTACGTGAACACTAGTTCACAGGAAAGCGAAAGTCCCATGGTCCGGCGTTTAGTTTTTTTTTTCCGCACCTAGAAATATATTGCTAAGCACGCTTGTACTATTATATTGTTACAAAATCTTCCACGACCACGAGTTGATGCATCTTTGCAACGGCAACAGTATGGGGAGCCCGTACATGTGCACGACCAGCACGGTGCTGGTTCGGTCGAATAAGCGCAGTTACGAAAGATGAATATCTTCACCATTGCTGTGCCAAAAATTTGCTGGTTCCACTTCCACCGGGGGAATACGTAAAGCTGTCGTGGAGCTTGTGGCGATCCTATAGAGCAGCGCCATGCATCACAAACAGAACCAAGCGTGATAACGGTAGGCTTTAATTATCATGATACCAAAACTTCAAACATATATTACTGGAGCCACCAGTAGATAGCACAATATCAAAAGTGCTATCACTCTTGTTAGCCCCTGCACATCAACCAGAATCCACTGTGAGCATAGGCATACCTAGTATCCCTTTCTCTAGAAAGGCGTGCCTGCTTGTACAGTGGACAAGAAACATTTAGCTATGTAGGAGCACCTTTTCAAGCGGAAAAGAAATTCTAAAATGGAACTACAATGTTGACCTCCTTTTGAGGCGGAAAAGGAAATCAGTTGAAAAGTAGAATAACAAGAGAGAAACAACCAGTGGACCAACATTTTATTGCACCCTCGAGCTGGAAGCGGGTAAATTTTGCAAAAGGCAGAACACTCGTGGTCCGCGATACGAAATGGTGCGTCTTGCGGCCCTTGCGGCAGGACAAACTACATGTACTTCTACTGAACGTATGGCGCCGCGGCCCACATATTTCGTACAGGGACAGGAGTAACACAACCGGCGCCCACTACAAATCAAACGAAAATTGTTGAGCGAGCTCTACTCCGAGCTTGCAAAAAACAATGAAAAAACACCGGGTCACAGTTCTTGACTATGACACGATGACGGACCCACTATGAGACCTCCAAGTAGAGCCTCTCACCCTCATCGATTGGAACTGCTTTTTGTACATTATTCAAGCGTTGTAGACCTCAGCTTCAAGAATTCGAATGTGTGCTGCGCCCGCACACGACGCTGCGCCGAGAACCCACACGAGAGACTTCACGAAGAGATGAATCCGCTTGCATATTGCCTTTTTTCTTGTTGTTCTACTACTTATCGATTTTGATAATTCACTTACACTGTGGATTGAGTGCACTTCTGCCACTTTTCCACCGTTTTTTCGAATTGAAGCTGCGAAGTCACCACGTACAAAAGAAAAATAGATGTTGCAAACGAAATAAGAGGTCCCCGTACGAGATCTCCACGCCACATGTACTTCATCGATCTCAAAAAATGTAGATCTACAGGCACAGATGCTTGAAGTGATTTCTCAAAAGACATGACACCACACTGTGAAATCCACCGTATACGGATCCGTACGTACGAGAAGGTCCGAGAAAGAAAGATCCTGAGTCTTGATCTAAAAACAAAATCAAACATGGTGTTGAAGGTGATCCATCACGCGCAACGTGGCGAATTTGAAGAAGATCTTCCCGATCAACGATACTTGTGCGATCTTTTCAACCATTTTGCAAAACGACTCTACTCCACTGCTTTCATCGTCTCTGCTGCTACAGTGGGAGCTTTATATATATATTTCTGATATAATTATAATCTTAATCTCCGAAAGAGGAAGACAAGAGCAGGGCACGTGGCGTTGTGCACAGAATAATTTGATGTTCTACAACAGCAAGTGCATAAAGTTAATAAAGTTGTAAGAACTAAAAGTAGGCGACCAACATACAACAACGCTAGTAGAACCTGCGACAGAGTAGAAGTTGTCACTTTTTGATACAAAACTACAGTTGCTTTTTCTTGTACTATTCTACTTTTCCGTGCTGTATGAATCAAAAACACGACATTAGAAACTTTTAGATCATGGGGGGTTTTTCGCGGCGCAACCGGAAGCAGAGCCAGCAGGCTGGCGGCGAAGTGAGCATGACTTTGTCCCTGCTGCAAGACCGGATAAAACGGGACTCTCTCGCGTACAAACAGGAGTTTCAAGCGCAAGTACAGCACTTCGAGTCCGTTCTCGAGCTTTTGCTCCTCAACCCGCAGAAGCCCTCGAAACAGTTCGATGAGCAGGTGATGTTTCTCGCGCACGTATGCCCCTATTATGAATACAAGGACTTCCCGCAGAAAATCATCAAACTGCTGAAGGAAAAATCCAACTTACTCCACGCCCAAACGCGGAAGGTGCTGGTGCAGGCATTGATTCTGCTGAGGAACCGGAACCAGTACGAGTTGATCGACGCCCTGCCGCTCCACTTTCAGCTGCTGGCTTTGGACGACAAAAACGTCCGGTCCATGGTGCACACCCACATCGTCCGCGATGTGCTGCGCATGAACGAGAAGAGTCAAAACATGATCGAGAACAAGAAATTGCAAGGGTTTTTCTTCGCCCAGTTGGATCATGGGAATAATAAAACGCAAAATGGGATGAAGAATGTATCCAATACAGGAAATAATAATAACCTCCAAAGTAGCAACAGTTCGACGGTGTCGGTGGGGGACGCAAATTATACCGCAAGTTCAAGTGGCAGCCCTAACACGATCGTGGCAGCGCGGAAGGCGCTGATCATCCTGATCTCGTTGTACAAGAAAAATATTTGGACCACCGCCTCGGTCGTCAACGCCATCGCGCAGGCGGTTCTCCACAACGACATGCACGTGGCCAAGGCGGCCGCGAATTTTCTGTTGGGGAACACGCATTTGGTTGCGGAGGAGGATGGGGAGGACTCGGAGGATGAAAACAAGAAGGAAATCGGCAATGTCAGCAAGAAAGTATTGGATTCGACGTGAAATTCACTTTGAATATGATTTTTGTTTTCATCTGTCGATCTTTGTATATTTAGATTTGACTCATCTAGTTCTTATTTCTGCTTCGCGTGATCGGCACACCACATTATATGCCTATACGAAACTTCCGCTTCCCCAGGTCCTTGGTATCAAGCGGTTTGCGAAATCGGGTCAGAAAAAGAAAAAGATGGAAAAAGCGAAGAAAAAAGCTCTGAAGTCCATGAGCGGGAGCAAAAAAGCGAAATCCGGTCTCGAGAACAAGCAAAATTTCGCGGCGATTGACCTGCTCCACGACCCGCAGAAGCTGGCGGAGCAGTTGCTCGTCCGGATCATGCGCGGGAACGAAAACTACGCGTTTCGGTTGTTGTTGCTGCAGCTGACGAGTAGGTTGATGGGGCGGCACAAGCTGATCATCCCGAATTTCTACCCCTACTTGCAAAAGTATCTGTCTCCGACGCAGCGCGAGGTCACGACCGTTTTGGCGTGCCTAGCGCAATCCTGCCACACGGAACTGGCTTGTGAGGTGGTCCGGCCCGCGGTGGCGCACGTGTTTTCGACCTTCGTGAATGAGACCAACGCACCGGAGGTATACAGAATTTCACCGTATGTAACATGTGCTAGCTATAGTAGTATTTGTACTTTTCAGATGGCGTAGCATGTGGTCCTCGGGTGCTCTAAATCCTAAACCCTACTTAAGTGGCTACTTAGTCTTCGATGCGTATGAAACGATGAGGGAATATGTACTGCCTCCAATAAAAAGCATTATGCGGTCCTAACGGATGAATCATATCAAAATTTTTTTTGATCTACCAATTTATTTGCGCTTTACTCATCATTCTCTTCCTGCAAAACCAAAATGAAAATTTCCCAACCCAACAAAAATCTCTAGGTGATCACGGTGGGTATCAACAGTCTGCGCGAGATCGCGTGCCGCGTCCCCCACGCGCTCACCGAGGAGGAGGTACACGACCTGTGCGGGTTCCGAAAGTACAAGCACAAGGGTATTCCAAGTAAAAACGTCCCTACCCCATAGTTGTCATGCAGATTTGCAGTTACAGAAAGATTTGCAGTGCGCATCCCCATGAGAGGCATTTCCAGTTGCGTTTTGGACTCTGTAATGCTATAAACAGGATGCGTAGATGGATTTGTGTTGCGGCTGTACTTGCCAAACTGCACTACAGTACAGAGACGAACTTGTCATGCGTGACTCCCAAGACTTCTCGACTTGTGTTGCGAGACCGCCATCTTGACTCTGGGGTGGGGACGTTTTTACACAGAATAAAGGGCGTCCGCGTGGGCGTGAAGTCGCTGGTGAACATGTATCGTGAACTGAACCCCGCGTTCCTGCAGAAGCAATTCCGCGGCAAGGAAGCGGCGGAAGCCTTGGCAAGGGGGGAACTGAAAAACAATGGCGAGGTCACCGCGGAAACGTTGTTTGGCCAGGGGATGGAGTTGCTCGCTGCGCGGAAACTGCGGAAGGAGGAGAAGAAGAGAGAGAAGGAGGAAAACACCGGAGCTGATTCAGGATCGGAGGAAAATGACTCTGATGCCGCAGAAGTAGATTCTGATGCTGAACAGAGCATAGAAGACTGGCTCGACGAAGAGGAAGAGGATTCTCAATCAGGGACCGAGGGCGATGACGAGAATGATAGTACGGAAAACATCAAGCCTACGACGAAGAACAGCCCTCCTGGAGGTAAAAATAATAGCACAGTAGACGTCAAAAAGACGGTCAAGAAAGCTGGTGCATCGAAGGCGTCTACTTCGGATGTTGACGATGCTTGCAAGTCCAACTCAAAGAAGCAAGAAAGAAGGTCAAAAAGTAGCTCGAAAAAAGAGAGTGAAAAGGATGCAGAATTGTCAAATTCAGAGGAGGAATCGGGCTTCGAAGATTTAGAGGAGGAGGACTTCAGCGATCTGGAAGAGGAAATCTCAGACTTCGACGAAGTTCCTTCCGGCTCCGAAGCAGAAGACGAAGATCTTGCACAAGATGGTGCAAATAGCGACAGCGCGAACGACACGAAAAATGATGATAGTACTACTTCCCGAAAGCGACCGACCAAGGAGCTGTCGAACGCGACGCGAAAGAAGCGAAAGCTAGCCGAAAAGCGGGAGGAGAAGAGACAAATGGACGAGAAAAAACAGAAAATCGAAGCCGCGGCCAAGAACATCATGATGGACCAAATTTTGGGTCCGGAGGACTTCAAAAAGATGCGAAAACTCCAGGCGCAGAAGGCGATGCAGATGCAGACCGGGCGGGGGCGGAAGAAAAACGCAGATCCCTATGAATTTTCCACCGATACTAGTTCGGATAGTGACAACGAAAAGGATAACTCGGATAAAGAGAACGACTCCGACGACGAGGATGGTTCGGACAACGACATAGAGTCCTCTTCCGACGAAAATCTTGACCCTGCGGAGAAAGCCAAGAGGGAGAAGCAGAAGCAGTCGAAGAAAGTGTACAACGATTTGGATTTTTTGGATCCTTCCAAGCTCACCGGCTTCACACGGAAAAAGCACGACAAGCACACACGCCTGCAATCCGTGAAGAAGGGGCGCGAGGGGCGGGAGAAGTTCGGGCAGAAGAAACAAACCCGGACCGGGGGCAGCACGAACAAGGAAAAGAGAAGGAACAAGCCAATGTTGATGCAAATCCAGTCGCGACAGGTTCGAACCAAAAAGAACGGGCAGAAGGCCACCGCGAAGTTGGCCAACCTGCGAAAGCACATTGGCAATCTGAAAAAGGGAGGCAAACACCAGAAGCGGAGACGATAATGCACCTAGTAGTATATTTTGGACAAAGACGTGAAAAAATGGCTAGGAAGATGAATTATTTTTGCTCTTTGCTGGGCCTGGGAATAAAAATAATTCATCATGCGGCCAGTAATTATATCATGTTTGTCGAAAGATTGAACGTGCGACCACTAGAACCACGCTCGATTTGGTACATGAAAGGCGTCCTCCTGAAGCGGATTTACAACAGTGAAACTGGAAGATGCGGCGCTCTCATAGTGTACAGTAAGATGAAGACACATTTATTTTTTTACTAATCGAGACTCTGACTCGCCGCGGTCTCCGTCTACCTTCACCTTCTTCCTGCATCCTAGGAAATAAGTAAGCCCATGCGCCGTCCTTAGTTGATGTGGACCGCATTGCTCTTGTGTTCTGCAGAATCTCATTGATGTTGCAGGCTCCGTGTGTGTTTTGCTTTGCGTCGTGCGGAGGAAGGAATTTCGGTCTGTTTTAAAAATTTGGTTCTATTTTTTTCTTTTGATCATGAATTTGTCGGATGCGGTGATCCCGGTCTTCCTTGGTATGCTAGTGATCTTCTATCTAGAAGTGCCAGTCCTCTGCAGAGGACTGTTCCGGAGCTACAAATTAATACCTGATATTCACTCATCCAAAAGTGCGGGTATGACTTAGTCACCTTGTTCCAGCAACGTACGTAGTTTAGAAAAGCATCTTACTCAACCATCATTCCAAGAAGAAATTCACAAGCAAAAATGGAGCAAGTGGCGCGAAAAATTTTCAAAAAGTACCAGGCGGAAACACCTGACCGCATCAAGTTGCTCGATCTCTACGCATTCTCCTTGGCGCTCGTGGGTATACTTTTACTTGTTTTATTGCAACAGGTTTATGGTTAACGTGCTTTCTAATTCTATTATTTGATTCCTTTGCTTCGTCACCCCGACGCATGACAGACGCTGGTTGTTTCTCGAAGATCATGTGCTACAAACATGCATCAAATCCACATCAGGCGCTGTTCTTTTCGTCTACGTGGTGATAGTAGGCACGTTTCCCTTCAACAGCTTTCTGTCAGGCTTTATCGCCGCGATGGGCACGAGCGTGATCACAGTGTGTCTTCGGGTCCAGCTCATGGACCCCGATACGTTTAAGCTCAGCGTGGAAAGAATGATTGCCGACTACCTGCTTGCAAATCTGTGTTTACACATTGCCTGTATTTGCTTTTTGGGATGACATAGAAGAAGGTCGTCCGCAAAAGGAGGCTCAAATGGATATTAGCGAAGACTTGCCTGAGAATACAGGAACAGACAGAGAATGAGTGACAGCCAATCGATTCATCTGAACAAGAAGAAACCCCGTTTAGTCTTCGCGCTGCCACCTCTCGTCCTTACCAGCGCGCGATGTTGAGTAGAAGCGAAGCGGCGACTTTGTTCTTCTGACCACAAGAACCCTCGCAGCAGCGGTTGCGGGATAAGATTCTGACATTTCTTCTTGAAATACAACAGGAAAAGCAACAAAAATACTTATCAAAACTGAAGAAGAAGATCCGCAAGAAGGATGGATCCCTATGGTTTTTGTTGAAGCTGCTGCTTGATCATGTTTTTCTTTCTCTTCAAACTCGCTGTTGGTTCCTGCGAATGTTTTTCATTGTCCTCTTGTCGGGAAAACTGTGAAAAAGACAGGATCTGATGTTCTTACCACCTTGCTATGCCAAGGAAGGCTTTAGATACTATGATAACTACATGAAAGATTGACGCGTAAAAATCACCTGTGCATAGTTCTTTTGAAGAAGGTGAGGTTTATATTTTAGTTTTTTTGAGAAAGACGAGAAATGGATACAAATAATGGTGGTATCTGAGTCGTTTGCAAATTCTGGTGCGCCAAAACCAGCAATGACTTCTCCGGAAGGAAGTCCTGCTTTGCCAGACGTTCTTGGCCCGGGTGGTCAGGAAAATTTCCACCACAGAAGCGCGCAGGTGACGAAGTGTGAAGAAGAAGGAGAAGATGTTGGTGCTGACAACAAGGATCACAGCACAGATGATCCTTTTGCACCACAACCAGCTGCAGGCAGCACCAACCCCATCAGCCCGAGCAGCAACACAAACAAGGTAGAGGACGAGGCAGTACGGGATTTGAAAAAATGCATTCTCCGCAACACCAAGCAGACCAGCCTGAAGCGCTCGGAATCCGAGCCCGACTTGAGGCGCAGTAAAATGCGGTCGGGCCGAATTGCGCAACCCGGCGGCTTCCGGAGACACTTTGTCTTGACGCACGAACAAGGAGCAGCGAGTGGATCCTCTCTTGAGGCTGCTGGAGAGAACAAGCATCAAGGTTTGCTCCACGTTTCGTCTTCGGGCCGGACTCTCGATAGCAGCGATGGTAGTTCTACGATCCGGGAAAAAGCCAGCAGCCTCGCACCGCAGCTCTACCGGAATCGTGGGCAGTCGTGCTTGGCGGGCGGTAGTAGTACTACAGGTGGAGCAGCTGCAGCAGCAGCTTCTCCGGCTCCGCGCACACCTCCTATGGGCGCAGGCGCAAATCATGCGACTGGGGTCTTGACGAGGGTGATTCAGGGAGGACTCTTCACTGAAGACACCAGTCCGGTTCTTGGCGAGGATAGTAAAGAACACCACGACCTCCAGGCGGGCGCCGTTGAAACAACTTCTTTTGATGCAACGGCGCGAGGACAAGGCGTCCAAAATCCTGAAGATGGCGAAATTGATGGTCACGCTGTAGTAGTTGGCGAGAAGATTAAGGCCGCTCCACGGTTGAGCAAGACGTGGAGCTTTCCGGTTTCGTTTCAAGAAATGCAGGAGGCAAACAGCTCGTGCAGCGCCACTGTGAAAGACAAGCCCGATAGCAGCTGTGCAACGCAGGAGCAAGATGACAGAAAACAACCAAGCAGCGCGAAGATGAAAGACACTGGAGTAGATCATGGGCAGCTAATTCTTTCTGCCGACGCAGCTCCTGTGGTCGCTGCGGGTGCTGGCGCACCTCCGACGAGTTGTGCCGTTGCTAGTACTGGTGCTACAACCGCTACGGCTCCTCAAAGTTGTATCAAACAAGACGGCAACAAGCTGACGAAGCAGAACCAAAGCGCTCCGGGAGTGTTGGAGTGTGCTGCTGCGTCCAGAAACAAGAACGCGCTTGTTACCGAGCCGGCTGTTTCCGCCGTTTCGGGACACGCCGACGTCCCGGACCTTCATCAAGGAGGCACAACTTCTATAGGTTTAGAAGGTGCTGACAATAATATAGTACCTTCCTACCCCTGTACTAGCACCCGCTCCACGAGGACGTCGTCGACCTCTGCCGCAGCTACGATCGTCAGCAGCGTCGCTACAGTGCTTCCCGTCGCTGCGGCTGCAAACTCTGCGAAAGTGGTGCGCAGCGCTGCTGGCCACGCTAGTACAACAACTTCTGCAACTGCGAAAGCAGCTGGATCGAGTAGAGCTACAACGGGCAATAAAGTTGCTTCGTCTAGTACAACTACAACTATTTACGGTACCTGTGCAGCTTCTGCATCCTCGAAAAATCAACAACCTTCAAAAAACAAAAAGAAGCAGCCAAACCTTTCCTACGCACGCATCCCGCTCTTGTCCCAGTTGTTGGATCCTCGGTTCGCGTTTCCCGGTTTTTCCGCGGACGAAGAGGACGAAAGCGACACCGAAAACAGCAACGCAGCGTTGAAAGCCGTGCAGCAGCGGTTGACATGGACCCCGATTTTGGAACTCTCGGACGATGACGAAGAACTGTTGTATGGCAGTTCAGAACAACTCGGAGATAGTTCTTGTGAAGACCATACGCGAAATAGAAATTACAGCCGTAGCATCTACGGCTCAACATCGTCAACACCGGACAAGCTGCGTGATTTCGAGAACAATGCGAATGAGCTATTGGTGGACAGGCGTCTCCTCGGCAAGAGGAACAAAGCCACCACTCCACCCCTGCTACCGAACAAGGGCCCAGCCGACCGTGGCATCAACCGGGCTGGAAGTAGGAAAAAAGAGCACAACAGGCTGGATGATAGCAGAACCGCGTCTGGCTCAAGAGCAAAAAAGCTGAAGCATGACCGCAGTCGACGTGCCAAGGCCGCGAATCAAATAGGATCATTTGGAGGTGGGGGTCTCGGTGGCGAAGATACCACACCGGAAGAAATTTCCTCGACGCTGCGGCATGAACTACATCACGAAGAAGTCCACGACTCGGCTTCGTCAGATGACGATGAAACGCAGGCCCTGCTTGCGCGCACTCTGACGGCGACTAGCGGACCCAATGGCACTACTACAAGTACTACACACGTCCGGAAACTGGTAACAGCGACGAAAAAAAGGGAAAGCACGTCGAGCTTGAAGAAAGGGACGCAGAATGAAAAGTTTGCAATCACTCCTGGAACTACTACATTAGCGACACAAAGTGCCATGCCAGAAAAGAAGGTGAGTCGCGCGGCCACGATGACGACGGTTTTCATTTTGACGAAAAGCATGATTGGAACGGGAATCTTTACCTTGGCGAGACCGCTGGGAAAGGCGAGTGTTGTGAACGGCTCGCTGGTTTTCACATTTATCTCCTGCCTCTGCGCCTACTGCTGCTTGTTGCTCATCCGAGCACGAAACGCGCACCACGACCGATTGAGGAGTGCGGGGCAGACGGAAATTTCGAAGGTGATAAAGATGTAAGTATATGCGTGGCGCCGCTTATCATGACAATAGGGGACGTAGATGGAGATTTTTGTAGTACAACGCAGGTGAACGACTGGAAGTTGATGCAGAAGAGTAAGTACCGATTGACAATAGTGCGTGATTGTATTTGTATTGCCAGCCATTTTATGCTTATGTATGAAATCTGTATAAAAATTATATCAACTACACAGGACCAGCTCACGTTCGAATCTCTCGCCGCCCACGCGTTAGGGGGAAAGTGGGGCAAGATTGTTTTCTCCTTTTTTCTCCTCGCGGCGGAGTTCGCCATGGTGATCTCCTCGTGTATCGCCATCGCCTCTGCGTTGTCCGGCGCTTTCCGCAATATCGTGCCCGAGAAGGTTTTGGGGGACAGTGTGTCCCGGGAAACGGCGCTCTTACTCGTCGTGACGCTATTGCTGATTCCGCAGTGCTGGGTGCGGAAAATCAAATACTTCGTCTACAACAGTTTCGTCGGTGCGTTGACGACGCTGTGGTGCTTGTTCTACGTGTTGGGGTCCAACACCTTCCAACTGATTTTCGAAGAAGCGGCGACAACACCTCCAGGTCTGAACTCGGTGGTATCAAAGCCGGAAACTTTGGTGGGACAACTGCCAGGAGGCGTTCTCCTGTCAGAGACCGCCTTGATGGCAGGAGCATCTTCTCTGTTAGAAGATTATACACAGGAGCATGGAGCTACTGGAAGTACTTCTAGAGAACAACAAACATCAGTGCTACAACAAGCTGCTTCGCCAGTTGTCTTTTCGGCGAACCGAGCGGCTCGTATGCGCGGCGGTGCGGAAGCAGAAGGTCTTAATGAGGACGAAGGTGTTCCAGTAGTTCTTGGGGACGAGGAGGAACCAGCAAGGCCAGGCACGAGCTCATCACCTGCGGGCGAGTTTGTTCCGGGAGGAACCCTTGCAACAAGTAGAACCGCACCTCCTTCGGAAGGTCGTGACCAGGAACAAGGGCAGCGGAATTCTGCGGAAGAACGGATGTCCCCAGGTGGTGGTGGTGGTGGTTCACCATCTCCTGTTGTTGTTGACCAAGATGTAGTTGCACAGCCGTTTGATACCATGCCAACTTCTCCTCCTCCCTCTCCTCCCTCTCCGCCCCTGCACCACCACACGCGACACCCATCAAATCGTGAAGGTAAGAATGATGACTTGAACGCAGCCAGCACGACCCCTCTATTTGATCGTATCGGTCTTCCCGACCAAATGACCAACGCGTTCGCTCAAGCGGATGAAGATCCACCAACGTCGAGTAGTACTAAAGGCCCAACAAGACAACAACTTCTCCCGAAAAGACCGCGGTTGGACAGCCCGTTAACCGAGGACTTTCTTTCTAAGCACGACCAGGCTATTGGGGCCCGCCCGATGGGAACAAGTTTTTTTCAAAACGCCCCGGATGAAGTTGTAGATCCGCGCTGGAGCCAGGACCCGCTGAAGGGCGGCAAGAACAAGAAAAACTACGCCAACGATCAGGAAACGGGGCGAAGCCAACTCACCGAGTCAACCCGACCACCCGACAGCGCTATTCACAGCGGCATCCGCAGTCCGGTGAGTTCGAGCTCGGACGTTTCGCGGATGGGGGGAGCGGACGGGGGGTCAGCCGAGCAGGAGAATTTGCTGGACTTACTGCTGGAGCGAACTACGACGAATAATGATGTTGGTCGTGAGACAGCCACCGGTTCTGCTGGCCGTCTTGCGGAACCCGACGCCTCCTCCTCGTCCGGCTTGATGCTGTACCGAACTTGCACGACCGAGGGGGAGGATGGTGCGCGAATCGTTTCTTTGGTGCCAAAATCGCCCAGTGCAGCGGAGGATGAGGACAGCGAGAAGAGTCCCGAGGTTCTTGTTCCACCTGTGGCTTGTTCAAACACGGATCATCCGGGTGTTGAGGGCTGCGGTGGTGCAGCACTTCAACAAACTGGCGCAACATTGAACCCCGGATCGCTTGCTCCGGCAGAAGACCTTGATGAACGAACTCGTGCCCCCCACCTCCGGAGGGCAATATCTTCGCCACTTTCATCTGGTCAACAAAACTGTCCCCCACCCAAGTCGAAACCCCCGTCGCTGAAAAATCGACGACGTCCCTCGCCCCTCGTCACCCGCAACAATGCAGCAGCTGCTGCACCTCCTTTCCGCCGCGAGTTGACCCCGCCGGACGAAGCGGATGAAGTGGAGACGAGCCAGTTGTTGGAGAAAAATCCACTGGGACAGCAAGCGCTTGGAACAACTATTCCGGGAGCTGCTACTGCTCCTTCGGCCGGCGTTTATCTTGCAGGTCAAGATGCAGTAATTTCGTCGTCCAACAGTAGCTCATCATCTTCACAATCGGCTGCTCCAGACGGTAAGAGTCCGGGAGCTGTTGGTGTTGTACTTCTAGAGAACAAGACCAGCGGGGGCACAGGGGGTGCAGGGGATGGCAGAACAGGTGGTGGTCCAGGGGATCATGGCAGCGGGGGTGTGGTGCATCAACTAAGCGAAAATACAAGTAGCGGAAAAAACACCCCAGCTGCACCATCACCGCTGTTGCAAAACGGTTCGAAAACTAGTTTAAAGCCGTCAAATGAAATTTCCGGTGCGACATCAACCCCACAACTTCGAAGCGCGCAAACCGCAGGCCCCAGCACAGGGAACAAGAGCAATTCCAGCGTCGGGATCATATCGGAACGCAAATTTTTGCAACCAGGCGGAAGTGCTGGCGTGTTTCTTGCGGCCGATAATTCCGATAAAAATTCGGGCAGAAGTGGAGGTGCAGACAAAAATGAGATCATTTTCGGAGTACTACCACCAGAACTCGCCTCAGGAATATTAAAACAGGGAGGCACAACAGCAAATACCCGTGTTCGAGGAGGAGGCCAACCTCATCCACGACAACCCGGCAACATGATAGTACCTGCTCCTCTCTCGTCGTCCTCCTCGTCGTCCACCCCACTTGACATGAACGATCCGTACGACGTCGATATTCAAAACGGATCAACAGCGCCGACCCCAAGAACTTCTACTGCGACTTCCATCAATTGGTATGTGCCCGAGGATTTTATGTCACTCGTCTCCCTGGCTGGAATGACCCTGTACTCCGCGGAGTATATCCCAGAGAAAAAAGCTGGCAGGGCACATTTGTAATGCAAAAATAAATACACAGAAAAAATTGTCATGGGTGGCCCCGTAGCATGCTGCTTCGGATACGCAATACAGATTTTTTTGTGTATTTATTTTTGCATTACCTGCCCGCTTTTTTCTGTGGGATAGAGTACGTGAACACCATCCTCCCCATCTACGAGGCGCATGAGAAAAAGGACAACTTCCCCCTCATTTTCATCCTCTGCGCGGTTTGTGTGGCGGGGCTCGCCTGGGCGATCAGCTTCACGTCGTATTTGACGAACCCGTTATCCGAGTCCACCTACTGCTTCGCGGATCTGCCGGAGGGTCCGCTCCGCACCGCGGTGCAATTGTGCGTCACTGCCGGTTGCTTTCTGTCCATTCCGGTGCTGTTCTTCGTGATCCCGCACTTCTACGAGAAACAACTCTTCCACCAGTTGCTCAGCATGACCGGGAAGTCCGAGGAGGAAGTCAGTCGGCGAAAATGGTGCAAAAACGGGGTGTATCAAATGTAAAAATGTCTGGGTCTGGAAGATTGCAACTTGTCATGCTAAATCTGCAGCATGCAAAAATCTGTGTTGCATGATTACCAAAAGTCGCCAAATTTTGACCAAGTGGGGAGGTAGTTTCTCATGCAGAATAGGCATTAGAAAGGTCGCGCAGAATCTGTCATGCTAGGTCCGGCATTCCAGACCTCATGGGTCATGGAAAAGCAGCATCACAAATCGCGCATTCTTCCAGACCCAGACATTTTTGCAATTCATAGGGTGCGCACGCTGATCCTGTGCTCCATCGTCCTCGTCGCGATCCTGCTTGGCGAGCAGAACGTCCGTATCAAATGCAAAAGTGTCTGAGCAGTCTGGAAGATTGCGAGATTTGTCATGCTTGTCTGGCATGACCAAAAAGTTTGTGATGCGTGTCCAAGAAGAGACCCTTTTGCCTGTCATGCAAAAACGCAGTTTGTCATGCTCATGCGACAAACTGCGTTTTTGCATGACAGGGCATTCACTATTCCCAACGCAGCATTACAAGTTTCCAGACCCAGACATTTTTACAGTTGATAGTCCGCGTTTTGACGTCCTTCGTCGGTGGCTTTGCCTGCGCGCCCTTGGCGTTCATATTTCCGGTATTTATAAATGAAAGGACAAAAAATGCTGGAGTGGTGCCAAGAGTAGCTGCAAAAAGGCAGAAATAAACAACTGTATAAGCAAAAATACGGACACCAAGCATCGATCGAAAATGGGGTGAAAAATGGGGTGAAAAATGATTGGGTGTTTCCTCAAAGAAAGTGAAAGATTTGAATTTGAACAATACTCATATAATTCCAGGTAATCATCTTCAACCAGCTGGGGGAGCCTACGCCCGTGCTCAAAGTGCTCAACTACGGCATTGGGGTTTTTGGAATTCTGGCCTGTATCAGCTGCACCTACTTGGCGTTTACCGACCCAGGGGGCGGACATTGAGTGTGACTTCGTGCTGTCGAAGATCTCGTGAACAAGCTGTTTCCACCACCTCCTCCGCAAGTGCGTGTTGGAAGCGACGAACAGCAGCAGGCTTTCGGGAGATAGATTTGATTACCTGGTGGCCAGAGACCGTTGTGCGGAGGAGTCAGTTGTTTTTGTTGAGGGCACCAGCATGGTTAACCGTTTTAACGTTTAGAGATCTCACTAAAAAACTTTGTGTTTGAAGTTTTCAAGACTTGAATTGACAACTCAAGAAAGCTGTACATCGGTCCGCTCCGAGTCCGAGCCGACAGGAAGCTTAACAAGGAAAACAAATAGAACCGTGTGCAGGAGAAGCGGTTCGATTTCACAGCATCACGTTCTGGACCTCCTCTAGTGCTTAATTAGAAATCTGTGATATCAACAACATCGAAGACATTCTGTAGTTGCTCCCGCTGTTGCTCTAGTAGTACCCCTTCAAGGATCAGTAATAGGGCTACGCGACCATCATGTCGTGTAGCTGCATGAATGAAGAGGCGTCGCGGCAATTTTATCGGTTTTTATAATTTTGTCGAGAACTTTTACTCTACTCTGAAGTCACTTTGATTTTTACCGTTTTTCGTTTGGAATTGAATTAGTTACTTATTTTGCAAAAGGAAAATAATAGCGAGGAGACTCCACATGGTGCTCCTACATAGTCTAGTGGTTCAATTATACTTTCGTTTTCATTTTCGTTGTCCGAAGCAAACAAAGTTCTTCTCTTTCTTGCTCTCGAGAACACAGCATCAACGTTGGCTCCTGTAGTAGGTACCAAACCGCAACATGAGAAAGTTGCTAAATCATGTGAAATTCAACTTGTTGACTCCGATCGAGCAGTATGATCTTTTGTATTCACTTACATTTTCAATTTCAAAAGTTCAAGTCCGCGTAAGGTACCCAAAACAAACCAATTCTACTTATGCTCCTTTCTGCTGAATACAGACCCTCAATAAATTCAAAATGAAAAACCACACGAAATAAAATATTACAGAAAAAAACTCTAGCGTAGCTGGAAATTTTGAGCGCAACTCTGCTCTGAAGCTTGTGCTGCAGAATGGATGAGCAAAGGGTGCGCGGTGTTCCGAGAAAAAAAAATGTGTGATGCAACAGGTTATTGCTAATCCTAATGCTATTCCACGACGACTACAAGTACAAGTTTGTCCACGCTCTGAATGATTAATGACAGAGCTCAATATAATGAAGAAAGACAAAGATCCGGCGTGGAAATTTCCCTGCACTAAAAGACGTGTCGACGCGGACGCGCCAAAAAATATTTTCCAATGAAATGCATTCCTAGGGCCTGGTTGTAAAAATATTTATCATTTATTATCAACAAAGCCCGACCACAGCGGAACAACATCAACAATACTTCTAAGTGCATAGGTATTTTTGTTAAGAGAAAGACATTGAGTATAAATAAGTTGAGTCGTCCTCGTGACGGCGACGTATTGATGACAACTTTACAATTTTAGGTGCCAAATAAAATGAGTCCGCACTAAAGGATGTTGGGTACTATAGTTAAAGTTGGTGAACATCACGGTGATCGTCGATGAACACGGTCGTGAAGCAGGTGCAGCCTGGGCAAAAATAGTACCGCAGAAAGAGCTTCTGCTTCGATATCGCAGCTCGGAAAGCGGAACATCAAGCCATCGGAGTAGAGTATTCTATTGATATCATGACGAAGACGACGAAGTTTCACACGGGAGGTAGTTGTGGCGGACCAGCCCACGGGCAGCAGCAGCACCACCACCAAAATCCGCCTCCCCCTCCCCCGTCCACGACGAGTACGACTACAGCAGCAGCGAATAGTAATTACCCGGTACAGCTTCTACATGGACAACAACAACATCACCAGCACAATACTAATTACAGTGCTGTACCCAACCAGATCATGCAACAGCATCCTGTGTTGACAGTCGAGGAGAACATCAGCCTCGAAGAGCGACACCCCTACGACCACGACCAAGAACATATTAGCCCGGGAGACGAGGACCTCCACGTTGACCATGACCATGACCACAACTATCACGACAACGACCACGACGAACACGACAGCCAGCACGAGGACCAGCATTCCCAGTACGACGACGACTGCAGCAATCACTCGGAACTAGACGAGGAGGAGCTCGCGGAGAGACAGCACATTATCCAAAAAACTAACAACGTCGACGTGTCGCGTGCGACGACCCCAGAGTTGATGTCATGCAGATTTGCAATGACAACAGCTGATAAACACTTGTGATCATCATGCGCAGCCAGCCCATGACTGGCATTTGTTCCATGTTTTGATACAAACTTGTAATGCTGTAAAGAGGATAAAAATTATCAGGTGGACATGGATTATTTGTAAAAATGCGGCTGTCCTTGCTAAAAACCTGCACTACACGACTATCGGGACTGCAAGAACTTGTCACGCGTGACTCTGAAATAACCTATGTGTCGCGAAATCAATAATTAATCTCCATCTAGTTGTACTTGTACTTGAGGACTCTGGGGTCGTGTGGGCCCCCGGCCCGTTCTATTTCCTCAGGATACACGTTCCGCTGTACCCATCCTCCTCACATGACTGCGACGAGGAGTACCTACCGCCCTCCGGCTATGGAAGCGTCAGGTTTGAAATCGTCAAAGTTGAAATAATTTGTAATGCATAAAATGCGACACAAAAAGCGACTCTATTGCAGAGGACCCACGGGCGGCAGATTATAGTCCTGGTAAGGGTCAAAAGTTGGACTGCTAACTAGCATGACAGAAGGCAGCTCCTTTGCCCTAAACCGCATGACAGACTCGCTTCCAGGACCGGGAAAATTTGTCATGCACCGACTACAAACTGTAGGTCTAACTGGTATCCGTTTTATGCATGACAAACTATTTCAACTTTGACGATTTCAAACCTGACACATCCATACCGGCACCGGATCGGCCCGGGGAAGTTACCACGACCACGGGTCCAACCACGGGGATGGTACCATGAGCAATTCGGGAAATAACCACCACTATGGATTGTAAAAATGTCTGGGCCTGGAAGGTTGGAACTTGTAATGCGGGTCATGCATTCCTGGAAAATCTGTGTTGCATGAGCAGCAAAAGAGAGGCTTTCTTTGTCATGCAAAAACGCAGTTTGTAATGCGTGCTAGGCATCAGCAGGCCTCTCAAAAGCTTGTCATGCTTGGCTGCCATTGGAAGCGCTTCAATCATGCGCAATTCAGCATCACAAGTTTCCAGACCCAGACATTTTTACAGTTGATAACCACTACAGCCAGGACGGCACTAGTTCCGGCAATCCGGGCGGGGTTTGTTCGTCTGGGGAGATGAATCATTTCCAAGGTGGAACTACATCCAATGTCAACACCTCCGGGGGAAATATGAATTCGCAGCAGCAGCTCCAAGCGGGCGGGCAGCAGCAGCAGCACCCAACCAGCACCGGTGGTCAGCATCACCACCACAACTACGGTCGCGTACACATGAACGGGGGTGGCCACCCGGCGAGCATATCAAATGCAAAAATGTCTGGGTCTGGAAACTTGTGATGCTAAAATGTGCATGATGAAAACACTTCCGAATGCAGTCCAGTATGACAATTTCCCAAAACGCTTTCCCATAGGCAATCTGCATGAGAAACTGCGTTTTTGCATGACAAAAGAGGCTGCGGCTTTTGTTGGTTATGCAATACAGATTTCCCAGGAATGTAGAGCTAGCATTACAAGTTCCAACCTTCCAGACCCAGACATTTTTGCAGTGCATAGAGCACCAGTGGCAGCAATTTCGCGCATCTCGAAGGGACTGGAGCGGAGGCGGACGGCCACTACAACCAGTACTATAACGACCACCAGTTGGCGATCATCCAAAATTACGGGCACAACCCGGAGGGGAGAATCGCCTACGAGGGCTACGATGGGTACGGGCAGCCCACCATCGGCTTAGGGGTGGTCGGCTTCATATGCATTGCAAAAGCATCTTCGCGCTAGTAGTTGTAGCAATCGAATTTTGGCATCACAAAGGTTCCATAATACAGCAGTTCGAAAGTCAGTGAGGTGGAATTTCTGATGCTGATTCAGCTAAGAAAGGAAATGTGCTGTCATGCAGTCTGGCAAAAATTCGTACGAGTGCGATACTTCTTTTGCAGAGGATAGTTCACGGGCGTCGACGACACGATCGAACCGGCGAAGCTGTGCGACATGTCGGAACAGTACTCTTTCGTCGAGTGGGGTGTGTTGCTTCATAAGGAGCGGGAGGGGAAGCCGCGGTATGCCTCGCAAAAGTGGATAAACCGGCTGCGCGACGAGGTGGAGCGGCGGCAGAAGGACCGGTGCGAAGCCGGACGAAATAACCTGAACGGGTCCGCCTGCGCGAACGGGGGTGGCGGCCACGGACACCCTCAACGGCCCCGAGGTAGAAAGAAAAGTACGAAATACTTGTTCATCTTCTGTGTGGCTTGCTATAAAATTTTTGAATTTTTGATCACGTGACGCTGCTGCACTGCGAGCCTTTATACGAAGAAGTGGTAAGAAGTCCCCTAGTACGAACGACGAACAACGTATTAATTGCACTTCCTTATCAGGTGGCAAGAAGCAGACCCAAGGGTACCAAATTCGGCTCGCCGCGCATCTTGGGGGTGAGTACTGCCTCCAAGCACTCAACGGGGATGACAAATTCATCCGGGAAACGCTAGTGAAAGAGCTTGGGTACAACTACTTTTTTGAAACTTTCTGCTGCAGTAACCTAAATATTGCACTGGTGATGTTGATGACACCATGATGCGAATAAGTAAGTGTGTTGCGGTTCTTGCGACATCAACAGCTTGAACTTCTATCGCAAATTAGTAAAGGTACTAGATACGAACGATTACGAGCGAAACAATAAACAGGTTTTCCCGTATCCAGCTGAACCCTACCAAGCCGAACGGCGTGAACGAGTCAAATCTGTTGAAGTTTATGAAACCCTTGCAGCAGCTGTTGGGCACGTTCGAACGGGAGTTCGAGCACGTGGAGTTCATATTCCAGGTGAACAAGCAAACCAAGGACTTGGCATTCGCGCTGATGGATGACCCAAGGCCAAATCTCGCCTTCCTCTACGACAGCAGCATGGGAGCAGGGAAAACGCCGTACACTTTTTGAATAATGATTCGTTTGGTGATAAGAAATAGAAGCAGGATCTTCTTTTGCTGGATGACAATGACCACGACGTCCACGTACTGATATGGCTTCACTTGTTGAATGGGAAGTAGAACCCGCGCGGCGACAAATGATCTTTCTATAGGAAGAGCCCTTACTAGCGCTGCAACCCAAGAACTACGTTGGTCCCCTTGGTCCAACAATCTTGAATGTACTTAAATTTTTCTCAATTGCAGTGCCCGCCGCCCCGTGCCGCTCGCGCACCCAGGCGTGCATGTCGGCTACGCAGGGGGGATCGGTCCCCATAACTTGCGCGACGAGCTGAAGAAGGTCATGACGGCCGTCGTGAACAGTGACGACCAGCAGCAAAACTACACCAATCTCCACGAGGAGCGCACAATATGGCTGGATATGGAGAGCTCTCTGCGGAACAAGGAGGACCTCTTTGACATCACCAGGTGCGAATCGATTGTGGGGCAGCTGTTCGACATGGGGGTGCTACGAGATGCAGATTGATACAACTTCTTTTTGTCATCACATCTTCGTCGTGTTGAAGTTGCACACCAGGACGACGAGAGGATTTGCAGATTGCTGTTGCTCTTCGAGGTTCTTGTTCACACGAAAAAGATAAATGAATAATAAAGCGACCTTCTTTATTTTACGTTCCTGATAAAGTACACGTACACCCGTTATACTTTTTAGTTCCCGCTGAGAACGAGGGCGAGCCCAGTACTCAGTTAGTAGAAGTTCTTCTTGGCACAAACGACTAAGACTCGTTGAAAATTATACGCGCCAGGATCATGTACTTAAGCAAGTAAGTAAGCGCCGCCGTCGACCGATATTAAATTAATACTGAAGCGCGAAGAGGCTCAGTGCTATCGGATCGGGTCGTGTTCTATCGTGTGCCTTGTCCTCGTAGAGTGCTGTTCGTCTTCGAAAGGAGTGCGTTTTCTACTTTTCGTGTTGGTTTCTCCTTATATGCAAAGTCAGAACTGAGGAAAAGAAAGCCGCAGAGAAAGCACGCTGGCGCGTCGTTGACGCTGTTCTTCAAGAACACTGGAAGCGGTTGCACGTCGTAGTATACTTGGAGAAAGAGTTTATCGTGGAGAGACTGCTTCATTTGATTCCATGGTATTTGTGGACTTTGTTCTTCGGCAGCTGCAACCTGAGTGCAGTATTGAAAAAATCCGGTATGATGTCATCCTTTATTTCTAGCACTGTAGCGCAGATGAGAACAAGTTGTAAGTGAGTAGAAGAACTACACCACTTGTAGCGTTAAAAATTGTGGTGCATATAATTAGCAGTGCAAAGCAAAAGAAGGATGGCAGGAGCAGAAACCGCAGAGTCGTTCATCGCGCATGAAGATACTACAACCGGAGGACATTCACAGGAGCACAGCTGCGCACGTGGCGTGACATGATCACTAGCTTGTGCTGATTCAATCATTTTGTGATGTTCTTGGCAGCTGCCATAAATCAGAGAACATCAGCAATTCTACCCGAAACTGACTCGACCCGCGAAGGAAGTGGACGACGATAGATACCTATAGGTGCAGAAGAACAAGTCGGTCGCCGTGCGAGGATGTTGCTGCACTGGAAAAGAACGCCACCGTCGGCTGCGCGATCCGTCGCGTTACTGTTGCTCCACGTGTGTAATATTTTTACCACGGTAGAAGTTCTTTTCACGACAATCTCCACCACGGCGGCGGCAGGAAGGCAAGTGCAAATGCGGCAAGAAGAACTGCACGAACAACAACATGACCAGCAAGATCCAGTGGTGCCCGCCAGTGCGGCGCAGAAGTTGCTGAGTCCGGATGTGTTTCGCACGGAGCTCTTAAATCTCCTCGCCGATTACGACGCGCGGCATGGCAGGTACCTGGTACCCGAGGAGTATTTGTTGGAAATCGTGGAACAAGCGCAAAACCAGACATTTCTAAACACGTCCAAAAATTCTTCTAGCACCAATTCAACATCCACGAATGCATCTTCCGGGTCGCAAAATGCGACGTCAAGTGGAACATCAACTCCTTTTGCGTTCACGGCCTCGTCGTTCTTCGCAAATAAAATGATGTCGAGGACAACCTCATCCCCGTCATCTCTTCCACAACATGCGACCTTCAAGATGTTGCCATGGCAGGCTGCGAGAACGCCTTCCATACTCGCGGAACAGCAACAACAGCACGGGAAGAGTACCACGATAAGGGACCACGCGTCGGTTCTTCGTGCTGGTAGTACAAAAACAACTTCGAACACCAGCAGCAACAACTCTACTATCACAGCCTTGGCAGAGATCCAGCTCGTGTTTCGCAACGACTCGATCAGTTTGGAGGAACTATTGAACGGAACGGAGGTGAGCATATTCAGTGGTACTTCTAACGGGTCCTCTTCTAGTACAAATCCTGCTGGAGTCACAAACAACTCGAATAATTCATCATCATCATCATCATCATCATCATCATCATCATCATCATCATCCTCCTCAGGGAACAATAACAGCAGTAGTCGGGTTGTGTTGAACTCGAACTCGTCTGCACAGACCGCAGTTTTGAATCTTTCCTTCGTCTTCGGGGAGCTGCTCGGCGGGCTGTTGCAGTTGGGGCAGGACGACTTGAAAATCGAGGCGGTGGTTGTCAAGAAGCGAGTCAACTTTGAAAGAAAGAAAAAAGAAAACGCAACGAATTCCACGGACCAGGAGAGTGATTCTAATTCTAATTCCACAAAGAACGCAAGTGGAGAGCAGAACGCGTCTGCCCCATCGTCGAGCAGCAGTAGCTTCATATCTACTCATCTTCAGAGTAGCAGTTCTAGTTCGGCTTTATCAAAATCTGCAGTGCTGGCCTTCACCTCTTCTACTTCTACGCAGAAGTCCTCTATCGCTGACCGAGTTGCAGCGCGAGAGGGTCGTGGTGGTCTTGTCACTGGAACTTCTAGTTCACAGCAAAACGAAACCTCCTCTAGTACTACTGGACCTGGCGACGAAAAAATCACGGAAACCGCGACCGTAGAAGTCCGGTACACGCTTTATCCCAGAGAAAAAAGCTGGCAGGGCATATTTGTAATGCAAAAATAAACACACAGAAAAATTTGTCATGGGTGGCCCCCTAGCATGCTGTTTCGGATATGCAATACAGATTTTTTTGTGTATTTATTTTGTCATTACAAATATGCCCTGCCAGCTTTTTTCTGTGTGATACGCTTGCGAATCTGAACGCTACCCGCGTTGCGGACCTCCAATCCGTCCTGTTCCGCACCTACACCTACTCTCTGCAGCTCCGCGAGGGTTTGAAGCTCATGTTCAAACAGGACAAGCTGTTCGACAAGATTGTGTCCAAACCTCCCGCCACCGGCCTGAAGCTCAACGCGCCGAAATTCGTCACCGACTGGGGCCGGTCCTTCTTGTGGCGCGAGGTGTCGGCGATGCAGCTGCACAACGAAATCCCCGAGGCCGCGGCGGCGCAGGTCGCTCGGGCGCTTCTGGCGCAAAGCGCCAGCGGCAACAAAAACGACGCGATGAGCAACGCCACGCAGGTGGAGTCCTTTGCGACGAAGCTATTGTTGCAGGCCGCGAAGTATCCTGTGCAAAAATCATGAATCTATCGTAATGGTACTCGTAGGAAATCAAGTGCCAGTTGTCTTGCATGACTCGTCACCTAGTACTTGTTTTCCCTGAAGCTGCAGGTGGGCAGATAATTTTTCCGTCTTTTCCTTTTGGAAGGAAAGATATCGATTTGTGTAAAATGCAATTTGTTCTAGTCCTAGATACTGATACGAAATCGAAATATTTTTGCAATGCATACTTCGCAGACGTACGCGACGGCGCTGAAGCCGGACGGGTCGGTGGAGCACGCGGGGCCCTGGATGGACCGGCTCTGGACGAAAATCCGCACGGAGTACAATTCCGTCCCCGTGGAAAACTTCACAATTGGCACGTTTCTGTACGCGAAAGCGTTCGATCCGGTGGAGACCATCCAAGAAATGCTGCAGTTTTACCACAGCCACAACGAAACCGGGGTCATCAACCTAGTTTCCGGGCTTTTGACTGCCGCCGGGCTGCCGGCGTTGCAGTCCGTGTGGGCCGCGGGGAAGATGAAGAACGGGAGTAGCGGGACGAGTAGTTCTTCTGGGGCATCAACTACAGCAACTGGTACTTCTTCTGCCCCAACAACGGTCGTGGCGAACAGCAGCAACGGGAGTGCCGGTGCAAACATTTCGAACAACAACACGATAACTGCACCACTCACGAACGCGCAACTCCTTTCCTACCTGCTGTTCTACAGCTCGCCTGGTGTCGTTTTGAACACTTTTTCTACAACCCCTGCGGCAGCAGTGAACAACAGTTCTGGCACTGCGACAAACACGAGCGCTGGCGGGAACAACAGCAGCTCGACTAACAGCACTTCTAAAAACAGCACCTCCGCATCGTCGGGGTCCAATTTGAATTTTATCAGTAACCAAACGCAGCAACAAATCCTGGCCTCGCTGTCGCAGCTTCTCCCAAAGTACTACTACATTGGGCTGCCGCTGCGCGACACGCTCGAGTGTGAACACAGTCAGGGTCTGGATTTTGGGAACGGACGCGAGGAGGACCTGGTCCGGAACACGAACAACACTGTAGTGTCCGTGCAAAATGCGACGACGACCACAAACGATCCCGATTTTCTCGCCATTCTCCGTACGGCCAGCGAAGAATTCGACCAACGAATGATCAAGGAGGGGAACGACTGGCTGGCGAATCAGAGCATCCACGGGATGACGGTCTCTACCTATCTCTTGGACAACAGCAATAATAATGGAACATCTTCATCAGCTTCAGGAGCTACAGCCAACGCATCATCTTCCAACAGCTCGAATGCAACAGCGGCTTTTAGTTCTTCGAGTAGCTCGATGTCGATGTCCTCATTAGTCGAGAACGTTGTGCGCGGGATAAGGAAGAAACTGGGCGGACGAGAAAGGAGCGAGGCACGACAGGTTGCGGTCGACGTGGGAAAGAAAAATAAAAGCGAAAGGACAAGATCAAGAATCGTATTCGACGAGACGTTCTTACCGGCTGCAACAAGTTCGTGGTCTGAGGTGGAGAGTAGAGTGAGAATACATGCAGACAAGCGAGAAATTATTGAAAATTTGTTCCAGAAAGCACAGACTACGCCAGACGTAGGCAGGCCAAAATCAACTCCCTCCTCCTCATCATTCATCTCACCGGCGCAACTCGTAATACCTTCGCGGAAGACCACGAGCAGCAACGGAATACTAGAGGAACGAGCAGACGAAGACGACGATCTTGAAAGCGGTGTTGCACTTGCGGGTGGTGACATAAAAACGCATGTGATACTAGAAACGCCGATAACAAATAAAATCGCGAGAACAGGAAGAAGAGAAGAGCATGAAGAAGATCCAGAAATAAGCACCGCGCAACGTGAAGTTGTAGAACTGCAGCCGCAGGAAAAGCTCCTGAAAGAAATCAATTCCGAGGGATCGTCTCCTGCAGAACAAACGAGCACCGCCTTTCTGGCAGAGGACCTGCTTTCGGAAGAAGCACAGAAGGCACCATCTTCACACGAAGTAGTACAGGCAGAAGATGCTTCTCGTAAAGCGGCCCCTGCTTCTACTACCGCTGGTGCAGATCATGTTGATCTAGTTCCTGCAGAAGATGTTGTATCTATGCCAACTACACGTAGTACAGGCACATCATCAACGCAATCACACCTCGATGGAACTTCTACCAGCAAGCTCGACCTGGCGGCCACCGGCGAAGTGTTGCTCGCGTTGCAGGACTTAAGTAAACACAGCACGACCGCGACCAGTGGTAGTAGCGAGAGGATGATGAAGATGGCAAGTACAGATAGAGCTGAGAATCAAAAGTTATTGACGAGCACAGGAGTCCTCGGCACCACGCCTGGGTCCGGCGCAACCGGTCTGCAGGTGGACACGGATACGGTGATCACGTCCTACATCCCGATCGCGTGTCTGCAAAACTGCACCGTTCCTGACTCCGACGAGTGCATCCGCTGCAAGCAGTACACGGTGATGCAGCAGTGGTGCATCGCCCACCACAACGACCCGAGCTGCATGCACGTGTTACTGGACTCCGGGGGGTACTTGCTGAAGCACGAACTGCACTACCGGAACGGGTCCCTGAAGATTGACTGGGCGAACTTTTCCCTTTCGGAGCACTTGGTCGTGTCGACAGACGACGGGGAGGGAAGCGGTGGCAGACGAGCCGGGGAGAACGGGATGGTCATGACTACAGCGGGGCAAATGTCGCAAATTTCCGACGAGATGCCTCTCCCGGACGGCATGGAGGAGAAAACCGGGCCCTGCAGCTACCAGAAGATGGTGGGGCACTGCGTCCTGACCGGGGAGCACGGCCGCGACCAGCAGCTGGTCCGCCACGCCCTGCCGCACTTGCTGGCGGAGGCCGACTGCCGCGAGGCGTGCGACGCGGGCGGCGACGAGTGTGTGGGGTTCGAGTTTGTCGAGTTCACCCGCGCCGCGGCGGACAACCTCGCGCAGTGCACGGTGGTTCTAAACCCCCTGTTCGCGGACAACAGCGGGATCGCGATCCGGCGGGGTAACCAGGAGCTGGGGGCTTTCTGCTCCGCGAAGAACGGTTTGGTGCCCGTGGACTACACGAACCAAAACTCGTTTCTGGAGCAAGAAAGTTCGGCTGCCGGCGGTCGTGCTGGCACGACGTCCTGGTCTAGCAACAACGGATCTAGTACTTCTGCGTTAAGCGTCGCCTCCGCGCCCGTGGTCTCGGTTGATGCAGCTAGCAGTATCCCGCGGTCGCGGGACAGCATCATAGTTTCGTCCCTAAACCTCTCGTCACCGCTCCATCTCGACAGCCGGCCGGCCGAGCAGTTCTCCGCCTACCATGATCCGACGTTCCGCCGGGCGCTGGCGATCACCGACGGACTGCAGCGGAGCAAGTAGAAATAAAGGATAGCACTTTCATCTTATTTCGTCATGATAATGTGTTGTTGATGATACGTGCTGGTATATTTCTTCTTTTCGTGAAGTATGAAGAAATCCACTTCCTGGTTTGTAAATGCAAGCGAGCATCATGCAAATGCATATACAGTTCTGCATAAGCATAACTAGACTAAAGTGTTGTTCAATCTCAATCTCATTCCAGTTCTGCCGTTTTTGCTTTTGCTTACGTGGACGATTTTTACTCGAGCCCACTTGTTCAATAACAAACAGCTACAACACGGACCTGGTCGCTTTCCGCGCGGCCATGTCCACCGACGATCCGGATCGCAAGAAGCTGGCGGATCTCCGTGGCGTGGGACTCTGGGCGAGCAGTTGTAGCCTCCCCGGGAACGTGGTGCCGTTGCGGTATTTTGTCCAGGCGAGGCCCACCTTCATTCCCAAGAAGTTCTGCGTCACCAGTGCAAACCCGGCGCAGCAGTCATTCTGTCAAACGGAAGTAATAGGAGGCCATCATCTTCAAGACGGCCGCGGGAGTCAAACTATCTCCAGAGGTGGTGACGAGAAAGCAGGCTCAATAGTGACCCGGACCAAGGCAAAGGTGCTGTATGAGAAGGGAAGAAGTAGAGGTAGAGATACAACTAGAAGTTCAGAAGCTGACCAGGATCCAGAGACCGGAGTGTTTTATTCTATCCCGAAAGCGAAAACGACATCGCGAAAAGGGGTCACCAGTACAACCAGCAGTACCTCGGAAGGGGCAAATGACGAGGTAGGACCTTCCTCAAGGATTCTGAGTCAGGGTAGTTCTTTAAATTACGGGTCTTTTCTAGAGAAGGAAATGGACGACGACAATCCACGAGATGTAATTGGAAACAGCAGGAGTTCCTCCTCTTCTACTAGTAGTGATCCAGGCGCAAGAACAAAAACGGCATCCGCGATACAAACGGCAGCAAGGAGTAGAGTACGGAAAAAAAGTCAGGACGACGGTGCCACCAACGCCCACCCCGCCGCGCCGGGCTACCTGAGCGCCCCGGTTGCGAGAATCGAGAACAATCCGTATCAACTGCAAACGTGGCTGGGCCTGGAACGGCAGCAAGCTCTGTTGCGCACTAGGCATGATCAGAAAGTAGAAGCGTTGTAAAAGGTGGTAGGTCATGCAGCAACACATAGTTCTTCGCTGCAATTTCTTTGTGCAGGCGTTGCGATCAACATTCCACGATGCAGCATAATCCCGCAGATAATTTTCAGGTCCAGGAGAAATCAGATTTGCCACGCATAACCCGTTCAATTTCACGCTCGAGGATTTCATGCCGCTTTACGACGCGGAGGGCATGCCGACGCAAGTTCCAAGAATCGCTGCGCTTCCTATCATCGAACAGGACTACTGGAAGCACGAATTGATGAAGGATTTCCTCGCCCGCGTGGGTACGTCTCACCTGAAACTGCAGGACAACGAAGCGTATGCTGGTTCGCAAACCTATCGCACTTACTCGTCGCTGTACCTAGCATTTTTGCAATCATGGATGACAAATGCATTCTAGGAAATGGAAATAAAATCAGCATGACCACTAACTTACTACCGACGTTTTCCCTTGACGAAGAATTTTATATTGCAAGTTACTATGCGACGAATAAAACGATGCCGCTTTTCCATGCTTGCATAAGGCGAGTTCGCTCGCCGCGAACTCTGTCGGCATGCAGGCTTACCACAACGTGTTGACTAGTCAAGACTGCTGGTTGCTGTGTTCCGAGTGGAGCGACTGCGTCATTTGGAAGTACACAGACTGCAATGATTTGGACAGCTGCCGGTACACCAACGGCGCCTGCGTCCTCTATATGAGAGTGCACGAACAATCCCCCTCCCTTTCCTCATTTGAAAGGCAATTAGTTTAACTACATGGACAGAAACATCACACGCAAAAGCGTCACAAAAAATCGACGCCTCCCGTTTGACAAATCCGCAGACAGATTGTAGTGATCATCCAAGTTTCTTGGGTTTGGGACACAGCTTTCTACTCATGAAAAGACTGCCTTATGGTTGTGCTTGTGGCAAGAAGTGGATTTCTTGGTACTATTTTGCATAAAACAGCACGAGGGTCGGGAGGGGGGAAATTTGTGCGCTCTGATTCTCTACAGCGACCCGGACGTGGTGCTGATGCCGAACCTCTACGAATCGCAGCAGGCCTCTGAGTCCCGGTACTGGGTGGACCACAACTACTATCACGGCCACCGGTTTTGCCGGGTGGACTGGCAGGAGACCGGGTTCTCGAGGAAGTTCTACGAATTCCTGCCTTTCGGGCTACTCAGTTTGGCCGCGTGCTGCTTCGGGGTGTTCCTGTCGCACTGCAAGCGGACCTACTACCACAAAACGTCCCAGCTGCACCAGGAACAGCACCTGCACCACCCGCGCAGGGCGTACCGGAAGGATTCGGGGACGGATATTTCCCAGCCGGCCCGCTGGCTGCCGCACACGACAAGACTGCACAACCACGAATGACGCTGCTGGGATGGTTAAGACGAAAAGGAAGAAAAATTCCATCGCGTTTATCTTGATCCAACAAGTAAACAAGTTCCTCGTGCGGGGACGATTGTAATTTGTGCCATCGATCATATCAATCTCGTAAACGATGTTGTATCGATTTATAGTTTTTCCCAATGAATAATCTTTTGTCTTACCCGCAAAGCAAAAGCTATGTTTGTTCAAATCGACGACTTTTTGTCGCACAAACGAGGCCAGTTCTTTCGGTCATGTCTTTCATTTTCTCTATATGTATGATTTTTGCCTTGCTATCGCTTGGTCGTAGTGCGCGGCGCAAAAAAGTTTCCAAGAAAATGAACCGACTGAGAACTAAAGGGCGTTGACAGTGCGTAGTCAGCGTTCATTTATGAAATGCACCGGAGACAATGACGACCCTAATCAATGTACATCTTCCAAAATGACCCCGCCTGTATGACTTTAGTAGAACTTTAACTTTTCTTATATTTGATTTGGTGAAAAAATAAGAGCTCACAAGAATCGTAGTCGTAAGTATGAGTGCGTCTTCAATGGCGTCCTAGATGTCGTCAGAGGGATACGTGTGCAGTAGCATTCCCTGTCAATATGTTCTTCGCATCTTCAAATTCATCCAGATCAGCAACGTGGTCAGTTTTTTTTCTCCTAAGTTCTTCCCTCCAATGACGCCGGGCGGTTGCTTCGGTTTGATGTGCTTCAAACGTAAAAACACTTTGTCCATAGCTGAGGTCGGTCTGCTAGAAGGTGCAAACTGTTCATCACCTCTCTTACGATTCGGGCGGTGGTGAGCGTGAGGCTGAGGGTGACATAGACAGTGCTTGGCCTTCGTTCAGGCATGTTGCTCAAGAGCATCTACCGCTTTGGAGGTGTTGTTGAAAGGGACTCCTGATTGTGAGGCCATACTCAATATTCGGCTGCCGCGATTTTTTTTTGTATGTATCTATGCAGGTATGTACTTGTGCATGACGAACTCCTGCATTTTTCCAGACCGAGACCTTTTTACATTTGATATACGGATCTCTTGCGGGCGGACGACAAGCCCGAACAAGTGCAGCAGCAAGTTCCGCGCGTCATGGCGAACCTGACCGACAACGTTTTCGCGAACTACGCCCCCGGGGTGCTGGACGTCCATTCCGAGAAACGGCTCCAGCCCGAAACGCCGCCCGCCGATCGTGCAGACTTGATCCGGTGTGCGAAAAAAAGAGCCAACGCCAAAAAGGGGCCGCTGTGGAACGCTGCGGCGAATTTCTTGACGGAGTACATTGCCGTGTGTCAAGCGAACAAGCTGGAACTGAAGGACCGGAACAAGTACCTTTTGCAAACCGTGAAACTGTCTTTCAACAAGATGAACGGGATCGGCCAGGAGGTGTACAAACTCCACCTGGATGCGGCGATTCAGCAGAACCTCGTAGAGACGAAGTTGTTCGGAAACTTGCCCGAACTCATGCGGTATGAATTGTAAAAGCATCGTACTAGCAGTAATTGCATTACAAATTATAACCCAGCATGAGCATGACAAATGGAATTTGTCATGCTGTTTTACCTTGGGATGGAGATTTGAAATGCATAATTGCAATTACTACGAGTACGATGCTTTTGCGCTGGATATGCGGGAAGACCCGATGTTCAACGAGCTGTACTACGTCGGCTACGACCTGTTCGCGGCGATGTCTGAGAAGGCTAAGTATGATGTCGATGAGGACAAAGTCGACGACTTTTTTGACTGGATCATCTTCGCCGTGGGGCTGGGTAGTGCCCGCTTGGACACGGCCTTTCTCGATGAGCGCCTCGATGCATCGGAGTGGGTGGAGCTCTAGAGAGCTCTCGTTGATGACCGTTGGACGACCACTTCTTTGCAAGCAGATCTTCCCGAGGGTGCATAAGCATCTTCTTGAAAAATATACCGACACCGCCGACGTGATGGAATCTGTATTCAGTTGTACTCCTTTTTTACTACCTCCGACCACATTACGTATGTTCTCTTTCTTTCGTGAAGTACTTACATCACTCGTGCTTTCTTTCGGAAAGTACTTACATCACTCGTGCTTTCTATCGTATGAAGATCAAACCTGCTTCTTCCCCTCATTTAATTCTGAAGTTTTGCTCTCTCCACCTGAGTAGTTTATTTCGCACGACCCGTCAGTGGTTGTGCTTGTGCCTTGTGGTTTATTTGCCTATTTTGTCCTTAACATTTACTTTAGATTTTCATCTTTGTCTTCCTGCATACGTCGTTATCTTCACGCCCTGCTACAGGAAAATTCAAATCTTTTTGAAAGATTTGAATTGGATATAATTCCGAAACGTTCTTGACTTATCCCCTGCTGTCTTGACACGCGAAAAGCGCCGACAAGCTGCAGTTCCACCCCGGTCGGCCTTTTGAAATAAAAAATACACAAGGCTATTCTAATTCGTGCTGTACCTGCAGTTGGGATTGCTCGGGAAGAAGTGAAAGTGTTTCGGAAAACGCCTTGATGTTTGTCTTTGTTTTATTTCGATGAGATCGAGATGGAGATGTACTTAAGTTCTTGGCGCTCTTTGACACAATGAAAAAGTTGGAAACACCGAGCGAAAACAAAAAGAGAGGTACAAAAACAGCTTTTGCATTCATGAAGTTGCTTTGTCATCTGTGTCAGATGGTGCGAGAGAGTTTTTTTATTTTTTGTTCCTTAGCGAAAACAAGCGAGGACAGGGGAGGGGGGGAGCAGTGGCGGCTGTGAAGAATTACTCGGGAAGATTTTGGCTGTTGCTGGGAGCCACGATTGGGGTCTTGATCGATGATCTCTATGGGGAAGACATAATTTCCTTTTAGTTCATTCTAAACGAAAACTGAAACTGAAGCACTATTGAGAGGCATCGTTATTTCCCATCGCCAGACCAGTAGTTTCGAAGAACGAATTCTTTGTTTCTCTTTTTGTTTCACCGTGTTTCATCGTCATCGTGTTGGAGATAGTTGTTACTTTTTGTTTTCGTTTGTTTCGCATTTTTGGTTTTACTTAACGAGATAAAATAAGAGAAAAAGATGTTTTCCTTTTCGCTTGACGGCAAAGGGGCAAAGCCTACGGGGCTCAATAGTACTGGTGCGTCGACCACCTCTACATCGGGTAGTAGTTTCAAACCGCTCTCTGCGTCGCCGCTGCGGGCGCCGACACTGTAAGACAGTAGCAGTAGCAGAGTCGTTTCTATTTTTTCCGCTATGCTCTTGATGTAGTCTTCGTTATATCAACTGCGTGTTTCTGTTTATTAGGACAACAACTACAAGCTTGGACTAGGGGGGCGCTTTCCACGATTGGATTTTTTTCAAAGGTGCTGATAATTGCTGTCAAGTGCTGGTCGATATTTCTCTAAAAATCTCATCTGAAAATCAGCACCGGTGCTTTCCGCCAGTCTCCACCCGCCCCAAAGTCAACGGTAGGACCACTTATACCGCCAACATCTACTACTTCCACCTATATTAACCCAACGTACATTCCCGCACCGGCTTCGCAGCTTCCTGGCGCACCACCTGCGCATGTCTTGCTGACAAACGGCGGTGGTGCGGTCTCGTCGCATCAACAGCTGAGCAGGGTGAACAAGAACTCCACACGAGTTTCATCAGCGGGAAGCGCTTCCAACGGGAAGATGAACCATAGTACAGCCGGTAGTTCTACTTCTGGTGGAACTGTGAGAACAACAGTTTCCACCACTTTGCCGGCGGGCAGCACTTTCCCTCCTCCGCCCGTACAACTGCATTCTGTTGCCGATGGCACGAGTTCTTCTCACGGCGGGTCGACGTCCTCCAGAAGCGCCACCGCCGGTAGAAGAAGCGGTGATCCCGCGCCATCCGTGTCATCATCACACACGCAAGCAGGAGGTCCCCCCGTGAACAAGCAGGTCCTGCACGATGCTCGCGCAGGAGCACCAGCGGTGGATCTTCATGATCTTCCGTCTGTTACTCGTCGAGGCTCTCAGCCTGCTCCAGTTCAGCTTACCGCTGGAGGTGCCGTTGACACGACTGAAGGAAATAAAGAAGAGCTTCAGCCATCGGGAGAGGTGGCGCAGAAATTGTCCTCGACGTCTTCGGGTGGTACAACAAACAAAAACGGAGAAACGCCTGGCACGCTGGAAAAAAGTGGGAAAATGAATACAGCGCAAGATGAAACTAGTACGAATAGCAGGGGTGCGGCGGTGGAACCGGTGGACGAACAAAGAACATTGCGCACTAAACCGACAACGCTGTTCACTCCAGCAAGCGGCACTACCGCCACGACTGGCGCAGGTAAAAACGCACCAGACGGTGGAGTGCTGCCAGGACAAGTATTAGATACCGGGCCTACGACTTCTGCTACAACTTCTACACCCGAGAACGTTTCCCCTCCGCAACGTAGCAGCGCTACAAGAGCAAAGGCCACTGCCACTACTGCTGCAACCGCACCTGTAGAACACGGGGGCTCAACAGTAGATCCAGTTCCTCCACTCCTATCGTCTTCAACCGCTACACCTATACCCGGCTTCGATGCGCGAGCCTCACCCGACCACGGCCTGCGGCCCGGGGATAAGGTATACAACAACAAATGTTGGAGAGGAATTGTCTTCATGCACGACGACCAGGAGGTTTTTTGAAATTGATATGAATGCGTTCTTCTTCTTGCAGATCAAAGGTCAAACTTGTCCACCTCCCACACCGAATCTAATACATAAGATCTTTGTCGTCCTCGTATCGTAATAAATTCTATCAGGTCATCTTTTCCGAGGTAATCACCTCCTCTTCCCCCGACCAACGGCGGCACAGCGCTACCCTCTTCCGCGTGGATGGGGAGTGCTTCGAATCCCGCGAGGCCATGATGGAGTACATGAAGAACAACTATGCACTGCAAATATATGAAATTTGGATCTGGAAACAATACTTGTGATGCTGAATCCTGATAACTGACTGCGCCTCTAAGGGCAGTGAAGCATGACAAACGTTCAGGACAACGCTTTCTCATAATGCCTAGTGCGCGAAAATACTTAAACAAAAAGCGGCGCTTCTATATGTAAGTATGCAGTACGGAATCATTTTCAGGATTCCGCAATAAGCGATACAGATTGAAAGTGTCCAGATGGAGCCATACATATCAATTTGCAGTGGATAATATCCAACAGAGCACCAAACGCGTGATCGGCGAGTATTACACCGGCACATCAGAAGGGGGTCGAGGTGCGGCTGGTTCTAGTTCCGCCGGAAGCACGACAAATTCTGCAGGTGTTTCTTCAACGGCTGCCGTGTCCTACCAGTGCCCACTGTGCGGGAAAGGTGATTAGGCACTGGAGAGAAAATAAGTCTTCCACAGTCACGAAGTCTAAGTTGCAGGCCTTGCATGACAAATTTCTTTGGCACCGCAACAGAATTGATTATGAATTCTCTTACACAGCTTCAGAGTGCACTCCTTGGCTTGTCCGTGAGTAGTAGTAGATCGTGACGAGCGTTTTTCTCTGGAAAGTGATGCGACGAACGGCACAAGTGAGCAACCAACTAATCCGGTGGAATTCCCCACGCGGGAGGAATTTTTGAAGCACATGGGGGAAATGCACGAGAACAAGGTGACGACGCGTCTCCTGGAGGGGGATGAGGTAATCTTGACTAACAGATACAGATGATGAATATCACGTGAACGCTTTTCAATGAATTTTTTCACTAGTATCGTTTCAGGAAAGATGCTTGATACTAGACGTAACTGTCTGGCGTCGAAAGCCATGATCCAACTTTTTTGTTCTTCACAGGCGGCACCTGTAACAAGTACTCTGTCAAATTAGCAGGTGGTCGACGACAGTGGTGAAGTTCTGACTCCTCGTCGAGCGGAAGAGGCTCGCCAGAAATTGTCCCAACGGAAGTCTGAGCTGGGTCCGTCGGGAGAACTGCAAAGCAGCCCGGCCACTAGAAACGGTGAAGAAGAAGCCGCACATCAAGCCAGCATGCAGATTGTGACGCAGACGAACCCAGAGACAGGGGATACGAGGACCATTCTGCGCGATGCTGAAACCGGCCGCATTGAAGCTGCATTTGATGAAGACACGGCGGAATTTCTGTTGGAGGACAAGCACACTGCAAGTTGTAAAAACACCGCCGTTGGCACCACCACGACCCCGGCACAAGGAAGTTGTACTTCTCCAACTTCAAAGGTTTCTGCAAATATTAAATCTAAAGCAAAATCCAAACCCAAAGCCCCCACCTTGTCCGAAGAGCAGGAGAAGTACCTGCAGGAGCTGTCGCTCCTCGCGTTCCGCGTATGAGAGTGCACAACTCCCCTCTCCCTCATTCGTATGCAATACAAACAACTGAAGCTGCCTGTGCATGACTAGTTCTCCGGCCGAAGGTGGTACTATTTGGCCTTCCGAAATTAAAATTTGTCACGCAAACAGTGCCACAGGGCAGAAAATGGATTTACGGTTTTGCCTGACAATCGAGGGGGAGGGGGAGTTGTGCACTTTCATACCGCGCGTTGGTGCAGGATATGGGGAAGCGGTTACTGATATCATCTGTAAAAACGTCTCCACCCCAGAGTTGTCATGCGAATTTGCATGCCCAAATTGTTTCTCATGCGCAGCCCACTGAGGAGTATTTTAATTTTTTCATGCTGTCTGGCTCTGGGCCTTTGTTTGTCATGCTCTAATCCGGATTAGAGCCCAGATTTGTAGTGATGCGGTCTCACTAGCCAACCACGACTACACTACAGGCCCAAATTCGTCATGCGCAACAGGCAAACCTTGTGGGTTTGTGTTGCAAAATCGCCAACTTGACCTTTATAGTGGGAACGTTTTCGCACAGGATAACTGAAGCAGTCCAAGAGCTTTCACGAGAAGAAGCGGCGGAAGGAATCGGAAGCGGTGCGGCAGGCGATGGAATTTTTCGGCCTGAAGGAGGAGGGAGCCACGGCGCAGGAGGCGAATGCGGCCTACAAGAAAAAGGCACGGGAAATGCACCCGGACAAGTGCGGGGGGACGGACGAGGCAAAGCAGGCCTTTCAGGAAATGAAGGCTTTGTACGATATGGTGAAAAGCACACTGGAGGGTGCAGGTTCTGGAAGCGGAAGCAAGGCGGTCGGCGAGGACGAGTCGCAGAGTCCGGGTAAGTACTACTATTGAAAAGTTGTATTGATACGATCTTTTATTTATTTTTCGACTTGCTCGCCGACAAGTTTCAGTCTGTCATGCGGATGTGGAAGCCGCTGCCGCGAATCGAATGCGCATGCGAATGCTCTTTTCTGAGATCCGTTATTGTCTCGCTGGACCATTATAAACAAGATCATGTGTGAAGATATTTACTACTTTAATTCGGCTTTTTGAAAAATATCATATATTATTGTTGATGCCCGCTTGAGTTTATGGTTACCTTATTTAAATAATTCAAATGTAATCGTCTGATGGTGCAACTCAAACTCTAGATCGGGCGCAACCGGAAGGCCGTCAAAAAGAAGCTTACGACGAGGACAGCCCACCGCAGGGAAAGCGGGACCAATATCCTGGGCAAAAACGTCCTCGCATCAGAGTCAAGTTGGAAACTTAGCAACACAAATGCAGAAGTTTTGGGAGCCACGCATGACAAGTTTTCCTCTGAATAATTGTAGTGCAGGTAACCAAGGATAAGGAAATCCGCATCACAAATCCATTTCCTCATCCTGTCTACAGCATAACAGATGCCAGATAAACACGACTGGAAACTACACTTCCCACAAGAATGTGCATTACAAATGTTCCTGAAATTGCGAAGCTGCATGACAACCCTGTGGTGGGGACGTTTTTGCTCAGGATAACCAAGACGAAGCTGCAAAAGCCATCTCGTACGATCCGAGTTCGCGGGACAGCATGCGGGAGGCGCTGGAGAGGATGTTGGCGCAGATTCGAAATGCTCGCCGACAAAGCGAGGACTTGGACAAATGATCTGCCACTACTCCCGTACGGGTACTTACCCGCCCCGGCGAGATTACTTAATGATATGCAGCTCGTTGGTTCAGACGATGAAGAATTTATAAAAGTTTCTGCTCGTTGATGAAGTGAAGAATAAACGTTTCAGTGGTGTTTCATTTTGTTGTCACTTTCTCTCGGAAGCATTCTACTCATCCTGAAGGCACTTCACTATGTGTCGTGGTCAACAAGCTGCAAGTCCTCTGACAGCTTTGCGACTGCCTGTTCTTGTGTCCCGTCTTCAGTTCCTTCTGATCATGTCAAGACACGTTGATTATATGGCAATGAATAGCAATGATCAGTCACGTACTTGTACTTCTGGTGAAATCCCGGCTCGATGGCACCATGATCCCAGCACTTGTACGCAATGAAGAAAGGACGAGAGAACAAGAGTTGATGTTTCTGGAGTAGCCAGGGAGGAGCGTGCCACTAAAGATCCCAAACTAAATATGTGAGAGAATGATCTGGTCGGTGGCCAGCATGAAAAAGATGATGCACTATGTTCGCACAAGAATTGTGGGGCGATTCACATTCACACTGACACCGGGCAAAGATTCTATAAAAATGATGTTATTTTGTTATCTTTGAGTAGCTCCTTCTGCTACTTTTGTAGTTTAGACTCTCTCTAGGATCATCAAGATGAAGCATCTTTGGCCGTTGTTTTCAGGTGCATTCCCTGTGGTCGTGACGCTCGGTCCTCGGCGTTTTGCGTGTTGAACAGGTAGTTGCGTTGTCTGCTCTTGGACACATCACGACTGAGCAGGTCCTCTCCCGCAGCAAGGCCGCGTTCTCGATCGCACGACCAGCACACCGTCGTCGAAATAACAAATGTCTTCTCCAACGGCGAGTGCCGGGCCCAGCGATGGGGTTCTGTACATGGGAGATGTCATCCTGTTGCGGGTCAAGATCACGGAGAAGCGCATGGGCTACGTTAGTTGCGACGGGTTCACGAATCCAGAGATGTCCGTGGTTTCTCCGCCGGACATGCAGGCGATCGACGACATTCGGGATTGTTTGTTCAAAGTGGTACGTGCAGAAGAAGAAGTGCGTTGTAGTTTATTTTTCAATTGATTGCAAAAGATCATCGACGAAGCCGAAGGCTAGTTCCGCCTGAGCAGTCTGTGTGCACTCCTAAGTACGCCGCCTTACACCGAAACTAATCGATTCCGATTGCAGTTTATCATCTACGGGCAAAAGTTAAAGTATAAACGTGTGAAAAGCTTTTCTCAGGTTTGCAAGCTCGACTACACGGCCCAGCGCGAGCTTGCGAAGTTACAAAATGAACGGAAGATGGAGGGTGACCCGCTGCGGTCCGCGAGTCGGTTCAGTGCGAAGGAGAAAAATCTGGACGCGGACATCCGGCGGGCGCAGGGGAAGGTGGAGCTGGAAGCGCAGACGAACCGGGAGAAGGAGAGGTTTGTGCACCCGGTGACCTATGGCGACACGATTCAGCTGTTTCACATCAAGTCAGGGAAGTACCTCACCGTTCGCTCGCAGGAGTCGGCCTCGGTGGAAAACCACAACCGACTGGTCTCCGTGGCCGACGGGAACCAGTACTCCGCATTTCCTATGTCCGGCTTAGCGGGACGAATCGCAACCTGGTGGACCATAAGTAATGTTGTACAGTCGGAACTTCTCTTGTACAAAGGGCGAGAGCGCAGACGCAGAACTTGCTTACTTCAACTTCTGCTTGTTGAGATGAAATTTGGCCATGCTAGAATGAAAACAACTCTCCTTTACTGACGCATTTTGCATGATCGCAATCTCTTCAACATCGTCCTTCTGAGAAGATTCTTCCTCCACCTGAGCCGGGTATATTCCGCGTCCGCAGTTTTTACAAGCACAAGTACCAGGGCGAACGGGTGAGGTTCAACGAGCAGGTGATTTTTGACGTTCAGAGACTCGGCAAGGAGTGGACGTTGCGCACGGCCGGGACCGAGTGCGAGACGCCGGACGGCATCCCGTTTTTCGAAATGAACTGTGCGTGCGACCAGGTGACCGGGTACTTTCCCATGCTGTACAGCCGCAATCCGGACCACCTAAACTACGCGTCCGTCGTGCGCCTCTACTACTGCGGCGCGAATGCCATGGTGGGGGCGAGCTGCCACGATGAGGAGGCCACGAGTACCCTGGTCTTGGAGAAGGAGAAGGATGTGCAGCAACTGTCCGAGCTGATGACAGGGTCCGGGCTGCTGCAAAACGAGCTGCGCATGAAGGGCAAGGTGATCCCGTCGGGGGCGAAAACCGACATGACGATGCGGGAAATACGGGAAAAACTCCCAGCGGACGTGGTGTTTCACTGGAAGACCAACGTGAAAACCCCGTATTTGCGGCCCCTGCCACAACTCGCCTACGACCACGTGGACAATCTGTGGTCGAAGGGCTGCTGGTTGATAGAACAAACCGCAAACCGGTTGGGCGGGGGCGCGGTGGAGTGGAAAAAACCGATCTGCTTCCGGCACTTGGGCAGCGGCAGATACCTCAGTGTCTCGAACCGGTTCCCGGATGGGGAAGGGAATTTCGGGTAGAAGGAAAAATGACTTCCACTAGAAGCCAACTCATTTTTTTCAAGTCTGATCGGTCGTCCCTAGGCTAATTGTTTCAATCTGCATGTCGATGAAACTGAAAGCAAAAGAAACGGATGTTGAGGCATGGTGCAGCTGTTGTATCGCAGCATGATGGAGAAGATACACAAAAGAACTTCAACTTGGCAATCAACAGTGCCTGCATGCTGAAGCGCGCGGACGCGACGTCTTTCTTTTTTCTCGAACCTATCGAGCCCATCGACGGTGCCAAAGTACCTCTCGGGCGTATCCGCTGCCTGATCGGGTGGAAGGATGAGTCGACCGGGCAGCAGTACTTTTTGTCTGTCGGCTATCGCAAGAAAAAAACTATGTGAGTGTAAATCTGTGATGCAGAAAGTGCAAAACTGTTACACTTGTCATGCTGGATCTGCGTCATGCGCTACTTTCATACGTGTTTCCACGTACTAGCTGCGCATGACAGATTTTCCCTGTAATGCAAAGCTAATTTGTGCTGCTGTTTTTCCGTACACAGTTACACTTACACATTTTTTTTCCTGGATATCGGCGGGCAAAAAGCTTCCCGGCTCTCGGCCGCCGCTACGCTGCGCAAGCGACAGCTGAACGCCACCCGGGCGCGGGGCGGCCAAGCGGTCAACGAGGGCGAGGGCAGCCAGAGCAGCCGCGACATTTTGTTTCTCAACTCGCGCCGGGTGCGGGACGCGGTGCAGATTGAGTGCATGGAGGGGAAATCCAAGGATACGGACCCCTATGTCCTGCCGGAGTTGCTCACCTACGTCACCGACATTAATCGCTTGTACGTGACCAAGAACTTTTTCAAAACCTCCTGCCGCCGCCTAGCGCAGCTGCGCGACACCTTGAAGCTGTGGCACAAGCAGGGCGGGCCCAAGGCGAGCAACAGTCCGACGAGCAATCGGCCGGCAGAGCAAAGGCGGACCTCCCGCCGGTTGTCGGACGAAGCTGCGTATCAATCGCAAATTATGGATCTCAGAGTCTGGTTCTGGAAGGAAACAGAGGTTTTTCCTGCAGCTGTGGTCGCATGAGCATAACCACCCAGAAAGTGAAAGTCGGGTAGGAAGAACAAAGTGGCCCTAGCATCACAGGTTTTGAGACAAGGAGGTTTTTTCATCTCAATGCCTGCCCCGCATGTCGAGACAGCGACAGCGCTGCTGGTTTCGGTGGCCGGTCTGCCGGAAGCGGCAACCTTATGCTGCCCAAGCATGACACTTTTTTGCGTACTAGTCCTCTGAAAAGCGCATCTTCACAACAAGTTTGCAGGTTCTCCCCAGAACACGAGAAGACATAGTTGCAGTGCATACGGATCGGGCGGTGGACTTCGAGGCCGTGGTGATTGCGGAGCGGAAAACATACCTGCAAATCGCCCGGGTGGTCAACGAGTCCATTGCCTTCATGCTGACCGTATCGAATGTAAAAATGTCTGGGTCTGGAAGAATGCAACTTGTCATGCTAAATCTGAAGCATGTAAAAATCTGTGTTGCATGATTACCAAAAGTCGTCCAGTTTTGACCAAGTCGGGAGGGAGTTTCTCATGCAGGATAGGCATGAGAGAGATCGCACAGAATCTTTCATGCTAGGTCCTGCATTCCAGACCTCATGGCTCATGGGAAATCTGCATGACAAATCGCGCATTCTTCCAGACCCAGGCATTTTTGCATTTGATAGACCAGCGCGGAGGCTGAGGCATTGCCGGAGAACTTCACCGCGCTGGCCATGGGAATCGCGGGGAGGCGGAAGTGCAACATGATCCGGCAGAAAATCGCCAAAGAGCTGAAGTTCATTGACGCTTCCGTTTCCATGGAGGAAGCCATCTGGATGCTGGGCGGGTGCAGGTTCATGAAGGGCGTCTCGCGGACAGTAATCGATCTAAACCCAAACGCGACCGCCGCGGCAGCGAAGGCGTCAACGGTACTGATAGTGTGTTTGTGAGTAGATACAACTTGCAATATCGAACTGGAATCAGGCAGCTTAGATCTTGACGACGACAAATCCAAGTGCGTCCTTCTCCTTCTACCATCTAATTTGTCATGCGAAACCTCCTATGCGAAAGCGAAACCGAATGTGATGCGAAACCTCCTATACGAATCCGTCTATCAGACCGGCTCCATGGCGGAGAATGTGGACCTCGCGGACACGCCTTCGCCGGAGAAAGTGAACTGCATGAAGCTGTTGCTCATCCTGTGGCAAAAGTGCTTCCAGGCAAACCTGCCGGTGGAGGACTACTTTGTGCGCAATGAATGGATGGAGTTGATCAACAGTCTGAACGGGCTGGGGCTCGGCGCCGCAAGCGTCCTCGGGGTCATGATGGAAACAAACGCAAACTTGGTCCGGAACGCCAAACCCCACGTGGTGCTTCAGTTCGTTGATTTCTTGAAGCGGCTCGGCCCCGACGCCACCTGGCTAAACTTGCTCCAAGGGTTCTGCAGCTGTCTCGGCGTGCCGATCCAGTGCCAGCAGCAGCTGGTGCTGCAATCTGTGTACGATCCGGGGAGTATATGAGAATGCACAACTTCTACCCCTCCTACTCAATTGTCATGCAAAATTACCAAAAGCATATGCGCCCTTTGCCTCTTGGCGTTGGCCCTTTTTGCATTTACAGATTCATCTGGCAGCCCATACAGAACTAGAACAATACGCAGTGCAGTTGTCATGCAAAACCTTCACTCTTGCCGAGCCGACGCTACGCAGCTGCTCATGCACCTCGAATGAGGGGGAGGGGGAGTTGTGCACTCTCATAGAGTATTCAGCCGAATACGGAGTGGATTGGGAACAAAAAGAAACTACTCCTCTCCTGCCGCTATGCATTGCAAAAACATCTTCGCGCTAGATAGACAAAAATTGCTTCAGAATATTAAAAGTGTGCTAAGTTGTTAGTAGACTCGTTGAATGTTGCCATCTGTCCTCACTACAACGCGCGACAGATTATATTTTGCAAAGGATAGTCGCCTCGGTTCCGTCGTGTGCCCCTTTCCGGAAACCCTCCGTGCCCAGTACACCGGCGGCGAAGCGAGTGCAGCGATCTACGGACACACCCTCCTCGCCTCGGGGATCCGCGATTTGTTTGTCTCCTGGCACAGCTCCGACGGGCAGCTGTGGCAGTTGGGGAACACGGAAAAGTTCGGGCTGTACTTCTCGCCGAAACAGCTGGGCCTGAAAACCTTCACGTTTCCGGACGACAGCGACCGGCGGCAATGGGTGAATTTGGCGGACATCATGTGGGTTTTGGATCCCAACGCCTGTTTTAACGTGGTCTTCGACACCAGGGAGCGGTGGCCGGACCGACAGAAAAAAATGTCGAAGTCGGAGAAGGCCAGCATGCAGGCGAAGCAGGTGCTCGCGAACTTCTTCATCGCGCAGCTGCAGATGCTGACGGAGATGTGTCTGGATCGGCAGGTGAACGCGATCGGGGCGATCGAGAAGGAGTACTTCTACGAACTGGTGGTGTGCGGCGTGTGGCACCCCTTCCTCCCCGAAATCGTAAGGTCGAGGTTCGCGGCGCTGACCGACAATTTGTGGATCGACCGGCACCCGCACTACGAAATGGAGGTGCCGAACTTCATCCGGAAGTACTTTGGAACCACCGCCATGCAGATGATCACCGCGGGCACCGCGCAGCACCAGTCGGAACTGCCGAAGTTTGAGTTGATAACCCCGCCCGTGACCTCGAAACAGGGCGAGGCGGAGCAGGCCGGTAACATGAAGGTGAACCCGTTTTACGGGATTACCAGCTCGCAGAAGTTCCAACTTCTGCTGGGCTACATCCAGTACCACATGGAAAAGATGGAGGGGAAGATGTGCATCACGCAGAAGGGTCTGAACCAATACACGGGTGCGTTGATGGAGATGGGCCTGCACTTGCTACGCTTCGGCTTTATCCCCACCTGGGACCAGCTCTGCGACATCCTGGAACCCATCCTGAAGTGCATGGACGGCCGGACCGACTGGCTGAAGCAAGCTTATGGCGTTCTCAAACGTTACATTCTCAACTGTTACATGATTTGTCATGCAAAATGACCATGACCCGCCAGACGATCAAGCTGCTGCGCATGACAAATTCTCGGAGGTCTAAACAGCACTATAATCCGCACGAAACCTGTAATGCAAGACGCGCAAGGTTCTCCCTCTCACCTGTGCTAGTCTTGCGTTACAAATTCATGTAACAGTTGAAAACGCCATAAAGCTACCGACCAGCTCACTCCCCGGTCCGCGTTTGTGCTGGACGTGGGGCCTATCAAATGTAAAAATGTCTGGGTCTGGAAGAATGCCAGACTTGTCATGCATATTTTGCATGACTCGGGATGTCTGTAATGCGTGATCTGGCATCACATATTTCTAGAGGCCTTCCTGATGCCTATCCCGCATGACAAATGCCCTCCCCGCGTAGCACAAACTGGGCGCCTCTTCCTGGTCATGCAATACAGATTTTTTTAGAGTCCAAAGTTAGCATCACAAGTTGCATTCTTCCAGACCCAGACACTTTTGCATTTGATAGGGCCGAACGGCCTAGACCCGCACGGTGCAGCGCTGGCAAGCGCGGAACAGGGCGGTGGCGGGGGCATTTCGCCGAGCTCGACGATCGTGTCGGGGTCGAGCGCCACGAAGCTCGCGGCGGAGCCGCTGCTGAGCGGGTTTTCGACGAAAAGCGGGGGGTTCTGCGACGTGAGTGTGCAGGAAGACGTCGAGATGCGCGTGACGAGGAGAAGGCCAATACATTCCCCGCGGTGGGCGGGAACAAGAATGTATAGTGCCGAATAGATGCTGTAGCGTTTGTCGCAATAGTACAAGTGCCGATGCGAAGGCGTCTACGTCTTTGCAACACAAACTTTTTGTTGATTCGCAGTACTAACTTACGTAGAGAAAATCCAACTTCAATATGCTTCATTTCTTGTATACCATTTGCATTTGTTTCACCTCGCCGCTCCTTACAAATTGAAATTTCCCCTGCCTAGTCCTTCATGGAAGATTTTCTGCCCGACGAGGATCACTTCCAAAGAATGTAAACGTACTTACACGATGGATCCAGGTTTCCCCCCATCCCCACCGTCGCAGAAGACGAACTAGTTCGATGGCACGACAGCCCAGAGAACGCCGAACTGATGGAATGTAAGTCGTACATGTGCGAACTCTGCCTCCGTGTACACGACCTGGCGATCGATCAGATCCTAGGCCGCATCGTCCCTCTCTTCAAACAGTGGGAGGCCACCACCGCGGGCGGTCGGCAGGGCTACACTGGCGCGCGGTTCAGTGAGCAACAGGGCGCTCTATGGATCGTGAATGTATCGTACTACAGTACGGAGACGAACTGCAAAACTTAGCATGAAAAATGGGATTTGGAATGCGGATCTTCCACCTTAGGAGTGGAGAGGGATTTGTATTGATGCATGATTGCAATTACTAGAGACTCCTACGAATATTACGATACTTTTGCAAACCATACTCTCCCGTTTCCATTGATTTGGTCGAGCAGGTATTGCTACCCATTGCAAATGTGCCTGGGTCCCCCGGAATTTTGCCATGCGAAAAGTAGATGAAGATGAATGACAAATGACTGACTGGCTCCAGTACGCAGCTAAGCATGAGAAGTTTCACAGCGGTTTTACTTTTACAACGGTAGTGCGAAGTGCGCATGAGAATAAAACACGTTTTTTCGACGTGACAGAGACGTGCCGCTCTGCGGCAACATGCATCACAGAGTTCAGAACGGGTTCGAGTATATTATACAATAATGCGTGTCCAGCTCCAGAATGTGAATGAGGACAAGTCATATTTGCAATGCATAGATGCGGCAAATCACGCTGAAGAAGTTCGGGTTCGATACGTATATGGACGGCGGCAACTTCACGGTCTATCAAAATGAAAAATCCCCCCACCCCACATCAAAACGAAGTTTGTTATGTTGGATTTGCGTACACAAATCAGATTTGTCTTGCTTGGAGAGAGGACTGCAGGCCCCTGCCATGCCTGAGTAGAGAGGTTTTGGCCTAGGCGCTTAGCATGAGAAACGTCTATGCTGTAGCCAACAGCATGACAAACCGCCTGCATAATGCGGCAGAGCCTGTGGAGTTGTCTTCTTGCAACACAGACGTGCGCTGTGGTCTCAAATCAGCAAGAGGAAGTTCGGCGTGTCGGGTGAGGGACCCCCGACGTCTGGCCTACGGATATCATGGGGAACTAAGGCTCAAATCAGCAAGACAAATTTTCGGAAACATAGCGCTTCGATATGGGGAGGGGGGATTTTCACTCTCGATACGGTCATGCTACTGGACTTGCTGATGTACGAAAATGCGAACTTGTTTCAGTTGGTGTTGGAATTGATCTTTAAAACGGGGTTCCGCACGAAGGAGGCCTTGAAAAATATGGACAGCGTCTTCCTGGTGCTCAACACGGACGAGGACAGGAGAATAGCGACGATGCGGCGGGACATCGTCACTCTCACGAACGGCTTTCACACGTTCGAATCCTGGGGGCAGTCGGACTCCTTTTCCCAGCACGATTCCGAGAAGGCGAAAAACATGAACGCGATTTGCCGCCGCTTGCGGCACAACTGCTCGGTCGGCGGCCAGGACACGGGCGACACGAGTGTGCCGGACGAAACGGCGCAGCGGAACCTACTGGACCTCGGTCTGATGCGCGCGATTTCCGCCGCGATAAGCATCCCGATCACGGAGTTTCAAGGCGAGGGTTTGAACGTGTTGAAAGAGATGATGAAGGAGGTCACGGGGCTCCTGACCATGTTTGTCTACGACAACAAGCGAAACCAGCATGCGGCTTTCGAGCACCTCCCCACACTGCGCATATCAAATGCAAAAATGTGTGGGTCTGGAAACTTGTGATGCTGGGTGGCGTATCATGAGGAGGCCACAAGTGCTGGCTCAGCATGGCAAATTTTTGAGCTTCCAGGTGTTGCCTATTCTGCATGAAAGGGACACGCCGTTGGGTCGTCCGCCATCGTGATAGGATCGCCGTGTCTGATCATTCGACCCCCTGTATGCTTTTTAGCGCGCAACCGGTCACAGAAGTAAGTCTTAGAGCAAGTTTGTAAGACTAACCCATCAAGGCAATACTGGAGCTCCACCGTGCTCGCGGGCTTGGATGGTAAGGCAGGTCAGCCACACATAGCGCCCACTGGCTGTAGCCATGCGTAAGCAATCGATAGCAGTTTTGCAGGTGCAGCCGGGTGGTAGTTAGGAAGTGGGCCGGGTCCCCACGACCTAGGGGCATCGGCAGAGGCTAAATGTGTTCTAGCGCCCAGGTATTGGCAGAGGCTAAATCTGTTCTAACGCCAACCCGCCAGGAGTTAAATGGTACTACTACTACTACTGCATGACAGAAAAATGGTGCTCTTGGGTAACGTGCATGACTACAGATTCGAGAGTCATGCCAGACAAGCATGACAAACATGCATTCTCCCAGACCCAGACATTTTTGCAGTTGATAGCGCACCTGGTTTAACTACGGCGTCGGCATGGCAAACCCCATCGCAAGTATTTTCCGCAACAACCGGGAGCTGTGCGAGAAGGTCCCCGTGGCTCTGATCTACGACTTCGCTTTCGCGCTGCAGGCCCGGTCCCGCGGCTTCTTGCCGCACCAGCTGGCGTTTTTCCACTCGATCCTGGTGGTGGGGGACCGAAAAATCAACCGAAACGCGGATATTCTAGCGGAAATCCTGTCGAAGCCAAGGTTTGATAAGGTTCTCCACTGCTTGTTCGACTCCGACGGGCGGAAGAAACGCCGGAGCATGCTGCGGAAGTTTGCGAGTTTGGAGGAATTGTCGAAGCCCGAGCCGTATGAATTGCAAAAGTATCGTACTCGTATAAACGCATTACAAATTTCCTCAGCATGTTGATAAATAAAATTTGTAAAAATGCGGATATACCTAAGGAAAAAGATTTGTAATGCATGGGCGCAATTACTACGAGTACGAGACTTTTGCACAGGATAAGCCGTTCCGAAAGTGGAACGGCGACGACGCCGAGCTTGTCTACTCCGTGAAGTCGGTCGAGCTTCTCAGCTTGATTTGCCTCGGCCAGGGTGACGGCGGACGGTCCAGCTTCGTGGTGAACATGATTTCGCCAGACTCACTGACGGTCCAGTACATGGAAGTCCATGAGACCGTCTACATTACCACCGAGCCGGTCGGCGGCCAGCCCTCGATCTCCAAGGCCGCACAGGAGATGGCCCGGGTGTTACAGGGCGCGATGCTGGACCTGATGTCCAACTGCTACTACGAGACGGAAGTAAGGGACGACCGGTTCTGGAATTCGGATATTCACTTGTATCTACTCGAACTGCTCACCACGGAAATTGACAAAATCTTCAACGTATCAACTGCAACTATGTCTGGGGCTGGGAGATTGCGAGACTTGTCATGCTAGTCTGGCATGACTCTGAGCTCTCTATTACGTGGCCGCGAAGAGCTCCGCTTGCCCGTCATGCAAAAACGCAGTCTCTCGTGCGGAGTACGCAACTCAGAACCACAGCAAAACTTGTCATGCTGGGCAGCGCATTACAGTGCTTTCACTGTACAACTCCCTTCCCTGCAACACAGGTTTCCAGACCCAGACATGTTTGCATTTGATACAACGTGAGTGCAAAGAACCGCCCGGTCACGGACAGCGAGGAGATTTTCGTCCACAGGGTGCTCCGCGCGCTAAACAACTACGTGCAGTGGGCGATGAGCATCACGGAGAAGCACGGCACCACGCACAAGGGCATCCTGGATTTGTGCTATCCTGAGTAAAAACGTCCCCACACCAGAGTTGTCATGCAGATTTGCAATGACAGGAACATTTGTAATGCGCATCGCCAGGAGAGGCATTTTTAGTCGTGTTTTGGAATTTGTAATGTTGTAAACAGGATGAGCAGATGGATTTCTGATGCAGCTGGCCATGCGAACCTGCACTAAACTACGGACTGCAACTTGTGACGCGTGACCCTCAAAAGTTCTAGGTTTGTGTTGCAAAATCCCCATCTTGACTAGGTTTGTGTTGCAAAATCCGCCGCATTTTTTTAAAAAATTGCCGGTTGCAGCGGCATCTAACTCGAAGTTTGACAAAGCACTTTATAAGAAAAAGCACTTCGTAAAGAAAAGCACTTCGTAAAGAAAAGCACTTCGTAAAACAAAACGTAGTCATGTAAAGCAGCACGGCAGATACTTCAACATACTAGCAGTGTGCGGGGGGGGCCAATGTGGTCCCCCCCACGCGCTGCGCCTATAAATAAAACACGCCAGGGAATTTTCTTTTTTTTCCAGCAGAGGCTGGCTGTGGGACTTGGGGCAATGCCGGGGATTAGAAATGCAAATATGATGGCAGTGCGTTTCTACTCTTAAGTATCCTGCTTCAAACATGTTTTATTTTTTTTTGGCCTTTTGTCACGCTCTTTGTCATTGTCTTTGGATTAGTACCGCGTCACACAATTGCACAAGTATTTAGAAAACATCATGGAAAATGGCACGCGGAGTCGGAAACATTGAAAACGACGCCGAGCTCGACGGA